CCACGGATTATTTCGTCCAGGCGGGATTTCTCATCTCTCAAGATGACACTTACGTGAGCATTGAGGGCATCGTTAGCTTCCCTCTCCGACAGCCCGTTGGTTAGCGAAGTCACGATGCCCACGCACCTTTCTAGTCTCTGAAAGAGAGAAAAGCTGAACATCACAAACTTGCAAGGACCAATACACCAAGCGCATCCTCGCCAAGACAAGATCCAGCAGCGGCTGCTTCGACCCCCCACCCAAACACCTGAATGAACAAAAAAAACCAGCCAGCGACGCAACAGCCGCTCTGGGCTCATGTCAAGGCTCCGGACCTCCTGCCAGCTGGAGAAGCGACCGCTTCATCAATGTTTATTTATTCACAGGTTTAGGGTTTTAAATACTCTCCTCACACCGCTCAAAGAGCCAAAAAGTAAATGCGTGCTTATTTAGCCCTACCAATACCGATGTTGCTTTGATATGAGGCCAAGACGCAGCGGTGCAAAGGCTGAAGGTGAGGCAGGGCGGTCACTCCTCGCCCCGAGAGCGGAGCTGTACCCCAAGATGATGAGCTGCCCCCGGCAGAGCCCGTCATCCCGCAGCGTGAGAACCCTGGGCTGCGGGGCAGCAGCCCGGAAACCTTCTGTTCTCATCACTTACCATCCGAGCAACTGCTGGCTGAGAATAAACAGCAGGAGCAGATGTTTGCATGCAAGCACCCCGAGGGATGAAGTGACAGGAAGGGCCACGAAGTCAGGACTGGGAAGTTACAAGAGCATGAAAATACTGGAGAAGCAAACGGCCAAGGCTTCCACTCAACTCAAGAGAAATGAGAGTTGTCCCCTCTTCACGGAGGGCGTGAGAAGTCCCACACAGAAATGGTTTCTCCTGCCCGGCGGGCTGGGCACTGGTGTTAGCTGGTGTCTTGCCCCTGGCGCGGGGTAAAGCAGAGCCGTGTGACTCCGGGCAAGCCGCAGCCTCTCCCCACCTCGCGGTGCCATCTCGGGGACGGGGACAGAAGGGCCACACGGACCCACCACGTGCTCTCACAGCAGCGATGACACCCAAGAGCCCCAGGCGGAGATCCGGGTTGTTGGCTGTCAGCACAACAGTGGCTCCTTTAACGCCGGGGTCTCGCTCTACGCCTTGCAGGACGAGACGTTGCTCTGAATTAAACTCCCCATAAACAGCTCTGTTGCCGTGCGAGGGAGGTGTGCCCTGCCTTCTTCACCGGTGCCACCACTTCCCCACCAAGAGCTGTGGATTCAACTGGACCGTTTCAGCCACAGCAGCGACTCGAGGGTCCCCGGCTGCCGGCAAAACGAGGTCTCGCTTCCCTGGAGTTTCCTTGGAGCCTACGGTTAATGGAGCGGTGACCTGTTTGCACCAGGGAAAAGCGGCAAACGCAGCCTAAGACAGGCAATAAGCAAGTTACAAGAAGGTTATTTCTACACAGTCACTTCTTGATTAAAATGCAAACACACCACACTGATTATGGAACTGATTAGCGACTCCTTTGCATATCAAAGGGGCTGCAGTGAAGAAGCTATTGAGAAAGAGGTCAACAGTTCTCCACTCCAAGGCAATATGAAAGAAGATGTACTGGTCAGTAATGCAGAGATAATGCCTTTGTGAAGCCGGCTTTGTTCCAGGCCGAGCGATGGCATTATGAAAGAGCAATGGGGCAAAACCCATGAAAATCTCAAATCTAAAGCAGATGAATTATTTGAAAGGGAGGACAAGATCCAGCGGCTGAAAAACAGAGTTAGCAAAATCCCAGTGAGAAATAAGACAACTTGTTGGCAGATAATGCAGCCAATGAACCACCAGAAGAGCTTTGCAAGGAAGTTCAGCGTCAAGTAATGTCTTTGATCTGAGACTTGCTGACAGACTTGCAGGATCAGGGTTTGGTATTCCCTTCTCGAGATAAAGGGGAGACGTACCAGCTCGCGAGGGCCAGGAACGGAGGCTATTTGAAAACAGTATTTCCCCCTTTGGGCAAGTTCAACCGTTCACATCGAGGCTCTGCTGCCTCCACCAAAACCCACAGCAGAACAGGACAATGATTTCCTTACCACCTGGTATGAGATATATTTTTACAAGCTCCAGTCCTTCCGATCACCTCTTTCTTCCCCAAAACAGACGTGTTCAACTTACTGCCATCAGGAGCTTCGAAAAATGCCAAAGGGAAAGACTGGAGAAGGTTTTTCCTTAAGCATGGCGGCGTGTTTACTGTGAAAACTTGATGTGCAACAATCACGCACGGTTTTCCTGTGTACACTCCGTTTCCTGCTTGTTGGAGTCTTTAACTCAAGAAACACGAAACTTGTGACAGTAAATCCATCAGCGCTCAGGAGTATAATTAGTGCCTGAACCAGTTTCTTCCAACTGACTGGGCTTTTAGTCAAAAGTGCTGCTTTCCAGGGGTTTAAGAGGGACGGGAGGAAGGCTTGCCAGTTAAGCAAGGCTTGTCTCCAGAAAGTCTTCTTCTGGTACCTGCGTTTGCCCAGATCCATCACCATCACCAAACCCGAGCTCCACCGCCCTCGTTGATTCGGCTCCTTCCCAGACCCCATGTTCTTGGGGAAAGATCCAGCTGGGAGCGACCTGGACCCCAGGAGACCCGCTTCGGTAGCCTGGAGTTGCTTTTCAAGCCCAACCAAAGCTCCCGCCATGCCAGGCTCGCCGAGTTGCACGGGTCCAAAGCTGGGAACGTTCTGTCCAGACCTGGACAGGACCCAAAACACACACGGGGACCGACAAGTGCTTTGAAGAAATATAAATACACTCCAAATGGCAAAGGACAGTTTCCAGACCTTGAGACCCAGTCATTCCAGTTACCACCCTGTTTTTCTCCTGCAACTGGAATCCAGCGTGATTTTTTTTTGTCGTTGTTTTTCTGTCTGCACCATTTCACGAGCCCCAGATACATTCGTTTCCACCACAGGATAAATAACCAGTCTCTCCCACGAGCCTAGCAGTTCACGAGAGCCCCGCCACCCCCGTGGCACCAGGGAAGCTGGCCCTACACCAGCTTTGGGATGATCCCTGAACACTCGCCGACTTGCCCCTGTGGTGTCAGGTGTAAATCAGGGCCTGAGCAACGTGTCCCCCTCACCCGGGTTCCCTGGGCTACTGGCTCTTCCACGGCTCCTCCGCACCAGGAGCAGACCCCAGTTGTCCTGGGGAGACCCCAAACCTTCCCCACTTGCGAGAACCTGCTCTCTTTTCCCCGTGCAGGAGGAAAAGCTCGATGGGAAGCGGGACAGAGCTGTGTAATTTTGGGGCCTGGCGAACACAGGGCAGGAAGTTTCCCAGATGAGTTCTGTCGGTGCTCAGGCGCGTAGCAGGCTTCGGGGATCCCACTCCATAACCTAGAGGAGCGCAGCCGGGGCGAGGAGGGCAGGGAGACCCCGCTTGGGAGGTGGTTTTTGTTTGGTGAGCCCCCTCCCCGCGCAGGGACGGGCGAGGGGAGCGGCGTGTGCCACCCTGCCCGCACCCCACCCCCTGGAGCCCCCCTGCCCCCAGCCCCCAGGCACCTACCTCCTCCAACTCATCCTTGGCATCCAGAAGAGTGGAGACCAGCAACTTCCCTCCTCCTCCTCCTGCTGTTCCCCCCTTCCCCTTCTGCATCTCCATGACGGGGGGGGGGGGGTTAGGCAGCCCCTATCCAGGGGGCTTGGCCTGAGAGGAGCCCCCCCCTTTTTGCTGGACTATCCCTCCCTCCCACCCAGCTCTTCCTCGTGGGAGGACAGCGGGGGGGGGGGGGGGGATGTTAATGGGAAATAGGAAATACCACCCCCTGCGGAGCACCCCCCCCCCCACTCGTGCAATGGGGTGGAGGGGATGGGAACACCCCTGCCTGCTCCTCAGGGGCTTCACCCCGGTCGGGGAGGGGGATACGGGGTGGGGGGGGGTGGAGGGCTGCTCTTTGACTACAGGGCAGGCCTGGGGCCTGCCGCTGTGCGGGGGGGGGGGGGGGGGGGAGGGCCGTGTTAATGGGGGGCCCTATGGGAGGGGAGCTGCGGGGAAGGGGGGTCCCGGGGTGGGGAGGGGGGTTCCTGTCAGCCGTGCCAGAGAGGAGGCCTGCGCGGGCAGGGAACCCCCCCAGGGGAGGCCTGTGGTGAGGGGGGGGGGGGTCTCGGGGGAAGAGGGGGGGGGGTGACAGGTCCCCCGGCGCGGTGCGAGGCGGGGCAAGGGCGAGCGCTGCGGCTGCCGCCGGGGCCGGGGGGGAGGTGGGGGGTTCCGCCGGGCGGCGGGGGGGGGGGTCTCGGTGCCGGGGGGAGGGGAGCGGCGGCTCCGCACCCCCCTCCCAGCGCCGCCGACCGGAAGTCACTGGGAGAGGGACGGGAGGGCCCGGGGGGAAGAGGAAGAGCGCGGCGGCCGGAAGCCCCCGCCCCCCCTGCCGGCCTCTGGCCAATGGCAGCAGGGAGAGGGCTCGGAGTGACAGCGCGGGGAGCCGGCTGGAGGGGCGGGGCCGCTCCGGGCTGATCGGCCAATGGAGAGGCGGGGGCGGGGCCTGGCCCGGGTGGACGCTCCGCCCTCCCGCTGCTGGAGGCGCCGGGTGCGTGGGGGTCCCCAACGGAACACCCGGGACCCCCCCGGGACATGCGGGGCCGGGACCCCCCGGGTACACCCCCGAGTCGGGCACGGCCGGGAACCCGCCGGTAATCTCAGACCCCCCCAAACCTCCCCCCTTGGGCAGCTCCCGCGGGCCCCCCCAGCCCCCTGCCCGCCCCGCCTTGTACAGCCGCCCTAGCCCGGCTCCTCTGGCCCCACAGAGCCCCCCCGGAAAAGCCCCCCTGGGGTGCCCCCCTCTCGCAAAGCCCCCCCTGAGCCCCCCCTCCCTTTGCAGTGGGCCTGGGGCCGCTGTGAGGTCGCTGCCATTCGGGGGGAAACCCCCAGGGGCTCCCCCAATGCCCCAGAGCGACCAGGGTGCATGGGGGACACCCGATGTGGGGTGCGGGAGGGGGGGGGGGGGCGGGAACGGACAGGGAGACCCCACTGAGACCCACGGCAAGTGCGTACACACCAGCTTTATTACAAAAATTAGAGCTCTAATTACCCCCACCCGGGGTCCAGGGCAGTCGCTGTCCCCCCCTGTGTCCCCTCCATCTCGGCCACCGGCCGGGGTCAGGCCACGGGACTGCTTGGGGTGTCCGTGTGTGTGTGTGTCCCCCCCCCGCAGGAGCAGTTGGGGTTCAGCGTGTGGAGCACGGTGCAGTTTGGGGGGTGCACCCAGCCCCCCGCTGCTGGCAGTGCCCCCCCGCCTGGCCCCAGCCCCTCCTGGGGGGGGCCTTGGGGTGCTGCCGGGACCAGCCCCGCGGGCCCTGGGTGCTGCTTGGGGGGGGGGGGTCGGGTCAGCCCCGGGTGCTGCTCCCACGCTCCCCCAGCAGCCAGTACGTCCTCACCTTGCCCTTGCCCTGTGGAAAGAAGGGGGGGGGGGGGGGGGAGACGGGGGGGGCTGGTGGGGTGAAAGGGGTGCAGGGGGGGGACCACTGCCCAAAGGGTTGAGGTGCAGTGGGGTGCCCATTGACTCAAGGGTTGGGGTGCAGGGGGTGCCCAGTACCCAAAGGGCTGGGGTTCGGGGGGGGGTCCACTGCACCAGGGGTCAGGGTGCATAGGGGGTGCCCAGTGCCCCAGGGGTTGGGGTGCAGGGGGGGTCTATTGCCCTGAGTGTTGGGGTGCAGGGGGTGCCCAGTGACCCAGGGGTTGGGGTGCAGGGGGGGTCTATTGCCCTGAGTGTTGGGGTGCAGGGGGTTCCCATTGCCCCGAGTGTTGGGGTGCAGGGGGTGCCCATTGCCCCAGGGCTGGGGTGCAGGGGGGCTCATTTCCCCAGGGGTTGGGGTGCAGGGGGTTCCCATTGCCCCAGGGGTTGAGGTGCAGGGGGTTCCCATTGCCCCAGGGGTCGAGGTGCAGGGGGGGGCCCATTGCCCCAAGTGTTGGGGTGCAGGGGGGTGCCCAGTTCCCCAGGGGTTGGGGTGCAGGGGATTCCCATTGCCCCAGGTGTTGGGGTGCAGGGGGTGCCCATTGCTCCAGGGTTGGGGTGCAGGGGGGGCCAATTGCCCCAAGTATTGGGGTGCAAGGGGGGTGCCCAGCGCCCCAGCAGGACCAGGGTTTGGGAGGGACGCGTTGCCCCAGTGGGGTTGGGGTGCAGGGGGTGCTCGTTGCCCCGGCTGGGCTGCAGGATGAGGATGTAGAGGGGGGACCCAGCTGGGGGGGAACCCCACTGGGGCAGCCACGGGGGGGCTGGGGCTTTCGGGGGGGCCGGGGCTCACCTTCATCTCCACGTCACCCCGCAGCTCCAGCTCGAAGCAGCCAAACTCCTCCAGCACCGCCTTGGTCACCGCCGAGATGTGGATCTTCAGGGCTGGGGGAGGGGGGGGGAGGTGGTGCTGTCAGCACCCATGGGTGCCCAGCCCAGCCCTGACAGCACCCATGGGTGCCCGGCCCAACCCTTCACCTTCCCCGTTGGACTCCATGCGCGAGGCCGTGTTCACCGTGTCCCCGAAGAGGCAGTACCGGGGCATTTTGAGACCCACGACGCCGGCGCAGACGGGTCCTGTGGGACGCCCGGTCAGCCCCCCGGCTATGGCCCCGAGTCCCCATCCCCCCTGACCCGTGTGGGTGCCATGTCCCCATCCCCGTCCCCGCTGACATGTGGGGGTGCCATGTCCCTGTCCCCATCCCTGTCCTCATCCCCATCCCCCCTGACCCGTATGGGTGCCATGTCCCCGTCCCCATCCCCGTCCCCACTGACCCCTGTGGATGCCATGTCCCCGTCCCCATCCCCGTCCCCGTCCCCCCTGACCCGTATGGGTGCCATATCCCCATCCCCGTCCCCGTCCCCACTGACCCCTGTGGATGCCATGTCCCCGTCCCCGTCCCCCCTGACCCCTGGGGATGCCATGTCCCCGTCCCCATCCCCCCTGACCCCTGGGGATGCCATGTCCCCGTCCCCATCCCCGTCCCTGTCCCCCCTGACCCGTGTGGGTGCCATGTCCCTGTCCCCATCCCCGTCCCCATGCCCCCTGACCCCTGTGGATGCCATGTCCCTGTCCCCATCCCCATCCCCCCTGACCCCTGGGGATGCCATGTCCCTGTCCCTATCCCCGTGTCCCCCTGACCCATGTGGGTGCCATGTCCCTGTCCCCATCCCCGTCCCCGTCCCCCCTGACCCGTATGGGTGCCATGTCCCCGTCCCCCTCCCCGTCCCCCCTGACCCGTGTGGGTGCCACGTCCCTGTCCCCATCCCCGTCCCCGTCCCCCCTGACCCGTGTGGGTGCCATGTCCCCGTCCCCATCCCCGTCCCCGTCCCCCCTGACCCGTATGGGTGCCATATCCCCATCCCCGTCCCCGTCCCCCCTGACCCCTGTGGATGCCATGTCCCTGTCCCCATCCCCGTCCTCATCCCCCCTGACCCCTGTGGATGTCATGTCCCTGTCCCCGTCCCCGTCCCCCCTGACCCCTGTGGATGCCATGTCCCCGTCCCCATCCCCCCTGACCCCTGGGGATGCCATGTCCCCGTCCCCATTCCCGTCCCCCCTGACCCGTATGGGTGCCATGTCCCCGTCCCTGTCCCCCCTGACCCCTGGGGATGCCATGTCCCCGTCCCCCTCCCCGTCCCCCCTGACCCCTGGGGATGCCATGTCCCCGTCCCCATCCCCGTCCCCATCCCCCCTGACCTGTATGGGTGCCATGTCCCCGTCCCCATCCCCCCTGACCCGTATGGGTGCCATGTCCCCGTCCCCGTCCCCCCTGACCCCTGGGGATGCCATGTCCCCGTCCCCATCCCCGTCCCCGTCCCCCCTGACCCGTGTGGATGCCATGTCCCCGTCCCCATCCCCGTCCCCGTCCCCCCTGACCCGTGTGGATGCCGATGCGCAGCTTGAGCTGCTGCTGCGGCCGGTGGCGGATGCGGAAGGAGCGGACGGCGTCCAGCAGCGCCAGGGCCATGCGGGCCACCTCCCGGGCGTGCAGCTTCCCGTTGCGCACCGGCAGCCCCGACACCACCATGTAGGCGTCCCCGATCGTCTCCACCTGGGGAGGGCAGGGGACACACGCACCCCACACACACACACACACACCACCGGGGACACGCCATGGGTGCGACACCGGCCCCGGGGGCGGCCGGCGGCACCCGTGGGGCGCCCAGCGTGTTCCCGCGCGTGCTGCGGTGCGTGCCCTCACCTTGTAGACGTCGAAGTTGTCGATGATGGCGTCGAAGCAAGTGTAGAGGTCGTTGAGGAGCGTCACCACCTGCATGGGGGTGCTCTCGGCCGACAGCGCCGTGAAGCCCACGATGTCGCTGAAGTAGATGGTGACGCTGTCGAAAGCCTCCGCCTGCACCGTCTCCCCCCGCTTCAGCTGCTCCGCCACCGAGCTGGGGGGTGCAGGGGGTGGGTGAGGGGAGGGGGGGACACACACACAGCCCCCCCAAACCCTCCCATATGTGTGTGTGTGTGTGTGGGTCCTTGGGGTCTCTGGCCCCCTGAGGATCCCCAGCTCTGAGCCACTGGGGGGAGAGGGGTGGGGGTTGGGGTCATCCCTGGCCCCTTTGGGTACCCCAAACCCCACAGAGCCTTGGGAGGGGGCTTTTGGGGTCTCCAGCCCTCCAAGCACCCCCAGACCTCAACCACGCTGGGGGGTCCTTGGCATCCCCGGCCCCTTCTGGTACCCTGAGCCATGCAGGAGTCTGGGGAGGGTCGGGGAGGGGGGGGGGGGGGCCCAGTTCCTCCAAACACCCCCCAGCCCCAAGCCACGTGGGGGGTACGTGGGGTCTCCAGCACTTCCAAGCACCCCCAGCCCCAAATAACACGGGGGCCCTTGGGGTCCCCAGGGGGTCTCCAGCCCCAAGCCACGTGGAGGTCCTTGGGGTCCCCAGCCCCTCCAGCACCTCCAGCCATGCAGGGCTCCCACGGGGAACCCCAGCCTGGAGCAGGCAGGGGATGGGCGCGATGCCCTGGGGTGCGCAGCAGTGAGGGGGTGCACAAAGAGCTGGTGGGGGGGGTGTGTGTGTGTGTGTCCCTGGTGCTCACTGGGGCAGGATCTGGTAGAGGAGAGCCTCAGCCTTGCGCTTCTCCTCCAGGTAGGCTTGGGTTCTCTCCTCCACCAGCTCCTCCAGGTTGTTGGCGTACTGCTCCATGCGCGACAGCAGGTTGTCCAGGATGTTGCTGCTGCTCTCCCTGCAGGCACAGGGTGAGCACCCACCCGAGGGACCCCTTTTCGGGGTCACCCATCATCCACGGGGCGGGGGGGGGAAGGGGGGGGGGGTGTGGGGAGGTGGAGGTACCTGTTGAACTTGCGGAGCTGGACCTTGATCTGGTTGAAGTCGGGGCGTTCCAGGACGTCCTCGGCCCAGCAGTGCTGCATCAGCTGGCCCAGCTCCTCCATGTGGCACCCCACGTTGGCTGAGGGGCGGAAGCTGGGGCGCTCCCCACTCTTCACCCTCTCGATGATCTCTGCGGGGCCGAGCACCCGTTAGCGGGTCCAAACACCCGTCAGCAGGTCCAAGCACCCATCAACAGGTCCAAGCACTCGTCAGCTGGTCCAATAATGCATCAGTAGGTCTAAGCACCCATCACAGCACGTCCAAGGACCCACCAAGCGAGGCCAACCACCCATCATCTAGTCCAGTCATCATCAGCTGCTTCAATCACCCTTTAGCTGGTCCAAGCACCCACCAGCAGGTCCAGAAACCCATCGGCAGGTCCAAGCACCCACCAGCAGGTCCAGAAACCCATCGGCAGGTCCAAGCACCCACCAGTGGGTCCAGCCACACATCAGTAAGGCCAATGACCAGTTAGCTGGCTCAAGAACCCATCACGGCACATCCAAGCATCCATCAGCTGGTCCAAGCACCCACCAACTGGTCCAAGCACTCATCAGCTGGTGCAGTAATGCATCTGCAGGGCTCAGCACCCATCGCAGCATGTCCAAGCACCCATCAATTGGTTCAAACACCCACCAGCAGGTCCAATAAACCTCCAGCAGGGCCAATCACCCACCAGTGGATCCAATCACACATCAGCTGGACCAAGAACCCATCACAGCAGGTCCAACAACCCATCAGCAGGGCTAAGCACCCATCACATCAGATCTAAGCACCCATCAGTTGGTCCAACCACCAATCAGAGGGGCCAAGCACCCACCAGTGGGGCCAAGCACCCATCAGTTGGTCCAACCACCCATCAGAGGGGCTGAGCACCCACCAGTGGGGCCAAGCACCCATCAGTTGGTCCAACCACCCATCAGAAGGGCTGAGCACCCACCAGTGGGGCCAAGCACCCATCAGTTGGTCCAACCACCCATCAGAGGGGTTGGGCACCCACCAGTGGGGCCAAGCACCCATCAGTTGGTCCAACCACCCATCAGAAGGGTTGGGCACCCATCAGTGGGGCCAAGCACCCATCAGTTGGTCCAACCACCCATCAGAGGGGTTGGGCACCCACCAGTGGGGCCAAGCACCCATCAGTTGGTCCAACCACCCATCAGAGGGGCTGAGCACCCACCAGTGGGGCCAAGCACCCATCAAGTGGTCCAACCACCCATCAGAAGGGCTGAGCACCCACCAGTGGGGCCAAGCACCCATCAGTTGGTCCAACCACCCATCAGAGGGGCTGAGCACCCACCAGTGGGGCCAAGTACCCATCAGTTGGTCCAACCGCCCATCAGAGGGGCTGAGCACCCACCAGTGGGGCCAAGAACCCATCAAGTGGTCCAACCACCCATCAGAGGGGCCAAGCACCCACCAGTGGGGCCAAGCACCCATCAGGTGGTCCAACCACCCATCAGAGGGGCTGAGCACCCACCAGTGGGGCCAAGTACCCATCAGGTGGTCCAAGCACCCATCAGTTGGTCCAACCACCCATCAACAAGTCCCTGGCACCATCACCTCAGCCCTCCTGCTCACCTTTGGGGCTCAGGTCCATCCCCTCCACGTAGAAGACGCCGTTGCGCAGGGCGATCTCTTGCAGGATGATGCCGAAGCTGTAAACGTCGCCCTTCTGCGTGCCGCGGGCCGGCGGCAGCTCCATCCGCAGCAGCTCGGGCGCCGTCCACAGCTTCTCTGTGACACCAGGGAGGGGGCTCAGGGCGGGCAGGGACCCCGGGCAGGGGCTGCTCCCGGGCTTGGGGGGTCGAGGGGGCTGCTCACTGGCGAAGAGCGCGTGGGAGTCCTCGCCGTCGGGGGCCACGCGGAAGCTCTCCAGCCCGTAGTCCGTGATCTTCAGCACGAAGCGGCTGTCCACCACGCAGTTGGAGGACTTGAGGTTCCCGTGGGAGACGATCACCCCGTTGTGCAGGAACTGCATCCCCTGGCAGGGCGGAGGGCGGTCGGACCTGGTTGTCCCCCCTCCCCGGGAACCGGAGGCCCCCATGGGAACTGGGTGCCTGGTGGGAACCGGCTCGTTACCTTAACGATGTCATGGGTGAGGGAATAGCGGAACATCCAGTCCAGCGTGATGCTCTCGTTCTCCAAGATATCCTGGGGACACGAGGGTCACATTGCTGTCCCCCCAACCGTGGATGGGCCCGGGATGGGGGGGGGGTGGACACCATCCATCTGCCCGCTGTGGTTGGCTCCCTCCCACCCTGGGCACCAGAAGAGCAGCTCTGGGCAGCCCTGACGCTGGGTGATGGGCACTGTGGGGAGAACCTCCAGCCCCAAATGGCTTCTGGGGAGCCGGGACCCCACCGGTACCTGGAGGCTCCCACGTGGGCAGTACTCGGTGAGGATGCAGATGTTGGGGGGGTCGGTGCAGGCGCCGATGAAGCGGGTCAGATGCTCATTTTGGACATCCCGCATCTGAGGTGGAAGCGGGGTGTGAGACCAGGTTCGTGGCACTTCCCAGGGGACATGGGGCTGGGCACCCCCACCCCAGCACGCGGCGCCGAGCTGGGGTCCACCTACGTGCTTCAGCTCGAACAAGACCTTGCGCGTCAGCTCGATGCGCTTGCGGTTGAGGTGCTTCACGGCCACGAGGTTGCCCTGGGAAGAGACACAAGGGGGTGGGTGCCTGGTGGGGTGACGGGGGCCCAGCGGGGTGGTGGGTGCCCATCCCTGCTCCCGCGCCCCCGTACCTTGTAATACGCCGTCTTGGCGTAGACCTGGAACTGCCCCTCCGTGGTCATCAGCGAGCCGTAGTTGGAGCCCCTCTTGGGGGAAGGGACATGGGGTGAGCCGGGGCACCCCGTCACCCCAAGTCACCGCCTGGGGATGAGGATGGGTGCTCACCAGGGAGAGGGTGAGCTTGCTGCCGGCGCTGCGGAGGTGCTTCTCCAAGCTGCTCATCTGCACGTCTTCCCAGCGGATCCGCCACAGCTCGGCCTCCAGCTCCTTCTCCAGCTGCAGCTTCCTGCGCCGGGAGGGCAGGATGAGACCCCCTGCGTGCGTCCCCCCACCTCCGGGGACAGCGGCTCAGCTTTGGGGCTCACCCTCCCCGACCCTGGCACCCCCACCTGTAGATGAAGAAGGAGGTGACGGTGATGGCCAGGAGGATCAGGCTGACCACGAGGGACAGGACCTCCAGGGTGGACAGGCTGGCTGCACAGCGAGAGGAGGGAGGTGAGGGGCTGGCGGGTGCCTCGGGGTGGGGGTCTCGTGGGTTTTCCCCCCCCCCACCTCCTCCTGACACCACTCACCTTTGCGGCACAGCGGGTCGCTGTTATCAAAGCCGCAGGGGGGGACGTCGGAGGGGACCACGTTCCCCGGCCAGTGGATCTCACGCCCCGGCACCATCTGGATCTTCTTGGTGGTGCCATTGTAGTTGGCCACGATCTTGGAAGGGGGCGGGGGGGGGGATGACACACACAAGAAACGGGTGGGAGGAGGCCCCCGGCTGCCCCGTGGGACCGGCTGCCCCCGTGCCGGGGCTCACCTGGAAGTCCCCCCGCACCGGGTCCATGTCCCACAGGGAGTAGTCGCTCTCCCGGTCCCCATTCTCGTCGATCTTCAGGAAGCCGGTGACACCTGGGGACAGAGGGTGAGGGGTTGGCGTGGGGCGGGGGGAACCCCAGCCCATGGGGGTGTGTGTGTGTGTGGGGTCTGATCCTAAAATATCATCCTGGGAGCAGGGCGGGTGGGGCGGGGAGAGGCCGGGGCTCACCGTAGAAGGTGCGGTTCCACATCTGGCGGGTGATGGCCGAGGCGTTGGCGACGGAGCCGCCCCGCTCCAGCGTCTCGTTGACGGCCTGGGCGTAGAGCAGCACCCCGTCGTGGAAGGCGGCCGCGATGAAGTTCATCTGGGGACACGGAGGTGGCTCGGGGACGGGGCACAGCTGGTGGTCCCCGTCCACTCATCCCCAGCAGCCTCAGGTCCATCCTCTGCCCCTGGCTCCGTCCCATGTCCCCCTTGTCCCCTTGTCCCCAGCTCCATCCCATGTCCCTTTGTCCCCTTGTCCCCAGCTCCATCCCACATCCCCTTGTCCCCTTGTCCCCAGCTCCATCCCATGTCCCCTTTGTCCCCTTGTCCCCAGCTCCATCCCATGTCCCTTTGTCCCCAGCTCCATCCCATGTCCCTCAACATCCCCAGCTCCACCCCTTGTCCCCCAACAGCTCCAGTGCCACCCCAAATCCCCTTGTCCCCAGCTCCATCCCATGTCCCCTTGTCCCCTTGTCCCCAGCTCCATCCCATGTCCCTCAACATCCCCAGCTCCATCCCATGTCCCCATGTCCCCTTGTCCCCAGCTCCCTCCCCTCTCCCCCCACCCCCGTGCCCCCCAGCTTTCCCAGCTCCATCCCCCCGTGCCCCACCAAGCCATCCTTCATGGAGAAGTTGAAGTGGGCGAGCGCCTCCTCCTTCAGCCGCGCCAGGAAGGGCCGGTACTCGGGGTTTTCGGGTTCCTTGTAGGTGATGATGGTGACAGCCTGGGATGAGGGGGGGAGCGGCTGGCAGCGGGGCCGGCTGGACCCCACAGGGACGGGGACCCTCCCAGCTCTCCTCAGGGCCGGGGGTCCCGGACTGGTCGCGGGGGTTGGTGCCTTTCTGCCGCGCCTATTAATAACCTCTGCTCCAGGCAGCGCCGGAGCTGGGACCCGGGGCCATTAATCTCGTTTCCTTCCTCCTCGGTGGTTGCCAGCAGCGGGGAGCGAGCAGGAGGCGGGGGGAAAATGGGGGGCTGCTCCTCCAGCTCCAGCTCCAGCGCCCACCTCCCACCGCAGCCCCCCCCCCCCCCCCCGGCGCCGGGCTTCGCGCGCGCACGGGATGGGCTCCCCGTGCATCCGCGCAGGTGGGTGGGTGCCCGGGCTCACCTCGAAGGCTTGTCGGGCGCTGGCGTCGTGCCGGTCCCCCCGTTTCCAGGGCCGCTGGGGTTCGGGGAAGCGGCTGCCCTGCAGGCTGGCCCCGAAGATGTCGATGTAGAAGAAGGCAAAGTCGCCGCGGGTCAACCCTTCGCGCCCCGCCTGCAGCATCAGCTCCCGCAGCGTCTCCGGGGCGCAGCACACGTAGACGACTGCGCGGGGGCGAGACGGCTCATGGCACCCCGAGACACCCCCCCCCCCCCACACACACACACTCCCCCCACCCCCGCCTCTAATTCCCACGGTGGACCCCCCAAAACCCCCAGCCCAGCAGCCCGAGGCTCCCCAGTCAATGGGGAGGGGACGGGCGGTGGGTTGTGCCCGTGGAGCGGGCGGAGGGCGGCCGTGTGGGATGTCAGGGAGCTGGGGGGGGGTGTGTGTGTGGGGGGGGTGTCCCAAACCCCACTGCCTGCCCCCCCCCCCCCCCACCCGCCCACCCTTGCCCTTCGCTGCGGGCGCCAGGCCGAGGTTTCCTGTTTTCCCGACTCCGTTTCCTCCTCCCTGCGGTCCAGATTGCCGGCAGAGATTGATCTCGGTGGCGTGGTGACCCCGCTGGAAGGGCGGGGGGGGGTGTCCCCCTTCGGCACGGGGTCGCGGTGCCAGCGGGACCCCGGGGCGCTGCCCAGCACAGGGCGCAGCCGTGTCACCCACTGGGACTGTGGGGTCCCAAAATAGCTCCCACCGAGGCGAAGCAGCAAGATGGCGAGGCCGGGGAGGCACCCACCCAGTGCCAGCCGCGCCGGCACCCACTGCCCCGGTGCCACCCGGGACGGGGACGGGGACCGGCTGGGCCACCCAGATGGAGGGGAACCGGGCAGGCGGCCACGCTCAGCAGCTCCCAGTGGGGCAGGACGTGGGGTGGGGGGTGCGTGTGTGCGGGGGGTCAGGGTGTGGGGCCGGGGCGGCACACGCGTGTGCGGTTGTGCAGGATGCCTGCGTGCAGCCGCGTGGAGCTGTGGAGAGTTGTGGCCACCTGGGGAAGGCTGTGCTCACCCGTGAGGAGCTGTGCACACCCGTGTACACCCGTGTACACCCGTGAGGAGCTGTATACACCCACGTACACCTGTGAGGAGCTGTGCACACCCATGTACACCTGTGTATACCCGTGAGGAGCTGTGCACACCCGTGTACACCCGTGTACACCCGTGCGGAGCTGTGCACACCCGTGTACACCCGTGTATACCCGTGAGGAGCTGTATACACCCACGTACACCTGTGAGGAGCTGTGCACACCCATGTACACCTGTGTATACCCGTGAGGAGCTGTGAACACCCGTGTATACCCGTGTATACCCATGAGGAGCTGTGCACACCTGTGCTCAGCCATGTACACCTGGAACAGCCGTGTACACCCGTGCACACCCGTGTGGAGCTGTGCACACCCTGGGACAGCCGTGCTCACCTGTGTACACCCGTGCGGAGCTGTGCACACCCGTGTACACCCGTGTACACCCGTGTACACCCGCGTGGACCTGTGCACACCCGTGTTCAGCCGTGTACACCCATGACAGCCGTGCACACCCGCGCTCACCCGTGTACACCCAGGACAGCCGTGCACACCCGTGCTCACCCGTGTGGGGATGTGTGGAGCAGCGCACACCCTGGGACAGCCGTGCTCACCCGTGTACACCCGGGACAGCCGTGCACACCCGTGTGGAGCTGTGCACACCCCTGCTCACCCGTGTACACCCAGGACAGCCGTGCACACCCGTGTGGAGCTGTGCACACCCCTGCTCACCCGTGTACACCCAGGACAGCCGTGCACACCCGTGTGGAGCTGTGCACACCCCTGCTCACCCGTGTACACCCAGGACAGCCGTGCACACCCGTGCACACCCGTGTGGGGATGTGTGGAGCAGCGCACACCCTGGGACAGCCGTGCTCACCTGTGCACACCCGGGACAGCCGTGCACACCCGTGTGGAGCTGTGCACACCCCTGCTCACCCGTGTACACCCAGGACAGCCGTGCACACCCGTGTGGGGATGTGTGGAGCAGTGCACACCCTGGGACAGCCGTGCACACCCGTGTACACCCGGGACAGCCGTGCACACCCGCGTGGAGCTGTGCACACCCCTGCTCACCCGTGTACACCCAGGACAGCCGTGCACACCCGCGCACACCCGCGTGGAGCTGTGTGGAGCTGCGCACACCCTGGGACAGCCGTGCTCACCCGCGTGGAGCCGTGCGGAGCCGCGCACAGCCGTGACCATCCACGCAGGGCACCGGCACCCCCCTCCCCAGCGCCGTGTCCCCCCCTCCCCGCACCGGTGCACGGCCAGACCCACCCCCCCCCCCCCCGCCCCACCGCCGGCGGGTGTGCGTGTGTGTCCCCCCTCTCCCCGGGGGCACTCACTGCGTCCCTTCTGCTTGATCTCCTGGATGATGAAGGAGAAGTTGCCGCCGTCGCGGAAGACGATGTCCATGACGGTGAGGTTGCGCAGGGTGGGCAGCTGGACGTACAGCCCCTCGGCGGCGAAGAAGTACGGCCGGTCGTCCACCTTCTCGTCCCAGTAAACCAGTAAAGCCCGGCGGGTCCAGTTGAAACGCCGATGGAGCTGCACGCCCAGCTCACCCAGTTTGCGATGGCTGGGACCGGCGCGGGTGGTCAACCCGAATTGCTCTCGTTTGTCGTCGAAGCCGTGGGCCTCGGCACCCGCCGTCACTAGTGGAAGCCGCCAGTGGCTGGTGAAGCGGGCGACCGGTGCCGCCGTGTAGACGCAACCGGGTCCCAAAAATGCGGCGGGGTGATGGGCGAGCTGGAGGTCGACGGCGGCCAACGGCGCGGCCATTTCGGAGCAAACGCCGTGACGGTCTTCGCTGCTCCCGAAGACCCACCGGAGAGTAAAACCGGGTAATAAATCGGGCCGGGCGTTGACGGCGGCGGCGGCTAAACGCACCGCCGGCCCCACTCGTGGCCAAGCCCACGGGTAGGTGAGGTTGCGCTCGGGTAACACCACGGCTAATGTCAGCGCGGTTGTCCCCGGCGTCGCCGCCACCGTCGCCGCGCCGCAGAGCACGGCCAGCACCGCCAACATCGCCCACGGAGAGTGGCTTTTCCCCCCGCGGAGGGGCTGAGCCCTTCCTTCCCACCCCCCCCCCCCACCCCCCCCCCGCGGTGACACAAAGGGCCGTTATCATCCACACCGAACTTAACTCCTTCCTTCCCGCCCCCACGGCATCCACCGAGCAACGGGATGGAGGATGGGGCCGCCCGGTGGTGGGTGGGGATATCCCCACCCGTGGGAAGCGGGGTGGTGGGGGGGCTGCGGTGCCGGCCGCGCGCCGGGACGCGCCGTACAGCGTGTTTCTGGCGTGTCGCGGGTTCCGCGGGTTCCGCCCGCTGACCGCCGCCCCCCCCGCCACTGTGGCATCGTCACCCGTGGGGAGCTGAGACCTGACAAACTTATCAGCGGGCAAGGAACACCCTGTGGGGCCCCGGTCCCCATCCCGTTCCCACGGAGTCCCCCCACCTCGCCGGGCTGCGGGCGACCCCGTGGGGGCTCCGTGAGTGACTCGGGCACTTCGTGTCCCCTCCCGCCGTGGGAGATCCTGCCCCGCGCCCCTGTCACGGCAGCGCCGGGGTAACGGGGAGGTTACCGCGGACAGATGCCGCGCCGGGGGCTGTGCGCGGACGCGCACGGCGCTCGGGGGACACGCGTGGTTTTGGGGACACGCACCGCACTGGGTGACACGCGCGGCGCCGGGGACACGCGCGGCGCTCCCGCCGGCGACGCGCTCAGCCCTCCGCGGACACGCTCGGCTCCCGGGGACACGCGCAGCGCTGGGGAACACGCGTGGCGCTCCCGCCCCGCCACGCTCACAGCGTTCCGCGGACACGCGTGACCCCAGCTGTCCGGAAAGGCTCCCGACACCCCGTGACCCGTCGTGCTTCACAACGCTGCGAAAGGTCAGTCAGGCGGGGAGAAACATTAAGGAGCGCCTTAAATGAGACAAAAAATAATTAATTAAGTCATTAATGAAGGAAAACACGGGGGGGGGGGGGGGGGAGCGTGAGGAGCCAAAACATAGCTAGCAGAGGATGGTTTCGATCCATCGACCTCTGGGTTATGGGCCCAGCACGCTTCCGCTGCGCCACTCTGCTGCCTGAGTGAGGACTTCCATCGGTGCTAGAGGGACTTACGGCGCTCCCGCGCATGCGCACACGAGCGCACCCCCCCCCCTTCCATTCCTGAACTCCGTGCCCCCTCCAGCGGCCGCCCCGCGCCGCGCCTGGCCGCTTTCACACGCCCCCTTCCCTTTGGATTGACGGTTGGCCGAGCCAATAGCTTGAAGCGAAACCCTCCTGTCCGCCGGCAAACCCGCGGCGCGCCGCAACCAATAGGCGAGCAGGTTGCTGCGGGGTGTGCAGGCGGCGGCGGGCATTGTTGGGAGCAGCGGAGCCATGAGGTGAACCGGGGTTGGGGGGGGGGGGGGGGGACGCCCGGGCACCCCCAGGAGGGACCCCCCCCCCCCCCCCGCTCCGCTAACGCCGTTTCCCTTCTCTTTCCCGCAGGGGCGATCGAGGGCGAGGCCGCGGCGGGCGCTTTGGTTCCAGGGGAGGCCCTGGCAGTGGGCGAGTCTGGCTTCTGCTTTAGCGAGGGTGGCTCTCTAGAGTGTCAGGCCTAGGGGGTGGGCTGCGGCCGCCCGCGGGGGCGAGCTGCCGGGGCGGAGAAACCGGGGGGGGGAGCGGGGCGGTGTTTCAGCTTGTAGTGTAGCGCAGGACAAGGATGAGGTGTAGGAGGGGGGGCCCGGGGGGGTGCGGCCACTGCCCGCTCGCAGCGGGGCTGGGGGGGGGGGGAAAGGGTGTTAGTTAGCGTTAGGGGCGGGGAGGGGGGGTTATGAAGAAACCTTTCCTATTTCTGTAGGGTCTTTCTGGCGTCTCGGGACCAAATCTCCACAAAACGGTGACCGAGGGGGTGCGGGGGGGGGGGGGGGGCGTTCGGTGGTGCTGAACGCAGCGGCTGGCGGGTGGACATCCCTACTGAGAATAAAGTTGCCTTTTTTTCTGTCTTTTTCTTTTCCCCTTTAGGTTCCGGCCCTTTGTGCCGCACATCCCCTTTGATTTCTATGTCGTGAGTAACCCTCTCCTCTGGAGCTGTTTGCAGGCAACAGCTGTGGGACTTTTCCTTGTTTAAAGATGCATTTTAAAATCCTCATTTGCTGACTTTGACGGTTTGACTTCTTTTAGCGTAGCTGGAGTAAAGGAGTTCACAGAAAACGCTGCTGGTTCAGTAACTAACCTGAAGTAGATCTTTTTACTGGCTCTGTTGTTTGGAGTACTTGTGTCACACAGGATGACTAGGATGCAGTTGAGTAATAATCCCAAGAAATAAATGCCTTGATTGAGGTTTTTCTGCTTTTTAAGGCACCCAGACACTCAGTTCTAACACAAACCTCATGGGTTACTCCCATAGCTGCCACTTGCCTGTCAGATGTTCTCCAGGCTCTTTTGCCCATTTCCCACCTTTTTAGAAGAGGAAATAATTTCCTCCTCCTGCCAAGCATCTGCTCTTTATAGATACATCACTTCCAAGGCAAACAAGTTCACTGACTCTTGCCTTCCAGACCCTGTGGCTGTGAATCCCGTCATAGCAGCGGAAAAGCTCCGGCCATCTGCAAACAAAGGGTGTTAAGGCACTGTAATATAGTTAATAAAAACTGTCTTGGTAAACCCATTCTTAATTAAATCTGCCCTGTCTCACAGCCCATAGTTGTGCAGGCACGCTGGCGGCTGCTCTGCCGTTCCTGGGCAGGCAGCTTCCCTCCCTCCCTTAGGGTAATGTGAAATTATGAAAGCAACAAGTGAAAAGCACAATGTGGAGTTGCAAAGGAAACAGGTGCTGGAGAATTAAAAATTGAGTAAATTTTGTTGATGAGTGGGTTGAACCAAAGTCTTTTTCTCGAGCATTGCAGTCTGATATTTGATCCCATTTCAGTGCGAAATGGCTTTCCCCCGCGTAAAACCTGCCGCCGATGAGACCGCGTTCAGCGAAGCCTTGCTGAAGAGAAACCAGGATCTTGCTCCGACCGCTGCTGAACAGGTTTTGTGCCAAAAAGTGCCTTAAATTCTTCAGCTGGATGTTAGAGCACTCAAAGACAGATTATCTTTCAGAGAGCATAGCCAGGAGTAGCCTCAAAAGTAATTACTTCTCTCTGAAATAAGCACTGCAGCAGAAATATGGGTGGAGTTTCTTGAACAGTGATTTTTAAAATCTGGTTATTATATATCTTGCATCAGGGCTGTCTGCATTACACTGTGCAACATCAGATTATTTCATGTCGTACTGGATGACTGGTTACACCACCCCTCTCTGTTTCTTTTTCAGGCTTCCATTCTTTCTCTGGTGACCAAAATAAACAACGTGATTGATAATTTAATTGTAGCACCAGGAACCTTTGAAGTGGTAAGTCCAGAAGTGGTGAGCTTGTTAAAAAAGCTATGTGGGGAGATGCTTTGGCACGAGGGATGCTGGTGGTGTAGCTACCAAACCTGGCCCAAATGGGGGGATTAAGGATTCATGCCGACTCCCCAGAATGTAGCACTTGCATTAAATTCACTAATTTTTGCTTTGCTCTTTCAAACAGCAAATCGAGGAGGTGCGCCAGGTGGGTTCCTACAAGAAGGGCACCATGACGACGGGGCACAACGTGGCCGATCTGGTTGTGATTTTGAAAATCTTACCCACCCGTGAGTATTGGCTGCGGGGCTGCTGACTGACCCGCGGCGCTCGGCCCCGCTCTCACCACCTCTTCTGCTGATACTTCTCCCCAGTGGAAGCTGTGGCAGCCTTGGGAAACAAAGTCGTGGAAAGCCTCAGAGCGCAGGACCCCGGCGAAGGTGGGATGCTCTCCTGTGCCGTGCGGGGTTGGGGGACGGGGTTGAGGAGGGCGTAGGCTGACGTGAGGGTTTCCCCTCGAGTTCTGAGGTTTTTCTGAAGGGGATGGTGCTGCAGCACTTCTGTCGAGATCCATGGGTTTTCCTGCATTCCCGGGTTTCGGTAAGGTTTTCCAGCCCCTCCTTGAGGAATTCGTGTTCTTTCTCCCCAGTCCTGACCATGCTGACCAACGAGACTGGGTTTGAGATCAGCTCGGCCGACGCGACCGTGAAGATCCTTATCACCACGGTGCCACCCAACCTCCGCAAGCTGGACCCCGAACTGCACCGTAAGAGCTCAGCTTGCTCTGCCCCACATGTGAACCTTCACCGGGGAGGGGGGGGTGGAGAGAACCAGCTGGCCTCCCCTGGCCTGCACCTACTCATCTTTCGGTTAAAAACCCCCCAGGTATTTCTGCTGCTTTTTTTCAGTGGACATCAAAGTGCTGCAAAGTGCCCTGGCTGCCATCAGACACGCTCGCTGGTTCGAGGAGAACGCTTCGCAGTCCACGTGAGTTTGGGCTCAAACGGGAAGTCCTGGCCAAAATCATCTCCTTTCCAGGGGAAAGCAGAAAGCAAGGCGAGCTGCTCCCGCAGCAGGAAGGTGCGTGACCGCATTACGAACCCTCCTCCTGCCATCTTCTCCAGGGTGAAGGTCTTAATCCGGCTGCTGAAAGACCTGAGAATTCGTTTCCCTGGCTTTGAGCCCCTCACGCCCTGGATTTTGGACCTGCTGGTGAGTGCAGGAGGGGGAATACTGATGGTGTGCCAGCCATGGCATAGCAAACCAAGCTGCCTGCGCGTCCCTGGGCTCCAGCAGCAGCAGGAGTTGGGATTCTTATGCTTCCCTTGCAGGAAGCAGCTCTTGTCCCAACTCCCTCTTTTTTCACCTCTTCAGGGGCACTATGCTGTGATGAACAACCCCACCAGGCAGCCCCTGGCTCTCAACATCGCCTACAGGTCCGTTGCTGTTTGCTTCACTTGTATAAATTCCTGTTATCGTTCGGTTTGAACATACCAAATAAAAGTGGTGGCATCTCAGCGCTTGGAGGGACCTGACCGGGAGACAGAGCAGATTCCTCCTCGCAGAGATGGGCTAATCACAGACTTTCTGGCTGCATTGGTCTAGTTTCTAACCCAAAATGTCTTGTCCTTTAGGCGCTGCCTTCAGATCCTGGCTGCAGGGCTCTTCCTCCCTGGGTCTGTTGGCATCACCGATCCCTGCGAGAGCGGAAACTTCCGAGTCCACACGGTTATGACCCTCGAGCAGCAGGTGAGCTGCCTCGTTCGCTGCGGGAGAAGGGACTAGAACGCGTCCCTGCTCTGACTCTTCCCCATCCCCGCAGGACATGGTGTGTTACACCGCGCAGACCCTCGTCCGGATTCTCTCTCATGGAGGCTACAGGAAAATCCTCGGTCAAGAGGGTGATGCCAGCTGTAAGTGGGGTCGGTGGAACGTGTGGTTTTTCCTCCACGCAGAGCATCAGCGTCTCAGTGGAGGGGTGGGACTGTTTTACTGCACTGCTGGAGAAAGGGCTCCAAGGAAAAGTGACTCAAACCCCAAAGCGGTGGGGAAGTGAAGCGGGGTGTCGTGCTTCCCCCTGCACAGGGCCAAGGCTTGTCCATACTGCTCAAGGTCACCCCAAGCCCATTTTTTTTTGCAGACCTGGCTTCTGAAATGTCCACGTGGGATGGAGTGATAGTGACGCCTTCTGAGAAGGCTTATGAAAAGCCTCCAGAGAAGAAAGAGGGAGAAGAAGAAGAGGAGAATCAGGAAGAACCCGCCACGGGCGAAGAGGAGGAAAGCATGGAGACGCAGGAGTGACTTGCCCAGGTAAAGCCTGTCAGAACTGCTGCCCCGGAGCCAGCAGTGCTGGGCTGGGAATGGTTTGGGGTGCCTGCACCCCCCCTCAGCAGCCTGTCTCTCCCCCCTGCAGCGGGACTCCCCACCGCCGGGTGCTGGTGCCTGAAGGATGTGAAGAACCAAGCAAAGGACTGAGCCCATCCTCGGTGAACACAGCCAGCTGACATCACCTGTCCCTTGTATGTGTTTTTATAAGTTGCCTATTAAATTGTTCCCCCCCCTTTTGAGCACATCCTATTTGTTTAGGTAGAAGATGCACATTATAGAAAGGGGTGAGGAAAAGGTCTAACAGGGAGAGGGGATTCCAGAACTTGGGGATGTTGACCCCCAACATCTCTCTGCTGGCAGCACCTCCCTGGTTCCGCTTTCCCCACAGCACAGCAAGGCGAGCCTGCGGCCGTGACGTGAGAGCGTTACAGACTCACGCTGCCTCACCAGCCCATAAGCAACACACGGTCACTTTTATTACAGCGCCTACAAATCTGGAAATACAATTTGGGGGTCCCCTGGTTCCTTCAGCTGCAGCTGAAGAGCAGCGGCCTCGCTGCGCAGGACTTCTTGCCCCCTTCCCGTGCTGCAGCCACTCGGGAGAGCGCTACTACAACCAGGGATACCCGCTCCCTTCACTCTCCTTACAGGATCGCACCCGTCACCATCCAGGGCTGCTCCCGTTCACCTCCCAGGGCTGGCACAGCTGTGGGGCGAGGCAGATCCAGCCCGGCACAGCTGTGGGGGCCTCACTTGCCGGGCAGGCCCTGGGGGTAGCCACCTGCTGCCTCCAGCATGGCTTTCCTCCGCACCGTCTCCTTGGCCACGCTGTGGTTTAGCCTCCGCAGCCGTTCCTGCATGGGGTAGGGGAGCAGCAGCCATCAGGGATTCCTCCCCCCCAAAACACTGTAGCCCCCCCTCCCCAACCCCCCAGGGTCCCCACGCTGACCTGGGCGTTCTGTAAGATGTTGTTGACCAGCACCACCCTGCGCCGGGCGTTCAGCAGCTTCTTCACGTAGGGATCGAGGTCCAGCGCTACTTTCTGGTCCTCGTTGATGCGGCAGAGCTCTGGGGCAGAGGGTGGGAGCGGGGCCAGGTCACCACGGGCCCCCAGGGGATGTGGGGTAAACCCCACTGCACCCCCTGAGCCGGGCTGCGGGGGTGACCCCCCCCCCATTTCTCACCTGTGGCCAAGCTGTCGATGTGCTCCCGCAGCTCCACCTGGCTCTCCCTGCGGAGGGGACAGCTCGGTGGGCAAAACCCTTGACATTCCCCCCCGCCCCCAGCCCCAAATTCTGCCCCGCCTTCAACACGGAAACCTCCGCGCCCCGCCCCAGCTGCCCCCAACTCCCTCCTAGTCCAAACGCCCACTTGGTTACCTGCACCCCCCCTCCAGCCACCCCGAACTCTCCGCAACCCAGCGATACACCCCGACACCCCACACGCACCCCTAATACCCCGCCTCAAGCTCAGGGACCTGCCCCCACCGGCACCAACCCCTGCGGCCCCCCCCAGCCCAGCCACAAGCCCCTCAATTCCCCATCTTAAGCCACCCACACCCGCCGTAGGTGCCCCTCAGCCCCGCTCCCCCTCAGGCGCCCCGGTTCCTCCTCCCTGGCCCCGCTCCCCGTTCCCGGACCTGACGGCGTGAACGTGTCCGTCGAGCTGCCGCACTGCCGGCCGCAGGAACTGCAACAACCCCTCAGCGAACAGCTCCCGGGCCGCGGGGCCTCCGCTCCCCGCCGCCATCTTGACGCCGCGGAGGCCGCCGGGAAATGGCGGCAGCGCGGGGGCTGCCGGGAAGCGGAATCCGCGGGGCGAGGGCGGCAACTTCCGCCCCGCGCCGCGGGGGCCACTGGGAAATGTAGTCCAGTGGGTGTGTGGGCGGGGGGGCGTTAGCCCGACACAGCTGTGGGCGCATCTGGAAGCACATCTGGCCGCGCAGCCCTCGCTCTCCGCAGCGCCGAGCACCCGCGGAAAAAGCGCAGATAAAACCTCAACCCGTTCATGAAATAACGGTTAAAACCAGCCCTCACTGTATGTTTTTGGTTCTCTATTTTTTTTTTTTTTTTTTTTTGGCTTTTTCTTACAAAAATTAAATTAAGAAGGGTGGGCGGTTAGCGCAGGGGGCCCGGCTCGGCAGCAGGCATGGTGTGCAGGACCTCGTCCAGCAGCTGCAGGGCGCGATGGAGGTGCACCTCGATCCAGCACGGCGTGTGCTTGATGCTCTGCCGGGGGTAGTCGGGCCCCCAGCCCTTGACGAAGCTCAGCCGCAGGATACACAACCGCCGCAGGTCGTCCACGCCGATCCCCGCTGCCGCCGAAAGCCCTGCCCGGGAGGGATGCAACCACGGGTGAGGGATCCCCCTGGCCACGGGGGTCTTGTCCCCCCACCACTGTCCCAGCCCCGGGGGGGCTCACTCACCCACGGCGGACGCGATGCCTCCCACCGAGCCGGGCCCCGGGATGTTGCCGGCCACGGCGGCAGCCTGAGCGGCAGCCGCAGCCTGAGCCGTGGCCGCTTGCTGCTGCATCTGGCGGTGGCACTGGCGTAGGTCAAACACCTGGGGGGGGGGCGGAACGTGGGGGAACCCCTCAGCAAGGCAGCATGGGAGGGGGGGTGCCCCAGGGACCCCCTTCAGCATGGGCACGGGGGTCCCTCCAACCCCAGGGTCCCTCCATTGCCCCCTCAGCATTGGGGACCCTTTGCCTGGGACCCCCTTTAAGAGGGGCACGGGGGTCCCTCCACCCCTGGTCCCTCCATTCCCCCTCCACCATGGGTGACCCACTGCCCAGGACCCCCTTTAACACAGGCAGGGGGGTCCCTCCATCCCTGGGGTCCCTCTGTTGCCCCCCAGCATGGGTGACCCTTTGCCCGGGACTCCCTTCACCAGGGTCATGGGGTTCCCTTCATCCCTGGGGTCCCTCCATTCCCCCCCCCCAGCATGGGTGACTCATTGCCCAGGACCCCCTTTAACATGGACATGGGGCTCCCTCCACCTTTGGGGTCCCTCTATTGCCCCCCCAGCATGGGTGACTCATTGCCCAGGACCCCCTTTAACATGGACATGGGGCTCCCTCCACCCTTGGGGTCCCTCTATTGCCCCCCCAGCATGGGTGACTCATTGCCCAGGACCCCCTTTAACATGGACATGGGGCTCCCTCCACCCTTGGGGTCCCTCTATTGCCCCCCCAGCATGGGTGACTCATTGCCCAGGACCCCCTTTAACATGGACATGGGGCTCCCTCCATCCTTGCTACCCCCCTTCTCCTGGGGATGCGAGGTCCCCCCCTTTCCCCCTGGGGACACCCCACCTTGATGTAGGCGCCGGGGTAGATCTTGTGCACGGCGTCCCCGGGGGCTCTCCCGGCCTCTCGGTCCAGGTAGTAGCTCTGGACGAAGACGGCGTGGTCGCTCAGGCACCGCATCCACACGTCGCCCTCGCCCCGGCACTCCAGCTGCACGCCCTTCCCGATGTGCAGCCTGTCCCGCAGAGACCGTCAGCACCGGCACCCCGCTGGAGCGTCCCCCGGCTGCCCCCAAAATCCCCCATTAGCCCCCTGTATCCCCCCACCTGCCCTGTACATCCCTTATTTGCCCTCTAGATCCCCCTCCTGTCCTGTACCTTGCCCGTTTCCCCCATGTCCCCCCTCTGCCCATCACCCCCCAGTTGCCTCCTATATCTCCCCACCTGCCCCATCACCTCCCAGTTGCCCCCTAGATCCCCCCACCTGCCCCATATATCCCCTTTCTGCCCCATCACCCCCCAGTTCCTCCCTATGTCCCCCCACCTGCCCCATATATCCCCTTTCTGCCCCATCACCCCCCAATTTCCCCCTATATCCCACCTGCCCCATATATCCCCCATTTCCCTCTTCTGCCCCATCATCCCCCAGTTGCCCCCTATAACCCCCCACCTGTCCCACATATCCCCCAATTGCCCCCTATACCCCCTTCTGCCCCGTACATCACCCCTGCACCCCCATGCACCCTTCCACCCCATCATCTCCCTTCTGCCCCATGCCTCCCCCCCCACTGCCCCCCTCCTATTTACACCATCCATTCCTTCATCCCCCATCCACACCTGTACCCCCCCCCCCCCCACTTTGCCCCCCACCCCACCGGGCCCTCTCGCTGGCGTCGGTGCGGTGCACGTTGGAGAGCTGCCCCAGGCAGAAGCGGTCCCCCCCCGAGGGGTCCACGTAACCATCCACGATGACCACGGGGCAGCTGGACGGCACCTTGAAGATCTCCCCCACCTGCACGTCCATCTCGAAGTAGGCGATGGAGCACCAAAACTCCGGTCCTGGGGGGGGGGGACACACCCCCCCACACCCACAGACAGGATGGGGTCAGGGCACCCATGGCTCAGGGAGGGGGTGATCAGTGGGGTGCTAATGGGGAGGGGGCACTTACCGGGGTGGGTGGACACTGGTTGCTGGTAAGGCCCAGAGCTATGGTGTGGGGGCCCTGGGGAGGGGGCAGAGATGGGGTCAGCGCAGCAAATAGGCTGGGACCTTGTAGGTGACCTCCCCCCGCCCTCCCTCTAGTCCCCCCCAAACCTACAGTAGTGGTTGGGGTGATGGAGTGGGGGCTGCGGGTGGTTCCGGCTGCTGGGCTGTGGCCCCCCCAAATTCGGTGTGTAGACGGCCGCACCGGTCCAGCTCACTGGTGAACCTGGGGCAGGAGAAAGGGTGGCCAGGTTGGGGCGAGGGGGGTGTCCCCACGTGGGGCTCCCACGGAGCTGGGGACCGTGGGGTGATGCCGGTACTCACTGTGGTAGGGTGGCTTGGGGTAGCCATTCTGCGGGGGAGTCTGTGCCGGGGCGGCCGGGGGCGGTGTGGGGCAGGTGATCTGCAGCAGCCCCTCGCCGTGGGGCAGCGAGAGCAGGGACCCACTGGGAGCCACTGTTTGGGACACACACATGGGATGGGGGGGGGGGGGGGGGAGGGGGGCACTCAGGCTGATGCCCTCAAACCCTTCCCAAGGGATGGGGATGGGGGTTTAATGGGGGTCTCACCTGGGGGTGACATAGGCAGCGCAGGGTAGAGGCTCCTGGGGACACGGGGGGTCTCGGGGAGCTGCGGGGGGGGCAGCGGTTGGCAGTAGGGCTCGGCGGGGGGCAGACGCGGCGCCTGCTTGGCCCCCTGCTCCCGGCCGGGTGGCACCTCCATCTGCACACAGTCATGGACAAACTCCTCCTTCACCAGGCGCGTGGGGGGCACTGGGGAGGGGGGGGGACACACACCGGAGACCATGGGGGGGTACGGGGACCCACTGCGGGGGGGGGGAGGTGCTGGCTCCGGGGGTGCTCCCCGCCGGTCCTGTGCCGGGGTCTCACCTGTGCTCTGAATGCTCAGACCTGCCAGGGAGAGATTGGGGGGCGCGTTATGGGTGCTGGTGGTGGGAGTGGGGTGCCCCCCCTTCCCCCCGGGGGTCCCAGTGGTGGCAGTGGGGCTGGCTCACCGATGGCGGGGGCCACCACGCGCTCGTAGTGGTAGGGGTTGACGCAGACGCTGTCGTACTTGAGGTCGAAGGCGAATTGGCAGAATTTGACGTGTTTCAGCTCGTTTTTGTGTAGGTCGGGCCAGCGCCAGAGCCGGGCGTAGATGACGTGAGGGAACCCCTTCCTGCCAGCCACCTGCGAGGGGACACACACAGACAAGATGGGGACACTGGGGTGACACGGCAGGGTGTGGAGATGGTGGGGGGTGTGTGTGTCTGTCCACTCCCTTCCAGCCCAGATGCCAGACCCCCTCCTCCCAGCATTCCCCCCTCCCCCCCAGCGTGGGGGCTGGCTGGTGCCCAGCCGGGACCCCGTGGCGGCTGGGGGGGCTCCCCCTGTGCCTCCCCGGCTCCAGACATAACAACCCCCCCACTTCCCCCCCTCACAGCTCGCAGGCTGCCAGACAATGACTCATCCCAGGAAGAGGGGGGGGGCAGAGTCGCCGGGGGATGCCAGCGCCAGGGAGAAGGGGGGGGCGACGGTGACCGCAGGCAGGGGGTAATGCTGCTGCCTCTGCCTGAATGCATCTGTCCCAACAGGGTGGAGACATCTGCCTGTCCCCTGTCCCCACCCCACCCCCCATCTTTGGGGCAGCCATGGCTGCGGGTGGGTGCAAGCCCAGACACTGAAGTCAGCATGGCTCCCAGCCTGGAGCCGCAGGCTCGACACGGCAGGGATCCTCCTGTGCGCCCCTGCCCAGGGGGGTCTCCTCCACCAGGTCCCTTGTTCAGGTCCCTCCAGCTCGGGGAAGGCTGGGGGGGTCTTGGGGCACCAGGATACCTGGGGTCCCCCAGCTCAGGGGGGGGCTGAGAAGGTCTTGGGGCACCAGGATGCCTGGGGTCCCCCAGCTCAGGGAGGGTTGGGGGGTCTTGGGGCACCAGGAAGCCTTGGGTGTCCCAGCTTGGGGAGGGCTGGGGGTCTTGGGGCATCCCAACACCCAGGTCCCCCCAAGCTTGGGGAGGGCTTGCATGGGGTGTCATGGGGTACCTGGGTCCCCCCAGCTTGGGGAGCATTGTGGGGTCTTGGGGGTCATAGGGCACCCCAACATCCAGGTCCCCCCAGCTCAGGAAGGGTTGTGGTGTCCCAGGACCTTAACACTCGGGTCCCCCCAACTCGGGGAAGGTTGTGGGGTGCGCAGGGGGCACCCAGACACCCAAGTCCTGGCGCCGTGGGGTTACCTGGAGCCGCCCGTCCAAGGTGCGCTGGATGGTGACGCACTTGCTGGGGTGGGCGCCGTTGGTGGTGATGGCGGCGATGAGCGAGTCGAGCTCGTCCTTCTTCTCCTTGAGCTTCTTGACGAGGCTCTCGATGGCCCGCTTGGCGAAGGTCTCGTTCTCCCCGCCCTGCCGGTGGCACATCAGGCTGTGCACGATGCTGAGGCAGGCGTCGCTGCTCGTGGGCGCGCCGAGGGACATGGCGCTGCTCCCCTGCAAGGCACGGCACGGCACGGCCCTGCCTGTCACCCCGCGGCAGGGGACCTGCCACCCCCCCTGCCCTCGCCTGCACGGCTGCCGTGGCACGGGGCCACCAAGCCGGGAGTTAAGCACCGTATGGGGTGCTGGTGCCCACGGAGCAGATGTGGGGTGGTTGGTGCGGGCAAGAGGGGACATGGCACCGGGGATGTGACAGCCCCCCTGGAACAGCATGTGGCAGGCGAGGAGGACATGGGACAGAGCTGTATGTCACCTTGAACAGAGGGGGGGCCAGCCCGGATGCCTGGGTTCCACGGTCCCTGTCCGGGGTGGGAAGAGGCACAGGAGTTACAGCAATGCTGGGACACTCGGGGTGTCCCCATCTCCCCGTGGTCCCTGGCTCTGACAGCAGCCACGCTCAGCAGCCTGCACGGGTGTGGGGACACCGGCCGTGTCACACCGGCGGCCTGGCAGGCAGCACGCCTGCGTGTGTGCAGCGTGCAAGGGTGCCTGCGTGCGTGCAAGCCTGCAAGCGCCCGCCCTGGGCTGGAGTGACAGCCGCGGGCTCCGCGCTGCCCGTCCCATCGCTGGCGCGGGGGCCAGACTAAACAGAGCCCCAGCTTGGCGCCGCTCCTTAACCCCTCACTCGCTGCTGGGCTTCTCCCTTTCCTGCCTCCTCTGCCAGACCGTGTCCACGCCAAGAGCCGCCTGCATACACACACGTGCCGAGGCCCCGTGAGCATCCCCCCCCCCCCCACCCCGGGCCGTGGCCGTGACGGGGCTCTGCGCCTGCTGCGGTGCCGCTGCAGCGGGGTCCTGGTTCTGCGTCATGACGGGTGCAACGCTCCAGGGGCTGGGAAAAACCTTGGGCCTGCAGCGGCAGACACAACAAACCGTCAACCCTTGCTCCGCGCTGCTTATCTGTGGGACGGGAGGCAGGCTGTCCTGCCAGCACCCTGCCTGCTCCTCCCGCCCCGTGCAGGCGCAGAGCCATGGCCCCTCTCTTGCCGGAGCAATGCCGCTGGCCAGGCTCCTCCGGCTTGAGACGAGCCAGATGCTGTCGGCCACGGGGACACCTCTGGAGGGCCCCCCCAGAGCCTCCCATGGCTGGGGCACAACCCTGAGCACCCCATCAGGTTATGGGGTTCACCCCGTGGGTGCTAACACAACAGCCTCAAGCGCCCGTCCTGGGGATGCCGGGAGCTGCCCCGATGCCGGCATTCCTGCCTGCTCCCTGCCAGCCCGCTCGTCCCCAGGGTCCCTGCCTGCCTGCCATGCTCTGCCTCAAGGCTCAATTTTGAGGGCAAAATTGGTGAAAGAGGATAGTAGGGACTCCCTGCGAGCAGAGGCTGTCCAGGATCAACCTGAAAGGAGCATTTGGGGGCCCCAGCTACCCCCAGCTTTGGTGTCTGGACCCAAAGGCTAATGCCTGCTGCTCCAAGAAAGGCCAGGGCCATCTCCAGCCCCATCCAAAACTCAGCCCAGTCTGGCTGGGGGGAAACCAGAGTGAGCAAGGGCCAGAGTCAGCTTCTCCCTGGCTCCAGTTCCCCCCGGCGATGTGACAGCCAGGAGTGCTCGCTGGCTCTTTAGAGAAGACGTCTGTCCCTCCTGCCCCAGCGTCGGAGCAAACCAGAGGAATAATGAGGCTCCTCATCGCCCCACTCCAGATGGGAAGTGACATTTCTGTGCGAGTCTTTTGTCCCAGCTGAGGGGACATGGCTGGGGGCTTTTCACAAACCTGTCAGGGCTCCTCCTGCGGCAGCGCGGGGCTGGGATCGAGGTCTCCCCTCCTCCCCACCCTACATCACTCCTGCTGTGAAAATACCTCGCTGATCCCGTGGCCCAAGCCCCAAAGCTGGAGCCAGGCTTGTCCCCCAGCTCAGGAGGGGGGTTGAGCAGCGTGGGGTGAGGGGGAAGCCAGCTCCTGCATGGACGTGGACTCCAGCCTAATCTCCTTGGCTCTGGGGCCCCTAATTTTGCTCCCAGATAATCCCAAGGGCATGGACAAAGGGACAGATGGGTGCCTGGGTGGGGACTTAATTCCTGCATGTGTCTCCCCACTTCCAGACTGGCTTCTGCCCCCCCAGCCCAGCTCCAGCTCCCCAAACTGGGAAGGGGGATGCTCCCCGTATTTGAAGCCTTGGCTCATGGATAGAGAATGAGCAGAGCAGGAAGGGAAGAAGCAGGAAGGATGCCCTGAAAAAGGGGGTGCCAATGAGTCATCCCTGCCCCATCCCAACTCTCAGGACTTCGTGGGGTAGCAGCCCACCTCCATCCTGATGTTACCCACAGGCTGAAAATGGGTGTTTGCCTGCTTTTGGGGCTACCGGCGGGAGGAAAGCAGAGAGGCGCAGAAGGGCTGCCTGAGCGGGTGGGGGTCCCACCCCATGGCAGTTTAATGGGGGTTGGCCGCCCTGACAGCGAGGGGCCGGGGGCTGTCTCAACAGGCTGGTGGGGTCGGCAGAGAGAGGCGACGGGCTGGGCGCAGGGCTTCGAGGAGGGGACACGAGTGGGGATGTCCATGGGACTCGGGGCCAATGCAGGGAGGTGGGTTGGGGGGGGCTGGCAGGGGGGGGACGAGCAGGGTACTCACCTCCGCCGCCCGGCTCTCCTCACTCGGAGCCCGGCTCCCGCTGCATCCCCTCCGGCTGCCCGTGGCCTTGCCCGTCCCTTCCCTCAGCCCTTCCCGCTCCTGCCCGTCCCTTCCCTCAGCCTTTCCCTCAGCCCTGTCCGCTCCTGCCCGTCCCTTCCCTCAGCCCTGTCCGCTCCTTCCCTCAGCCTTTCCCGCTCCTGCCCGTCCCTTCCCTCAGCCCTGTCCGCTCATTCCCTCAGCCCTTCCCGCTCCCGCCCGTCCCTGCCGCCGCTTTCCAACTTGTTTGCTACAACAACAAAAGGAAAAGCCGGAGCGCGTGAGGCGCTGGAACGGCGCAGCCAATAGCAGACGTCGTGACAGGCGGCCGTCGCGTCTCCAACCAATAGCGACGGCGCTTCCATGGCGGGCGGGGCGGCTGTCTGCGCCCACAGGGCTCCATCGCCGCCCGAGCCGGGCCCCAGCGCCGGGCCGGGCCCCGGGCACCCCCTTTTCCCCCTCCCGAAACCGCGGCAGCCCCGGGAAGGAGGCCGGAGTCGGTGATTTCCCGATGCGGGGACGCAAACCCCTCCGGGAGAAGCCCGGACAGCCTCGACCCCCGGCCTTTGTGGTGCGCAGAGAGGAGGCAGGCTGCCTGCAGAGGCAGCGGCAGCCCCTCGCAGCTCCCCCCTCGGCGGGTTTTCCCCTTCCACGCTCAGGTTGGGGACTCTTCTTGCAGCAGCAAACACAGCTTTCCCTCAGCCTCCTCCTGTCTCCACAAAGTAAATTTACTCCAGAGAAGGAAAAAAAAAAACAAAACAAAAAAAAATTCAAAAACCCCAAACAACTCAAACTCAAAACCCAAAACAAAACAAACCCCCTATTTCTAGGAAAAATCACCCAGAGTCCACATTACTTTTATAATTCTCCTTTGTTACAACAAACCAGAAATACAAGATTCCATTGAATCTGGAACAGTTCACAGAATGGTTGAACTTAAAATTCAAGGAAAGGGGGGAGGAACAGACCCTTCCCAAACCCAAGGGTTAAGTGCAGGCAGTTGGGTTGACCAGAGGACACAGTTTTGGTTAAACCGAAAGGTAACAGATTAATTTTGGACCCTCTGTTTTAAAAAGAGACAGTTCTACCATGCTTTGCTGTCACAGCTGTAATTTTATGTTCCTGCTTCCAATTTCTTTAAATAAACATTTGTTTTTGCGGATACAGAAACCACTGGTGCCATCTCTTCAAACACAATGCAAAAGAAATTCAAACTTTTATCTAAACACAAAAAAAAACCCCACTATAACCTAAACCAAAAAGTTTTCAACTCGGGAAGTGCTCTCCACTAGGCATCTGCCAACAGAAGAGGAACTTTTGGTGCAAAACAGTAAGATTGGCATGTCTAGGAATGCTACAACTAAACCTGGCCTGTTTGCCTTGCTGGGAGTTTTTTGTTTTGGTTTTTTTTTTTTTTTTTTTTGGTTCAGATGGGTTAAACTGAACTTGCAGGCATGAACTCGGCCCTTGGGTCACACTTGGGGACCTGGCCAATCCCAAAATGAATCTGCGGGGCTCAAGAGGCACAAACACGCGATCCCAGCACCCACGAGTGCTTCACCTAAGGCAGCGTGGGCACGGCGAGTCACCAGCGCTGATGTCGACGGATTAATTGCAGCAGATCTGTCACATTCATGTTTGGAGTACTCAGGGAAAGAAAAAGATATTAAAAAAAAAAATAATAATAAAAAAAAGGTTTCATACAACAGATAGTATCAAAACATTAAAGGAACACACTAAAGTCTGATCTCTGGGTAGAGCAGGGCCGCTCCCTATTCCTGTGGGTCCTTCCAGCATGAATCGGGGTTTCCGTTTTTAGCTTATGGGCATCGACATAACACACTAACTTCAACAACAGTCTCTGGGAACGACGTTCAGTCGTTTGTTTCTGGGTCTGTCTGAGCCATGTAAGCATCCAGCTCAGCATCGAGGTGTCCTTTCGTTTTAGACATGTAAGCATCTAACTGGTTGTCCAGCTGCTCCTTGGTCAATGCAGGACGTGTCGATCCTCTTCCTCGTCCTCTGCCTCTGCCACGACCTCCAAAGCCCCCTCGTCCCCGGCCCGCCATGCCGCGACCTTACAGTGAGACAAGATGGTGGTTACACACTCCACCAGACTGAGCCTCGGGTTTTGCCGTGCTGGATTAGCTCCCCAGGCTTCTTCTGTTTCAGTCCAGAAGCCTGGAGAGACATCTGATCCACAACTAAGAGCTATGCTCTTAGCTCAGACTCCCATCTCCCCCGCTCGGGTACCAGTTCCACCGCCACGCCGCGTATTCCCCAAGATCCTGCACACCTCTGGGTCAGGCTGAAGCTTTTGGCAAAACAAGCAAAGTCATCATGCTGTTACGAGCAAATTTTTCCTTCAGGAGTAGGATACCCAAGAGCCCACATCGATCAGCATGTGTTTGTCAGGCTAAAAAATACAGCTAAAGCTACAAGCCAACGCTGTCAAGAGATGGGCAGCTTCCTGGTGACTGTCTGCTCCAACTCCTACAAACATTGGGCCAAGCCCAAAGTAACATGAGAGAGCACTTGGCTGGTATTCTACCCAAACATCTGGCTGAAACATTAACAACCCTGCCATCAACAGCTGTCTCTTGTATTTCCTCTTGCTTTACTGCTTCTCTGATTTGTTGTTGAAAATAAAGAGTTCATTTACCCGCAGCTTGACTCCTTTTCAGACTTTGAATTTAACTTTATTTTGCAGGGGTTTAGACTTTCTCCTGTTAATGTTTTCCCCCCTCACTAATTAAGAGTCTCTTGGTTTACACAGGCTCTGTATCATTTCCTTCTTAAATGTGAGGAGACAGTGTAGTCTTCCTCAATACACTGGAAGATTACTCACTGCCTCAACTACTATTCCAAGCATCACCCAGACAGTAATACCTGCAGGAGGGGACAGCTTCACTGACAGTCCCCAGAATCCCTCTACCTAAACACTGACACAGTAAAGGATCTCGTTAGGCATAAGGCCTGGCAAAATATTTCAGGAATGAAAGCCTTAATTTAGCACTGCGCTGCATGAAATTCAAGAACAGAGGGCTTTTGGTGCCGCATGTACTTACACACACTAGGCTGAAAGAGAATTCAAGCTTACTTCTACTTATTCAGCAGCAACGTGTCGCTCCTGAAGCTTGTGTGCACTAACCTCTGCCACCAAGTCCTCCACGGCCCATGGCGCCTCTGCCTAGGCCACCTCTCCCAGGGCCACCGCGACCTCTAATGCCACCTCTTCTCAGGCCCATCCTGGGGGAGATACCTCGTCCTCCACGAAGCAGGCTCTGACCTTCCACGGAGAAAGAGAATTCAAATGAGAACAAAACAAGTTTTCAGACTCATGCTGTCAAAAAGACACATATTTATTTTTATATATATATATATATATTTATATACACACACTGACATATAAGCAATTGCAGTTCAGCCATGGTACTGACCTCTGAGTGGGACTCCTCCTCTCAGCAGAGCTCTTGCTCCCCGGCCACCACGCATGGCTCCTCGTGGCAAGCCCCTCTGCCCCATAGACAGTCCTCTTCCTCCCATGGCCCCACGAGCGAGGGGTCCCGCCGGCCGGCCTAATCGTGCCTGAATATTACTTTTACCAAGGCGTTGCTTTAAGCTCTTCTGGAATAGATTTTTAAGAAACAAGAAAATCATGCAGCAATCTCAGACTTGCAACATAAACAGCATAACAATCACCTATCAATAAAAGTGGTGTGTTTTGGGTTGTTTTTTTATTTTTTTTTTAATAAAACAGAAGGTCACCAGCTCTCTGCCATATATAATTGAGTTTCAAAGGAAGACAATAAAATCTGCTCTGGAAGGGATAATTTCTGAAGGTCAGAGAACAAAGACCGTTCCTAGAAGCAAGTGTTTGTACAGACAAGAAAGTTTGCAGACTTGGAAGTATTTTTCTCAATTTTTCACAGTGCTGCTAAATCCAAATCAAAGCAGACACTTAATCCACAAGGCAGCCCCCTAACCTTTTCTGCTGGAAGGTGACAGTCCAAGCAAATCCCCAAGACAGAAAGCAACTACACCTGCCGTGACACAAGCCTAACCTACCTCTGCAAAGCAAGTGACATCTGTGCAGCCACACACCACGGACACCATTCCTAGTGGCCTATTGCCTTCCACAGTGGGTAGCCTTCCACAAAGATTAAGGCAACAGCTAGGAAAGGCATTCACTTTTCCATCTATACTATGAAACCTATACTGAAGAAATGTACTCACACCAAAACGACAGTGAAATAGTAATCTTTGTGTATCTGGCTTTTGAAGTGTGTTTCTTTTTTTTTCCCAGCACTGTTCACATGCACAGGTACCCATCTGGTCTCCACAGAGCAGGCTACAGCTTCTGTGAGCACCGCTGAACCCTACAAGGAGCTAAGAAGCAACAGTGGGAACCTTCACACTCATCTTGAGAACAAAAGCTCTTGGCCGTAAGAGGGTGATGAGAGCAGCCACAGAGGCTGTATTTTACTACTGGTTCCAAGAGTTGCTTCGAGTTATTGCTTGTCTACTTGCCCCAAGCCTGTGGACAGTACAACTGGTTCCTCTAAAATCAGTCTCTTCTGTAACTGTAGTAAGATTTTAAGCTTTACTGCCTCAGTCATTCATTTTTCCAACATCCGTAGCAGCTTAAAGTATTAACCTCTCTCTTTTGCCCAGCCTCGCTGGCAGAAAGGAATGAGAAAGCATGTGTATGTTCCACATTCAATTATTCATTTATGTCACTTACCAGGAAAGTTTAAGATAAGCTGCTGGACTTTGCCCTGAAACAGCCTAAGAGTGCTCACCCTTCTGCTCTACCTCAGAGCGGCAATACCTTGGTAAATGCATTGTCTAGAACCAGGCAGTATAAATGTTTTTACATTTAAAAAAAGCCACAGCAGGTTTACGCCAACACTTTTGCATTCAGATGCAGAGGATGCAAAACACAAACCCACAGATCTAGCACCGGCAGTGCTCCACAGGAGTTTAGGGAGGTCCTTTCTGAAGCACGGGTGACCCATCGCTGGGATCAATGCTCCCCAGCACTTCTGGACACAGCACAGAGGGCTCAGAAAATCTCCTGGTGATACCGAGTATACAGCACTTGTGAAAATCCAGTCGGTCACCACAGGAACTTCCAGAGCAACGCACAATCTTTGAAGAGCAACCCAACATAAACCAGGTTTACAAACTGCACAACAACGCCCTTCTGTGGCCCTTCCCTGCAACATTTAATTCTAGACCATGAAAGCACACCTATGCCCAACATAAAAATCAAATGGGTTTAAGAGCTAAGCCAGCATCTAGTTCTTCCCTGTTCGTCTGTGGCACCTCAATTCAGCAAGCAGAAACTTCATGCTTTCAATAGTTTCACTTACCACTTGTGAAATTCTTAGCTTTTCAAGCTTCTGTTTTTTTAAAGCAGAAAATAATTCAGACTACCATTTCCAGAGCTTTTGTTTACAAGCTCTGCAAGGCTAACTGGCACCAGAGTCTATTTTACAACTGAAGCCTCAAGAGATCTTAAATAGCAGCTGCATTCCTCTTTATCAGAGAGCGATCCCTGGGTATGAGCACGCCTGTCAGGTTTAAGTATGCCAGCTATTCGGTGAATCAGCTCAGTAAGAAATTTCCAGGGCTTTCTCTGCATGTGCAAGGTATTGTGCAGAATTATATTTAACTACTGCTGTAGTCAAGGCATGCAGTATTGCTATTCGAACTCACTGCACAGCTGTGAAGGACTACCCCACACGTTTCAGTTTGTGCCCTACATATATATTTTAAGCTAATCTTAGCAGCCTTTCCACTTAAGCACAAACTTTAAAACTTTCAAACAACCCCTACGGTCTGACAATGAGCAGGCTCTGGACAAACAGCTCTCTTCTGTATGTTACTGAGGTTTCTGTTGTAGTGAGGTTTTTCCCCCTGCCCCTTCTCTAACTCCAGAGTTACGGTGAAGCACTCTGACTGCAGCAGTCAAAATCTAGCATGCTTGCTTAGGTCTTCTGCTCTACTGACAGAAGGCAGTTTTAGTAACACACTATAATCTGTAGTACTCATCACCGAAATGTAGAATGATAAAGCAACACTATGCCTTAAATCCAGGCCCACATTCTAGCATTCGCAGGCAATCAAAAAAATCAGTTTGTTCATCTGTTCCTCGCAGCCAGCTGCTATCAAGGGAGTGCACCAAGAGAGGGTGGAGTTAGGGATGGGAGCAACCAGTCTCAACTGGGTAAGTACTGGAAACAATCTGCAGCAATTCTAACTGCAGCTAGATTGCGAGATGAAGCACTCGGCAGATCCAGAAACCCAGAATGAGAACATTTCTCTGAAAAAAGAGAGGAGATATGAACAGCCAGCACAAAAAAAAACCCCCACCCAACTCAATATTAACCAGTAAGGTACAAAGCATTACTTATCTTAAGGAAAAAGTGGGGTTTTCTGCAAGTCTCTTTTTTAACTTTCAGGACCATTTTTCAAATCCACCACATCCTGAAAAGCCATCTGCTGGTGACAGGCATCAACGGGCTGTCCCAAAAAATGCCACTTTCTCTCACCTGTTTGAGCTTCAAAGCAGCCTGGACAGAAGGTCTATTCTCCATCTGCTGGGCCAGTCTTCTGTTTCTGGCACTGGCTAGCTGCTGCTGCTGCTGCATCGTAGCCCGAATATTCACTGGCATCGGCTGTTTGTTCTTCAGCATGTTAGTAAAGCTTCAAGGTCGAATAAAATGGGTGTTTAAATAAAGCTTTATTACATACATTTATTGGCATTTCATGGTTCTCAAGATTGGATCTCCAGATCCCATGAACCTTATGTAAAAAGTGGTACTTAGGTCACGTCACATGGGATTACGTATTCTTTGTTTTCCACAAGTGTGCAAGAACTGGAAACTCAGAAATGATGTTGTATATTAATTCAGAAGTGATAAAGCTTTAGGTTACTGATTTTAGAAATGGCAGAAGGAATGAAAACAAGCAATAAGCAGAGATGATCATGACAGATGGGAGAGGACATCACAGAAACAGAAAAGCAAACTGAAATCTGACTGCAAAAGCCAAATTAACCCTCCAAGATCTGAGAAAACTGTTTAAAAACCTCCATGCCAGAAGGCAGCTTTACGAGAGCCATCACCCTGAGAACAGACCGGCGTGCTTTTGGTGCATCACTGAACTGATGCCGTAAAAAAATGCCACCACCCAAACGCACTCATTTATAAAAGCAGCTCACTTGACACATTTCTTTGGTGCACAAAGAATCTTCCGTCTTTAAGAGCCATACAGAAGCAGAACATACAGCAGGCTGGTAAGCCTCCTTAGCAGCAACGCATTGGCTTTCTACGGTGTCCTGGGAGCTATACAAGACTGCAAAAGAAAATACTTACAGATGAGGAATATGGACTGACCAAAACGAAACAGGCCAGCAAGCCTTCCCTGCACTGCACCTTAGCACTCATCTTCCCTGGGGTAAGCTCCAAGCACCCGTTCAGGCTCCATCTCACTACAGCACTAGCTAGAGCACAAACTGCACACAAGCAGCTCCCTTTACCCTGGTTCAACGACACTAACATCATTAATTCAAGAGCAATTAGTAAGAAAGTGAAACACAACTGCAGCGTCACTGTTAGTTGTCACTACAGAACTGCAAAAGCTCAATGGCATGGAAAAACAGAATACTCAACAGAAAAAAATAAAGAAAGCAAGAAAAGAGAGAGAGATGGAGATGAAGCAAAGCATTTGCCTCTTACAAGGCCCAAAACACTGTTAAAGGGCCTTCGGGCTTGTTTAATGGCCTGCTGCATGCCTCTTACAGGCCAGACCACATGCACGTGTGTCTGCCTCGGACAAAGCAGCAAGCCTGCTGCAGCTTAGGTAACATGCTACCGTGCTGCAGTGTCAACTATATAAATGTAATAACATGTGGAAGAAAAAGGGAGGGTGTGAGGTTTCTCTCTTTTGTTATAACACATCCCACCATATTTATGTGTTGAATAGTTTAATATTAACTGCTATGGATAAATTTCTCCAAAACACTTGCCCTTTTAACCTGGCGTACCACATTTGTTGCAGTTTAAGACAGAGGTGCATAGCCATCTGCTTGTTTTAGTGAGGTTAAAAGAGGGCAGAAACCACGTTGGTTTTTGGACACCGGACAGTGATAATTAAGTAAAAAAATTTCTTATGAGCTGAAGCTGCTGTTGGCTTCCTCACCGCTCGTTCAGAGACATCTTGGTGGTGCTCTTTAGCACAACCTTCGGTGCTGACTGTGCAGCCATCTTCAGATCAAGAGAATCTGCAAAATACAAGAACCAGATTTAACAAAATGGCCCAGAGATCTTGTGCTTACTTGACTAAACGTTAAAAAAAGGTGCATTCTGATTTCTCTGGTGCAGAGCATCAAGAGCAGGGCAGGTAACAGGTATTCTATTAATGTATTTTTAATAAGTTTTCTAGGCCACTGCTATGATACAGCAGGTTTAATAAATAAGGAAGCTATTCTATCTCATCCTTACTATGAAGTCATCTTTTTAGAAAGTGAAAATTTTACCACCGGCAGTGGTAATGCTGCAAAATTACAGTCCATCAGCAGTCAAGATGGCACCCACATATCTTTAGTACAGCATCTAGTGACACTGCCACACTTCCTAAGCTTCTAGGATCAGCAAGATGGAAACCCCAATTTGTTTTAAACAGACACATACCATATGCTTGGCAATAAAATTCCAAGATTACTTTACAGAATTCCCCTATACTTTGAAAATGTTAAGGTTCCATCCTCATTATGACTGCCACCACTTGAACAGTGATAAACTGTAAGGGGACAGTCACTTCGACTTGTTAATACCCAATACTCTGGTAGGCAGTTCATCCGCTGACCTAATGCGGTTCTCTAACATGAGACCCTGCCACATGCCTCATGAAAGCAGCAAAGGGATTTAAACTCAGCTGTTCCTGATCTCTGGAGCGCAGCTCAAGCCCTGCTTTGGCAGTGACGAACGCGACTGAAATGTGCTAAGCTCAAACCCACTGACTATGCAGATCCATTTCTCTCTTTTTTTTAATAAGTAGTATGAAATTTAATGCTCAGATGACTGCCGAAAAGGACTCAGCCTCAAACTACCTTGAACAAAATGTTTTCTTTACGTTTCACAGTCCACCAGCTAGAAACTGAACCAACAGGCTGCCGCGCGCCATTTTTAAAAATTAAAAATGTTTTTGAAGAACACCTTTTTTCCTCAATAATAACCGCGCAAGGGAAGCTCCACTCCCATAAGCAGCGCCTGAGGGGAGGGGGAGGAAGGCGAGGCCTGGTCTAGGCCGCCGATCCAGCCCCGTCCGACGGCTGCCCTACGACCCAGGGGGAGAAAGCCCGGCTTTGTGCGCACAAAGCCCGTGCAGCGGCAAACACATCAACCACCCCCGCCCCGCAAAGGGGCAAAGATCAGCCCCACCTGCCGCCTGACGGGACCCCGCGGCCTCCCTTGCGGAACCTCCCACCCTCAGCAGCCCCTCCGCAGCCCTCCGGCCAGGGCCAACGTGCTCTCACCGAAGCAGACGGTCGCCAGGTCTCCGGTGGGGCTAACCGGCGGGTGGCGCGGGGTGTGGGGCTGACTCCGGCGCCCTCCGCCCGCTCCCGCCGCGCTCAAACACCCGCGGACAAAATGGCGGCGACGACCACAGCCAGCCAGCCACCCTCCCTCCTCCCACCGCCCGCGCCGAGACGGCCAAAATGGCGGCGCGGCTACACAAGGCGCAGGCGCAGAGCCCCGAGGCCGCCACCACGCCCCCTGCCACCGGGCGGGGCAGCGCGGACGTAGAGACCGCCCTCCTCAGCCATTGGTTCCTCCGGGCGGTGGTGGGCGGGGCCGGGCCGAGGGCGGGAGCGGCGGCGGCGCTCCCTCAGGGCGGCGGCGCCGGTGCCGTCGCGCTCCAGCGGGGCTGGTGTCCGGTTCCTCCCGCGATCGTGTAAAGGGTGGGCGGGCCCCTGAGCCTCCGCGGCGGAGGCCGGTCCCGCAGGAGCCGCCCGGCTGGGCCTGGCCTAAGCGGGGGCGTCGAAGACTTGAGGAGGCCTCAAGGGGCCCCCGCGGCCGGGCTGGGCCTGTGGCCTGGCTGTCCCCGGTATGTCCCCGCGTTCCGTCGGGGCAGCCCCCGTGTGAGGCCCGACCGAGGGGGGGGGTGTGTGTGGGAGGGTGAGGGCCTAGAGCCGCGCGGGTGGCCCCAGCCACGGCAGACGATGGCGCTGGCGGCCCTGCGAGGGGGCCGGGCCGGGCCTCGGCGTGGGGGCTGCTGGCTGGAGGCCCGCTGGGGGAGGAGGTAAAGAAACCGGTTCCTCCAGCCTCACGGGGCGCGGTGCCTGCGCCTCTTGACAGGATGGGCAAAGAGTCCTGGCCTGCGGCTGCCTCCCCCGCCGGACCCCCGTGCCCACATGTTGCACCCCCGCGTCCTGCATCCCGACACCCCGGTGCAGGCTGGGGTCACCCGCCCCAACTCTGCTGTGCCCTGGGGTGATCTGGGGTTGATGCCAGGCTCCGGGGCAGGGTGGGGCGCAGGGTGTGATATAGGAGCCAGAGCAGGGTGGAGACAGGGATGTCTCCAGGCTCTATGGGTGACCCAGGGTGGCTTTTCCCTGTGACCCCGTGGCTCAGGAGAGGGAAGGCTCCCTGGTATCCCCGGGGGCACTAACAGGGGGGACAGGGCAGAAACCCCAACCTTGGAAACGAAGGAGCTGACAACACGCCTCTGGCTGGGTCGGTGCCTTTATTGTGGAGCTGGATCCCAGTGGGATCCCCCGGGTGTGCTGGGGAGCGGAGGGTGAGCTGGGGGGGTGGCGGGGGGCTCTGCGTTTTGGGGACCACCATGACGGGCTGCTGCGGGGTGGGGACCAGCCTGGGTCAGGCATTCTCCCAGAAGAAGGTGTTGCAGGCCACGGTGAGAGCGGCCACCAGGACCACGTACTCCTGGAAGTCCACCTCCCCATCGCCGTTCTCATCCAGGTCCTGCATGATCTTCTCCACGGCACCCGAGTCCTTCTGGGTCTGTGGTAGAGGGGTGACAGGGTGAGCCCTGGGGCTCGGCAGCCCGTTGGGATGCTGCTGCCCCAGGGCATGGAGGGAAAGGGGGGACCCCCCGCACCCCAGCACAGCCGGTGCCTACCTCCAGGAAGCAGCCCAGCTCGCTCTGCAGCAGCTCCTTCAGCTCCTTCTTGCTCAGCTTGTACTTGTCCCCCTCTTTCCCCGAATAATGGTGGAAGACGTTGATGAGCGTCTCCATGGCCCCTTCCAGCTGCGACGCCATGGCTCTGGCTGCGGGGAGGCACCCGCCGCGTTACGGGGGGGGGGGCAGCCACCAGCCCCCCCTTGCCGCAGCCCCCAAATCGCAGCCCTCCCCTTCCCCATCCCCTGCTGGGGAGCGTCGCATGCCGTGGCCTCCACTCTGGGGAGGGCGGGGGGGTGTCTCAGGGTACCCTGCTGTTCCCCAGGGCTGGGTGGGGTGCTCCTGGGGGAGGGGGCTCCGGCCACCTGCCCCCCTCGTAGGGCACCCATGCCCCGGCCAGGACCTGTGCTCACCTGAGCTCCCCGCCGCGCCGCCCGCCCGCTGCTCCGAGTGTGCCGGACTGGGTCAGCCGGGGACGTTAAATAAGCTCCAAGCCCCCTCCCTCCGGGAGGATCCGATACCGGGGCTGGACAGCCCGGCTGGCACCGCCGGGCCGCCCCGTGCCGCCTGAGCGGGGGCCGGGATGCGGGGAGCCCAAACCCACGGCACCCCGCTTGCCCCACACCGGCCCTGGGGTGATGCAGAAAAGCCTGCCCAGCCCCACCGGTGCTTAATGGCGCGGCGGTGGGCAGGGGAGGGGTGGGCAGCGATGCCGAGAGTCACTTTGGGGGGCTCCGTGTCCCTCCACGTGCTAAACCTCGGGTGTCCCTTCTTGCCACCCCCCACGGCTGAGGCTTGGCCCTGCTGCGGTCCCTGTGGGGCGGTGGGGATGTGTGGGGCAGGCTCCCTTCGCCGGGGTCACGTCACCCCCAACCCCAGCTGGCTTGTGGTCGCATCCTGCGCCGGCCCCCGGCTCCACTCGCAGCCGTGGCCCCCGTGGCACCGCCGGCGCCCGGGGTCTGACCCCGCGGCGTCACCCGCTCGGCGCCCGCCGGCATCCCCCATCTGTCAGCGCCGCGGTGCCGTGCCGGATCCGTCCCCGGCCCTCCTCCCCCAGGCTGATAAGGCCCGGGTATCCGGTGTCTTCGGCCTCGCAACGGGAGCCAGCCGGGGCCCGGGGGGAGCCGGCGGGGGCTATCGGGTGACTCAGCCCAGGCCCCCCGGGGCCGCCCGCTCCCCGCACACAGAAAGGCCTCTTGTCAAATTAAAAAAAAGCCCTACAATCCCAGCCCGGAGGTTGCTCCAGCAACGGCTCGGCCAAGAAACCAGATTCCCGAGCTGGCATCGCCGATGCTGATAATCCCGGCCCCGGCTGCGGCTCTCGTTACGGCCCCGCATCCGCGCGGCCGGGGCGGCGTGGGGCCGAACCCACTGCGGCCTCCCCTGCACCGGCATCCCCGGGGGAACTGCGACGGTGCTGAGCCCCCAAACTCAGGCGGGCACCATCGTCCCCCCTTTTTGGGACCTCTTCCCCTCGCCCGCTTTTCAAGGGGGGCTGCTAGAAGCTGCCGGCGTTGTGGCTTTTCGCAAGAGCCGGGTGGTGCCGGGCTCTTTATCCTGGATTCCAATCCTAATTTGGGGCTAATTATATCCTGCTCCCTCCGTTTCCATCTTCTGCGCTTCCTGTCCCCACGGTTGGGAAATGCGAGGCCACACGGCACCCCCCCTTCTGCCTGGGGACCCCAAAACCACCCTGTCCCCCTCCGTCCCCCTGAGCTTGTGCGGCCACCCCTCTGCCCTGTGCTGGAGTGTGTGTGTGTGTGGGGGGGGGGGGGGGGGAAGCTGGAGGGTTTGGGGTGATGTGTAGGGTTTTGGGGGGCCAGCCCCTGTCCTGCACCTGGGGAGGCTGAGGTGGGGGTCCCGGATGGAGCTGCATCCCAGCAGGACGCAGCACCCGGTTTTGGGGTCAGAACAGGGAGCGGGGGGCCTGGAGCTCCAGGAAAGGCCGGCTCCAGAGCCTGGGGACAGCGGAAAATGGGAAAGGGCCGCGGTGACACTCACTTGACGGTGTCCGTGCGGGGGCTGGTGGCAGCGGAGCCCCTCTCCCCCTGTCCCCAGTGCAGCTCAGCAGCCGGCAGGATCCGGCCGCTCCTCCCGGAAAAGCCTGGCCCTCGGGGCTGTGTCGCCTGCCCAGTTGGGCACCAGCTGCCCGTGACAGGAACAGGCGTCGCCGCCTGGTCCTGAGCTTAAAAATAACCCGACCCCAGTCCCTGCGGTGGGCACAGAGCTGGGGCTGCCAAACCCCGGGCACCGGCATGGCCGGTGTTTCCATCCGGCTCTGCCCCGCTCTTATTAAACCCCAAAGCTCCCCGGAGATCAGGATTTGGCCGGACGTTTGCTGAGCGGCGGGACTGGCTGGAGCCGGGTGCCCATGGATAAACCCCAACACCGCAGGGGCAGCGGGTGGGTGCCGGAGGGGTTGGCCCCGGGCGCCGCGGCCCCGTTCCCTGCCGCTGCGGTGCCGGCCGTGGTGAGAGCACGCCCGGCCTGTCCGCGCTGGCAGATCCCCAGGACAAGCTCTTACCAAACCGGGAGCAGTGAGGGACATGCCAGGAGGTTTACACACATCTTGGAACAGGTTTCAGCCGCTACGACTCCCCATGCTCCACTTTGACCCAGCTAAACCAGTTGCTCCAGTTGCTGGTGCCGGGGCTGGGCTGATCTTGTCTCTCCGTCCCATAGCTGGAGCATGGAAGAGTCTTTTTCATCCCTGGGGTTTGGAGCGGGGGGAGCTGCCGTGCCAGGGCCGGGGGCATCGCGGTGGCACCTGGTTTTGCAGCCCCAAATAGCCACGCTCCCCTTCAACAAGCCCTGATAGTTGCCGTGGGCTGGCGTGGACCACTGCTGGGCTGGCCACAGTGTCCATCCCTGCTTGGGGTCCCCAATTAAGACACGTTGGGGATGACACCAGGCCCAGGACACGGGGGTGGGCGCAAACCCCCTGGGATGCACCCCGACCCTGAGCTCTCCCCCCCGCCATGGGGGGGTCCTCAGGTGCTCCGGGGTCCCCGAGGCCGGGTCACCACTCCCTGCCTGTGGGGGACAGCCCTGAGCGGGGGATCCCGGGCTCGACCGGGAGGTGCCGTTTCTCCTGCCGCCTGTGATTTGGTTGCATCCTGTTGCGGGGCCGCTGCAGCACCTGCTGCCTCCTCACCCCGTCTTAGCACCCCGAATTCCAGGGGTGACGAGTCACGGGCCCGCCTGGCTCTTGGGGCCGGTGATTCACCCCAAACCTGTCCCCTTCCCTGCCGAGCTTGACTCACCCCAGCGGTTTCCCAAGAGACCATCACGGTCCCCTGACGTGGGGCTCGGCGGAAGTCCCGTCCCTGTCCCCCCCGTCATCCCGGGGAGGGGGCCGGGCCGGATGGGGCTGCAGGAAGCCAATTCCTCCCCCGTGAGCTGGTGTGACGGGTGCGGGGTGGGGACCGGGCTGCCCGGTGCCGGCTGGAGCCTCCCCATCCCTGTGGAAAGGTGGAGTGAGTGCATCAGGGCTCAGCAGAAACCGGGCTGGTGCTGGTGGCAGCGTGCTGGGGACCTCCCTTCTCCAAGTCCCCAAAACACAGCTGGTGGGGGGTACCCACGCTGCGCCAGGGCCCCCAGAACCCCACTCCCACGCGCTGTCTTTAGGGGGAGGGGTGCTGCTCTCCCCGGCCTCTCTCCCCGTCATCTTGGTGTCGCGCTGCCGCGGGGACGCCGGGACACAGCGCCCGTGGCGCGCGAGGAAGGAAGGGGTGGCTGGCGATCAGGGACATCCCTGCCATGCTCCCGGCAGAGACGGTCCCCAATGTCACCCCCACCCGGTGTCCCCACGGGGCTGTGTTTTGGGGACCACGTGGGGTTTGTTTGGGGCCGGGGGGCCCCGTGGGAACGGCGGTGCTGCGGCGCGGAGCTGCTCCGTCTCCCAGGTGGAAACCTGCCAGGGCTGCCATGTTATAAATACACAATGATTAAAGGGGAACGCTCGGGCAGTTCCAACCCCCTAATTAATTTGGATTAATTAATTTTTACAAAGCCCACTATTAATAGGGATGATGTCAGAGGGTGGCTGAGTCACAACTCTCACTCGGTGCGGGTCGAGCCCGGCCCTGGGTCTGCAGCACTGCGGCATCGCGGGCTGGGACAAGCCACCGTGTCGAGGCGTGGCGGGACGCAAGCGGGGTGCTGGGGACCACATCCCCATCTTCAACACAACCCCGTCCCCCGAGGGGTGTATTTGGGGGTGAGACCTGTCCTGCACCCCCAGAAAGGTCCAAGTGATTCTTGAGCTCCACGGGATGCTCCAGCCCGCTCTGTCCTCCCGTGTCCCTCCCCTCTGCCCCGTGGTCCCATCCTGCTCCCCCCCCCGGAGCACCCCCACGGCGGCAGAGCCCAGGCAGGTTCCCGCCAGCGGGACCGAGCGCTGAATTTGGTCCGCTGCCCGCGCTGGGAGGGAGGAGAGGAGGACGTCTGCACGTCCGGGCGTTGTCTGTACGTCCGTCCGGCTGCAATAGGAAACCCAACGCCGTGGCACGGGGGACAAAGCGCTGCGCTCTCCCCTCCTGCGGCGCAGGGTATAAAACCTCCCGGGGCGGGGGCCGCGACCTGCCTGCAGCTCTCCGTCCGCAGGCGAGGGGGGTAAGTAGGGAATCGCTGCCTGCAGCACCGGCCCCACTGCGGCCACCGTGTCTTCAGCAGGACAAGAGCGGTGCTGGGGGACCCCCGCCGTCCCCCCCCCCCCCGCCCCGTCCTTTTCCTGATGTTCCCCCCCCACCCCGTCCTGGCTGCCGCTGTGGCGTTTGCGCCACGTTGTGCCGGATGGCAGCCGTGTCACCGAAGGGCTCTGCTCCCTCTCCCTGCGCCAGCCCGGGAGGGCCTGGCCGAAGCGCTCGGTCCCTGGGGAGCAGCGGGGCAGCCCCCAGCTCCGGGACCCTGCTCAGCCTTGCAGAGCTGAGCTGAGACCTTGCAGACTCACCGCACCCCGGGCCAGGGAAGGGGAGAGGGTCCACCTTCTCCCGACGCACGTCCCCCGGGACGCCCCTCTGCCTCCGACCCCCTCTCGGCTCCTCTCCCTGCAGCCCCAGGCCACTGCCGTGCCGCGGCACCATGGCCACGGGCGAGCTGACCGAGCTGGAAACGGCCATTGAGAAGATCGTCACCGTCTTCTTCACCTACGCGGGGAAGGAGGGCAAGAAGGGCACGCTGACGGCCAGCGAGTTCAAGGAGCTGGTCCAACTCCAGCTGCCCAACCTGATGAAGGTGAGGCGAGGGGCAGCGTGCGTGGGGCAGCTGGGCGGGTTGGGTGGGTCCCCGGGGGTGTCCCCCCCCCTCCCGGAGCTGGGGGGCTGCTCCCGGTACCCTGGGATTTGCAAGCGAGAGCGCTCAGCAGCCCCCTGCTCCCCGTCCCCCCCAATCCCCATCCCACTCGTTGGGGACCGGGATGCGGCCGAGCCTCCCCCTGTCCTCCCCGCAGGACGTCCCCTCCCTGGAGGAGAAGATGAGCGAGTTGGACGTGAACAACGACGAGGAGCTGAAATTCGGCGAGTACTGGCGGCTGATCGGGGAGCTGGCGAAGGCCATGCGGAGGGAGAAAGCGGGGAAGAAGAAATGATGGGGCTGGCGGAGGAGACTCGGCCGACGTGGAGCTAATAAAAGAGGTTTCGCTGAGCCCGAGCATCGCTGCTGTTCTTAGTGGGGGGCTCGTGATTTGGGCAGCCCAGCTCCCCTGCGTCCCCACATCCCCTGCCCACGGCCATGCTGCACCCGGGGACACCGCGAGTGGTGGGACAGGGCTCACTCTGCTTTGGGGTGGCTACTGCCGGGAAGCTGTGATGGATGGGACCGTTGCCAAATAGCCCTCGCCGCTGGTCTGGCTTGCGGGGGGGTGCCACCCTGCACCCCACAAACACCTTCCTGCCAGGCTGTGGGGTTGCTTAGTGCAACCCCGATGGGTGACAGAGATGTGGCTGCGACCAGGGTGGGGCTCAGGAGCATCTCCAGCGGTGATGCCATGGTGGCCGCGGTGGTGGCCACCTCCATGGCATCGATGCCCATCCTCTTTGGGGTCTTGGGTGCCACGGGGTGGGGGGGACACGCATCTGCTGGCACGTCACGCCCCTGGCTCAGCACCCCTGACCAAGCTCCCATTCCTGGCGTTCAGCTCCCAAATCGCAGCGTCGCTGGAAAATGGTGAAATCCCCACCGTGGGGTGACCCATCCCTGAGCCGGCCGGGGCCCGGTGCCCGGGTGGCTGTTCCCACGCGGTGCTGGGCGGCCGTACCGTGCCAGGCTGGATGGGGAACCATCAATGTGGCCGGGAAGGAGGCGTTTCCCAGCCCCACGCTGGCCCGGGGCCAGGCTCCGAAATGAGACGCCTTGCACCACACCGCAGCTGGCGGCGCGCAGGGAGCTCCCACTCACACCTCCCCGTGGTATAAAACCCCGGCGCGCCGCAGCCCGTGCAGACCCAGGAGAGCCCGTGGAGCAGGTAAGTGGCTCATCCGCCACTGTGGGATGAGGGGGGGGTTCCGTGCCCAGGGGTCCTGCCACCCCTCTGCACCCCCCCCCCCCACCTCCACCCCGCTCCCACGCTCGGCTCTGCCACGACTTGCCGCTGAGGCAGGGACGCTCCTGCCGCTGGGACGTGTCCCGGCAGCTCACCGCATCCTGGGGCTCCTTCCTCGCCCTGCGCTCAGTCCCGGCACCGAAGGAGGAGAAACTCCCCCTAAGCCGAGAGCTGAGCCTGGCTTTCTTCCCTCCGCCAGCTCCTGAAGACCCCGTTGGAGAGGACAGCCCCACCGCTGCTGCCACCAAGGACCTACAGACCCCGCGAGGAGCAGCATGGGCCAGTGCAACTGCCGCAAGAAGCGCAAGGTCCATGAGCGACGCTGCGGCACCGGGAGGGCCGGGACCCCCGGCGGGGTGTGGGGCGCAGGGGTGACCCCGCACGGCCCCATCCCTCGGAGCGCAGCCCTCGGCATGGGGTGACTCAGAGCAGCGCGGCCGGGCCAGCTCCATCCTGGAGCCAGACTCCAGCGGAGGAGCCCGAGGGGCTGTTTTGGGGGTTCGGCAACTCTGCCCCAATGCCGGGCAGGGGGATCTGGTGCTGCAGGCTCGGAGCCACTTGAAAGCTCGGGGAACCAGGCAGCTTTCTCCAGCTCCCGTGGACTCACCTTCGGGAGCTGTGCTCGCTCCTTGCAACCTCTCCAAGGATGCCCAATGGCAGAAAGTCTCCTGTTTTCCTCGGCTTTCAAAAGGGAGGCGCCCACCCTGTGCTCCTTTGCACCTCCGGAGGATTTGGCCCCGGCTGGGGGCCGGGCTGAGGCTCTGAAGATTGCTGGGTTCTTCCTAATAGGCATCGCCTGATGTGGTTTAATAGTGTTTCAAGGGGAAACCGCAGATGCTGAGTGAATCACCATCGTTTCCCTTCAAACGCAGCTTTGGCTAATTAGCACGAGCGGCCGGGGAGCCAGGCGCGTGGGTCAGGCCAGTCTCTGCCCCCCACCCCAGTGAGGAAGGGGGGGCTGCAGCCCCGACGGGGAGGGAGAGGGGGCTCCTGCTGCTGCTGAGCCCCATCCTGGCGGGCACCCGAGTCGTCCTGGGCACTGACTCATGCCGCCATCCGCCGCTTGTGCAAAGGAGAGGAAGAACCAGTCCGGACGGCCGCGGCGGCCCCCGCGCCGTGGGTGTAGCGCCTGGAGACGCCGGGGTGGCTGAGCCTCGCTGGCCCCGGGCAGGGAGAAGTCCGGGCAAGCAGAGACAGGGGGGTGACATGCCTGTGAGGAGGGGCGTCACATCGAGGTGGAGGGGTACGGTAGCTGTCGGGGAGGGGAGGGGGGGACACGACTGCAGTTGGGCAGAGCCTGGATGGAGGGATGCGACATCTGTGCGGTGGGGTCTCGTGTCTTTACGGAGTGGTCTTGCATCTGTATGGGGGGTCTCGCATCGGTAGAGTGAGGTCTCGCATCTGTGCAGGGGGTCTCGCACCTCTACGGAGGGGTCTCATGTAGACAAGGAGGTTTCTCCCGTCACTGCGGTGGGGTTGAACATCTGAAGAGAGCGCTGCCACATCGGCTTGGGGAGTGTCCCATCTCCTCAGGGGCTTGTCCCATCCACCCAGGGGATGTTCCATCTGTCCTGGGGATGTCCCATCTGTCCAGGGAGGTGTCCCACCGGTGCTCACCCTCTCTCCTCCGCGCAGGACTGCCAGGAGCTCACCGACGTGGAGCGGGCCATCGAGACCGTCATCAACCAGTTCCACTGCTACGCAGTGAAGGGGCAGAAGGAGTACCTGACGCCCAACGAGATGCAGGAGCTGGTGGTGCAGAAGCTGCCCCACCTGGGGAAGGTGAGGGAAGAGCCCGGGGGTGGGCAGGGGGAGCTGGGGTGGGCACAGGCTGCCTGTGGGACCCCGCAGCCCCGTCACCCCGATGCTTTTTTCCGCCCCTGCTGCAGTGCGTTGGACCGCTGGACGAGAAGATCGAATGCATGGGAGACCCTGATGAAGCCAAGCTGGAGTTTGGAGAGTACTGGGACATGATGGGGGACGCGGCCAAGGGCTGCCGGAGGAAGTAGAGGGTGGCGGGGGACGGGAAGGCGCCCGAGGCCTCAGGCTCTGCACCGAGAAGCGCGAGAGGCTGCTGGTCCCGGTGGGATGCGCCTGGGAAAATGCAGCATTGCTCCTGCTGGGGCTCATCTCCTCCCCACGTCCCCGGCCCGGGGCGAAGGGCTCCCCCTCCCCGGCTCCATCCCTGCCCTCTCTCGGCTCCCCTTCCCTTCAGGAAACCTCCCTTCCCATCCCCAGCTCCGGCCCGTGCCGCGGCGGGAGGGAGGTGGCAAGGGGGTTCCTGGCCCCGGCTGTGGAGCCGCCTTTCTCCGTCCTCTGCTCCAGAGCCTTTACCCCCGGGGTCGTCCCACCTCCGGCCCCAAAACCCCTCCGGTTGCAGGTCCCCCAGCCCCGGAGCATCGCAGCGAGAGGGACTCGGCTCCTTTCCCCCCCAAAAGCCCTTGGATGTGCGGGCTCGTCCCCCCCAACCCCGTGTCCTGCCATCCACAGTTCTGCCTCGTGCTTCGAGCACTTCTGGGGACATCCCGGGCTCCGGGCCAGCACCAATGTCGTCGTGCATGGCCTGGGTGTACTCCCTGCTCTTCCCCCGGTGCAGGGACCACGGTGCCCTGTGCCTGCCCGGGTTTTGGGGTGCTATGCCGGGGTGTGCTGCCTGCACAGTGCTCCCCCGCCTGCCCCTCGCCAGGGATGCTGGCCCCCGGCTGGCAGCTGGGCTCGGGGCTGGGACGGTGGCGGGTTGTTATCAGCTTGCATCACTTGCAACCATTTTTGTATAAATTAATAAAGGAAAACACTGGAAACAAAGCAGCCAGGATGGGGTGACCTCGTTTGTCCTTTGTGGGAGAGGGAAAAGCCGGGGGGGTCAGGGAGGGACGGGGCTGCAGCGTTCGTGGCTCTGAGCGTCCCTTGCTGCGGGGTTGCTCAGCCCCGCTGGCCCCAGTGCAGAACACGAGGGTGCAAGGGATGCGGTGGGTGTGCAAGGGATGCTGCGGGTGTGAAAAGGATGCTGCGGATGTGCAAGGGATGTGGTGGGTGTGCACGGGGCTGCAGGAGTGCACAGGGCTGTGGGTGTGCACGGGGCTGAGGGTGTGCACGGGGCTGAGGGTGTGCACAGGGCTGAGGGTGTGCACGGGGCTGAGGGTGTGCACGGGGCTACGGGTGTGCACGGGGCTGAGGGTGTGCACGGGGCTGAGGGTGTGCATGGGGCTGAGGGTGTGCAGGGGGCTGCGGGTGTGCATGGGGCTGCGGGTGTGCACGGGGCTGCAGGTGTGCACAGGGCTGTGGGTGTGCACGGGGCTACGGGTGTGCATGGGGCTGAGGGTGTGCACGGGGCTGAGGGTGTGCAGGGGGCTGCGGGTGTGCACGGGGCTGAGGGTGTGCAGGGGGCTGCGGGTGTGCACGGGGCTGCGAGTGTGCACGGGGCTGCAGGTGTGCATGGGGCTGAGGGTGTGCACGGGGCTAAGGGTGTGCATGGGGCTGCAGGTGTGCATGGGGCTGAGGGTGTGCACGGGGCTAAGGGTGTGCACGGGGCTGCAGGTGTGCATGGGGCTGAGGGTGTGCATGGGGCTGCGGGTGTGCACGGGGCTGCAGGTGTGCATGGGGCTGAGGGTGTGCATGGGGCTGCGGGTGTGCATGGGGCTGCAGGTGTGCACGGGGCTGAGGGTGTGCACGGGGCTGCAGGTGTGCATGGGGCTGCAGGTGTGCATGGGGCTGAGGGTGTGCACGGGGATGTGCACGTGCCCAGTTCTCGGGGTGGCTCATGCCCAGTGGTTCCCGTTGCAGGGACCCCAGGAGCGGAGCCAGGGCCGTGTCTCCGGACGAGGCACCCCGAGGGCTTTGGGCACGTGGCTCCATGCTGGGCTGGAGGTAGCTCAGAGGACACCCCAAAATCCTAGGCTCAGAAAGACCCAAAAACTCTGAGGCCAGCAGCAAGATCGCACCTGTGCCGGGAGAGTGTGGGATTTCTGTGTAATTACAGCAAATTAGAAAACAGCGAATGCCACAAAACGGTGGCTCACTGAGATGGAGCAATTAGCTCAGGCACCGAGTGCATGGAGGGCGAAGAAGGGTACAGGGCACTGGTTATCCCACCTTTTTTTTCTGCCATCTGAGCTATTCCCGCTGAGCTCCGTGTCCCGGAGGAGCCCGTGGGCAGCCCCAGAGATGCGATGGGGACGGGGACCCCAAAAAGGGAGAGGGTGCGGACACCTCAACAGCACCAGCGTCACCTCATGAGGCTCTGTGCTGCGGAGGAAAAAAAAAAAAAAAAAAAAAAAAAAGAAAAAACAAAAGGATGAACAAAACAAAACCAAAGCAAAACCCAGAGAAATGTGATGAAACACGAGGCTGGGCCAGGACGGCAGGTCCTCCCGGGCTGGCGGCCGGCGCGGCAGCACCGACACCGCGGCTCGGCCACAGGCCACCCTCTGTCTCCTCTCACCTTGGGGTGGATTTCACAATGAGAATGACTATTTATTGTTCCTGCCTTGGAAATAAATACATGGAAATTAAGCAGAAAGGTGTGGTGTGCATTTAATTAGAGACAGGAAATGTGTCAAATGGTTGGGGTGATGGGGGGGTGGGGGGAAAGGGGAGCCAGGGCTCCTGGATCCTCTTCCCAGCACCAGACTGGGAATGCGCTGTGGGAGTGGGGACTCCTGGGTCCTATTTCTGGTTTGGTGACCAGCTCCCCGGTGTGACGGTGCGCTGTCGGAAGGCCAGCAATTCCTGCAGCATGAGCCATCCTTGATAAGTATCTGTTGTATCTGGAAAGTCCTTGGAGGTCGTAGAAACAGCTCAGCCCGTGCCAGGAGGGTCGGTGCCCCTCGGTGAGTCCACCGAGAAATGTCCTCGTCCTTGCCGGAGTGGCTGCTGCGTGCGGGAGCGGTGGCTCATCATCAAGTTGGTCACCAAAGACCCCCAAAGCTGGGGCTTGGTGTCCCCCCCTTCTGCTGCAAAGGGTCCCATGGGGCAGAGCTTGTCCATGAGAAACCAAAACGCTCCTGACCCTTCATACCCAGAGCTGGTGGGGGACCGGAGGAGAGCCCAACCTCACCGGGATGATCAAAATGGCTGGGAACCGTCTTGTGATGGGTTTGGATGGGACGTGGCTGCTCTGAGCACACGCACACGCCCTGGATGCCTTGTAAAAATAAGGGCCTGGATGTGGTTGTGACATCTGCCAGGCACAGGAGAGTAATGAAAGCCCATGATTCAGAGGTGAGCTGTTTGCCTGCAGGGTCGGGGAGGGATTCCCACCCTTCTGGGATGTTGCATCAACGACATCGGAGCATCTCGGCCGAGAATGGGTTTGCTTCCTCCCAACCGAGATTAGGAAGAAGCCTGTGGAGAGCCAGGATGACGACACACACGTCTTTTTTTTTTTTCCGGGACAGGAGTTCCAAAGGTTCTCCGAGCAGGTGGCTCCTGCCTGTAATATCTCACCTCCTACTTTGCATCCTTAAATGCGCAGCTCCCAATAATGCCCGTATCTAATCTGGGCATCAAATCGCTGCGCCATTGCTCTGGTAGACATACAGGGGTACAATTTGCTGGGACAATTAATTCTGGATGTGACTTTACAAGCACAGCTACCAGCTGAGAAGAGCCTTGTCTGGCCTAGTGCACCTAGCAAAGGCTGAGAGCTGGATACAGCCCTGCCCGGAGCCGGTGCTTGTGCTCCCGGAGACCCACGCTGATCCCTTTTCACCCTTGAGAACAAGTAGTTTTGGTTCAAATAAATGATGTCCCCCTCACCTTGCCGGCCAGCTCCTGTGCCACACTGGGGCTGACTGGCTGGCCTCGCCGGCGGTGGGTGCGTGGGGCGGTTTGGAGCAGGGTGGGCCGTGGGGATGCTCCGTGGGGATGGTGGAGCCGGGCTTTCGGCTGCTGCGCGGCTGGATGGCGGCAGGTTTGCAAAAGCCAGCACCAAGCTGGAGTTGCACTGTGCCTGGTAAACCACCACTGCTGGGAGCCCACCGCTCCTTCCAGGTGGTGCTGGTGGCGGGGGGGGGGGGGGGGAGAGTCTTCTGGGGTGGTCCCCAAACATTTGCCATCACCCCACAGCCATGCACAGAGCAGCCCCCCCGGGGAGGGAGCTGGAGCCCGCCGCAGGTCCCTGCTCGCACCGACCCGTCTGGGTGTTGCAATCGCAGGGAGCCATTTCCCAGGTGAGCCTCAGCCCGGGAACGCCCTGGGAACGTCAGGAAGGGGTGGGAGCCTCTTTAAAAACCCGCCTGGGCCCGGTGGTATGGGTGCAAGGTGAGGAGAGAGCGGGCGTCATCAGTTCCCCCTGCCCGTGGTGCCAAATCGGCGACAGACGGAATACAGCGGGACCCCCGGAGGGAGCCAGGTGAGGGTCCAAGCCAGGGATGGGAAAACCGGCATCACGACGCTTGCGGGGAGGCGGGGGGGGGTGTGGAATATTCACCCAGAAGCATCCCTGGGACGTGCCGCTGCAGGTTGGGTGGTGGAAAACCCCCCGCGCCCTTCGGCAGCGCGGCGGGAGGGGACCCACTGGACGCGGGGGAACCGGGCTCAGGGGTTGGGGCTCGGCAGCATCCGTCGACTCCGCTGCCGAGGGGGGCACGTGGGGCCGCCAGTAGGGTCGAGCCCTGGGAAAAAAGGACGTTTCCCCCCCTGCTTTGCCCTCGGCGATGCTGGGGCTGTGGGCAGGGAGCGCCGGTGCTGTGCCTGGCTGCAGGGCCTGATTCTGGGGGCTGGTGAGCGTGCGAGGGAGAGGTGCAAGAAGAGAGGGGGGGATGGCAGCGGTGGGAGCGGGGCAGCCGGGGAGCCCCCATCCTGCCCAACCCGCCTACCCGGGCGCCCAGCCCTGCTGCCACCATGCCGTCATCCCTGCGTCCCACTGCGGTGACAATGTCCCCGTGCCCCAGGCTGGCCCCGGGGGCACGCGGTGGGGCTGGGGTGCAGGCGACGGGGGGGGGGTGGTGGGGGTGTGTGTGTGTTGGAGGGGGGATCATTCGAGCCGTGCTGTCGCAGATGCCGTGAGTCAGCGGCGAAGCAGCAGCCGCGATGCCCCGAGGATGGGCTGGGTGCTGGCGGCGGGGGACCAGTGACACCGGTGTGGGGTCTGCAATGTGGGGACCCCAGGGGGTGCAGCGAGCGGGTGGGTGCTTTTGCCCAGGCGCTTGCTGATTACCTTTCGTTGGCAATTAATAACCTGGCGTGAGGAAGGGTTGGAGCTGGAGGTCTCCGGTGAGCGGCTCTGGCGGGGCCGTGCCGGGCACAGCAGCTCACAGCGGGACTCCCTGCCAGCACTGGGACTATTTGAAAGCCACCCTGGTGCCCAGTGTCCTGCAAACTGGGAACAGTCCCCAGTCCTGGGACGAGGTGGCTGTAGGTGGTGGCACCGCGGAACAGCGAAGGCTCCCATGGGGACAAGGATGGCCCGGGAGGGCACCCACTCACGCTGAGACATGCAGGGACGAGTGTGAGAGTGCGGGGAGCCCAGGGCTGAGCCTTGTGTCTCTTGTCACCACCCTGATGCGCCGATGTCCTCGGCCTGGGGCCGAATTAGGGAGGATCGATGCAAAGAGAGAGGGGACATGAGCCAAATTTGGGGCACTGGGCAGGTCCTGTCTGCTCCCAGGGCTGCAGGCACGCTCCTGGAGGATGCCCCCGGACTGGGGGGACAATGTTGGGCCACCCCTTTGGGCTCCACGCATGCCACCCCGTTGGCTTCCTCCAAGACCCAGGCGGCCACCGCTGCCGTGATGGTCGGCGTTGCACCCCCGGGCCGGTGTAAATCAGCAACGGCTCCAGTGAAACGATGGGGAGCAACGCGCCCCGGCTCGCCCCGCTCTCCGCCATTGACGGGGCAGGAAAGAGCCAAGGCCAGGCAAGGTGACGCAGTTTCCGTCCCTGTCTGCCCGTATCCTGCCCGGAATGTGGACTTAGGACCCCGTGACAGGGACCATCCTGTCGGGTCCGTCCATAGGAAGGAGCTTCCTGGCTTGGGGCAGCCTCAGGACCGCGGAGTGAGGAAAGGGATCCCAGACATCGAGCAGGCAGGCAGGATTGGACCCTGGGGTAGCAGGGGGGGGGACGCCCTTGGCTGGGCTTGTTGGGGGGGCTCTGGCAGGTCCAGACCTGCTCCCATCAGGGTGTTCTGGAGCCGTGAAGCAAGAGGAGGGCTGGCCGGTAATTCCTGCCCTCGTCCCGCCGCCGCCGTGCGGCTCCCAGCCCCATTCCTCCCTAATGAGCCCTGGGAACCGGCGGCCGCGGCCCTGGCGCTGCGCAGCCCCGCGGCCTCGGCACCATAAGTTGCCGCCCCGTCCCACGCGTGGGGGCGGCTGCCCCGGGGGGGCAGGTGGGGCCAGTGGCGCAGGGGCGGGTGCTGCGCCGGAGCCGGGGCCTTTGGCACGGAGGATTTTTTTGGGGAGACGAGCACCCCGCGCGTCGGCGCTGCTGCCTTTTTTTGGCCTTTCCGTGGAGGCTGTTTTTCGCTTGCCTTGGGGGGTTGGCGGTGACCCCAGGGCTGGTGGCAGCGGACCCCCCCCCCCCCACCACCACCATGTGTGCCCTGAGCGATGGCACCGTGAGCTTTGGCAGCACGCCGCCTGCCCTTCCACCCTCCAGCATGGACCCGTGGAGGGTCCCACAGCCCTGGGGCTGACCCCCCCATCCCTGACCCCCCCCCTCCCACCCCCAATCCCCGCAGGTGACCGCAGGCAGCCATGGCAGAATGCACGGAGCTGGAATGGGCCGTCCAGGTGCTGGTCAACAACTTTGACAAATACTCGAGCCGCCGCTGCTGCTGCAAGAAGCCGCGGCGCATCAGCAAGAAGGATTTCCGCAAGATGCTGAGCTGCGAGCTCAACCACATGCTGACGGTGAGGCCGGGGCGCGCGGGGCCGGGGGATCGGCTCCTCACTCTTGCTCGGGGTCCCCCCCAAACCCACCTCCAACCCCCTCACCCCGCACTCCTCACCGTCCCGGTGTGAGCAGCTCCGCTCTCTCCCCCCAGGACACCGGGAACCGCCGAGCGGCTGACAAGCTCATCTGCGACCTGGATGAGAACAAAGACGGGCGCATCAGCTTCGAGGAGTACTGGACCTTGATAGGCGGCATCGCCAGCCCCATCGCCCAAATCATCCGCCAGCAGGAGCAGAGCGTCAAGCACACCAAGTAGCCGGACACATCTGGACCCCCCCACCACCCCCTCCCCACCGGGCTCAGCCCCCCCACTCCCACCCCCTGGGTTGAGCCCCTGCTTCTCCACGGCGCCCCGCTTCTCGCCTCTCCCGCTGTCGAGCTCTGCCCCGAGCCCCAGTTTGCCCCAGGGCACCCCGGTCTCCCACGGCTTTGCCGACCGAGCCATGCCAGGGTGCCGTCGGGGCGGGCAGGCCCCGTGGGTGGGAGCTGGAGGGGTGCGAGGCCACCAGAGCCTCGGGGCATTCCTCCTCGCCCCACGCCATGCCATCCTTGCCATCGCTTTCTCAAACCCTGTCCTTGCTGGGCTGCTGGGCCAGAAGCCAAGGGAGAGGCTTCCCCTCATCTAGGACACAAATACTGTCTGTTCTCAGACCTCTGGGTCACAGCCCCACTGGCAGAAAACCCATCACAACTGGGACGCCCCTCCCCTTGGAGCTCCCCCTCAAAGTTTGGGGGGGTTTTTCTTGGGAAAAGGGTGTCTTTCCCCCTGCCCAAGCTGGTGGAGGGTCTGCCCTGCCTGCGCTGCCTGGTGCTCTGCTCCTTCGGGCTTGGGGAGTGGCGCGGTCCCGTCCGGGCAACACCACCGTGGTTATTTATTGAGGCAATAAAATTTGGAGGAGCAGCGGGTGATGCTGAGGCTCTGCCTTCCAGGGGACAGCCCCCCCAGATCCTCAGCGTGCATGCACTGAGGGGGGGGATGTGTGTGCGTGTGGGGGGGACGGGGCTGAGGGAGGGGGTCACACATCTCCCATCACCCACACGGTCACGCCGTGCCCCGGCCTCGCAGGGACGGGCTCCCGGGGGCTGATCGAGCCACCACGAGGTGTCAGCAGACACCGTGGCCTCTCGGCGCCCCAGCAACCCCGCAGCACCCCAAACCTCTGCCTGGGACACAGGGTGGCGCTGCCACACGTCCCCGGGGACCCTCTCCGTGTCCCCATGAGGGGTCCTGAGCAGCCTGGGACTCCAATCCCACATCCGTGCATCACGAGGGCATGGCTACCCCAACCCCCGGGGATCTCGAGGGACCCCGATTCCCGTGTTGTATCTCAGTGCCTTCCATGGCACCCCCCCCCCCCCCAAGCTCAAGACGGGGAGCAGCATCGTGGCCCCGTGGGGGCCGGGGTCCCCCCAGGGCCCGCAGCGCTCGGCGGGGAGCGTGCTGCAGCCCGGCTCGTGACGCCCACGATGCTGGCGACCAGCCCGAGCTGGGCTTTTCCACTGGGAGAAGTCTTGGCCACAGGCCTGCGGGCATGGCGGTGGCCCCCCGTGACCCCCACTCCCCACGGCGGGGGAGATGTCAGCACCCTGGAGCCAGGACCCCCGTCCCCTTCCAGCCAGCCCCCCTTTGCTGACCCTGCTGCTCCCCTCCCCGATGCAGGAGCATCGCTGGCTCCTGCCCATCCCCCTGCCCACGCAGCCCACCCTTCCCCTGCCCTGCAGCACCGGGGGGGGGACCCCGGCAAACTGGGGGTGCCCCCACGGGAGACGGCGCAGTGGGGCAGGGCTGCAGCTGAGTCATGGTGGAGGAATTCCTCTCCGGCAAGGGCTGTGTTCGTGACTCATATACTGGTTTATGGGTTGAGTGGGGCTCGGCTGGGAGCTGCACCCAGCTGCTCACATGGGATCCCAGTGATCCGGCGGGATCCGGCGTAGTTTCTTGGGGGTCTCTCCAGAAGGGACCCTCAGGGTGGGGGGGACCAACCCCTCAACATCTCATTTCTAGCTGCAGATTGGCTGCGGTGCATGAAAACACTTCAGGATGTGTCCCCTCCCCTTCCTTGTGCATGCTTCCCCCCAGGATCCGGGCACCAGAGCTCCTTGGAGCAAATGTGGGGGACGGGGAGGGGGGGGGACGGGGGTGGGCTGCTGCAGTGCACCAGCGTGCAGGGGGCTGGTGTGTTGTTGCACAAGCATCTGTGTGGGCAGGGGGTTGGTTTTGTGCCCCTGGGTGCTCCGGAAAACCCTGGGGCACTTTTCAGGGCACCGTATGGCAAGCGGGGAGGGGGACGTTGCAGGCTCCGCAGCTGGTCCCAATCTGGGGAGCTGGAACCCACGCTCCTGTCCTCGTGTCCCCGGCGGGATCAGCTCCGGGCACCCCGTGCCAGCTGCTAACCCAGCCCTGCTGCACCAGCCTCGAGGTCCCCTCGAGGTGCCGCAAGGTTCCAGAAAATGCCCCAAATATGTTCCTCCATGCTCCTCTCCAGCCTCTGCATCTCTGGGAGGAGGAAGACACATTTCTCTCGCTGTCACCAGAGGATGACCAGGCTGTCTTCGAGATGCTCCAGGCTGGACCACCCTGGGTTTCTCCAGACGAGGATTTATCCCGGCTCCCCCCTCCAAACCAAACAGGTTCTTGTGGGTGGGTGACAATGCAAATGTAACTGGGGGGTTTGCAGGGAAAAGCTGTGTGCCCTCCCCTGGGAGCAGCCCCCTGCCAGAATGGCCACCACCCTGGAACAAGCCCTAGCCCTCCGGCATTGCCACCTTCCACCAGTGCTCGGGGAGGGGGGGAAGGAGGGTGACAAACACCAGCTGGGCAAGGGCGAGCTGCAGGAGCTGCCCAGCTTCGTGGGGGTGAGCGTGGGGACACCGGGGACCTGAGCCCCACCAGCATCCTCATATCTCTCCCCACCACTGGGGAAGACGTGGGGGTCAGGGAAGGGCTCGCTCCTGCCTGAAACAGGTTGCCCCCACCTGCCAAAACCACCCAGTTGCGGTTGGTGCCTACCCGTGCCGCGGCCAGTGGGTGCTGGCCTTGACCTCGCTGATGTTTTGTGCCAGGAACAACAGGATGAGCGCAGCTTCGGGGTGCTGCTGAAGGACCTGGGGTGCAAGGACAACACGACAGACTTTTAGGAGTCTGTGGTCCCCCTGGGCTGCCTCAGCGTGTCCTGGAACGAACCCTGTGCTAAAGCTCGTGGCCTCGCCAGCCTGCGGCTCAGATAAGACCCCTGTCACCTCCCCGGCCCTGCTGCAGAGCCTGTTCGTGTGCACTGGGGGCACTGGGATGGTCACGGTGCTTATTTTGGGGACACCTGGGCCACCCAGAAAGCTGGCGGTGTGAGGGACAGCACAATTTTCTCTGGGGAGCCCCAAGGGATGCCCCAGCCCTTTCCCAGTGTCTGCACCCATCCCTTGGCTTGTGCCTCGGTCCCCAGACTCCCCGGCAGGGCTGGCAGCTCCTCCCAGCAGCCCCCCCCCCCCCCCCCCCCACTTCCCACTAATGGGATCACACAGCTCGTTAGGCAAAAATGAGGCGCGGGTGAAACCACCTGTGGGGAGCTGCTGGGAAAGCCTGGAGGCGAGGGGGCTGCACGGGGGTGCGCTGGGCAGTGCCACCCCGCCCGGGCTATAAATGCCCAGCGCGCTCCGGCTGCAGCGCCCCAAATCCTCGCTGCTGCCTGACCCGCGCCGACCCCGGTGAGTCTCTGCTCCCCTTCCTCACACACCACCCGCCGTGCAGCTCTGCTCTCCAGCTGCACCCCAAAATTCCCCCCCAAACCCCTCGTGAGGCTCCGGGGGAGCCTCACGGAGCGATTTGAGTGGGGTAGGGGGGGATGGATCCCCATTGTCACCCTGAGCCTGCCCTGACCCCGTCCCTGGTGAGTCTCTGCTCCCCTTCCTCACACACCACCCGCCGTGCAGCTCTGCTCTCCAGCTGCACCCCAAAATTCCCCCCCAAACCCCTCGAGAGGCTCCAGGGGAGCCTCACGGAGCGATTTGAGTGGGGTAGGGGGGGATGGATCCCCACTGTCACCCCGAGCCTGCCCTGACCCCGTCCCCGGTGAGTCTCTCCTCCCCTTCCTCACGCATCGCCTGCCGTGCAGCTCTGCTCTCCAGCTGCACCCCAAAATGCCCCCCCAAACCCCTCAAGAGGCTCCGGGGGAGCCTCACGGAGCGATTTGAGTGGGGTAGGGGGGGATGGATCCCCATTGTCACCCCGAGCCTGCCCTGACCCCGTCCCCGGTGCTCTGCCCTCCAGGCGCGCAGGAGGCTGGCGATGGCGTGTTCCCTGGAGCAGGCGCTGGCCGTGATGGTGACCACCTTCCACAAATATTCGGGGAAGGAAGGGGACAAGTACAAACTCAGCAAGGCCGAGCTCAAGGACCTGCTGAACAACGAGCTGCCCGTCTTTGGGAGCGTAAGTGGCCGTGGCGGGGGGGGGGGGGGGGGGGCACATCCCTTCGCATCCTTCCGAGGTGCCCGGGCGCGGGCGGGGGGTGTCGTAGGAGCAAACCAGCCTCGGGTTTTTCCACATCGCCCGGTGCAAAGCGGGGTGAGCAGAGGCGGTGTCTGCGTTTCCCCAAAGCGTGCACGACGGCTGCAGCCCACGTGCGACACGCTGAGCCCTCGTGCTCCAGCGCAAGGAGGAGGGGAGGGATGAGGCCGGGAGGACCCGAGCTGGAGCGTGCTCAGACCAAAAGGAAACTTGGCTTTCTTAGACACAGAAATATTTTGATTGGCAAAGAAAATCATGCTCTGATTTCAATTTTTTTTTTTTTTAATCCCTTTTTTAACCCCTACTTCCCCTTCTGGCTTGTGGTTTAAACTGGGAGGAGGGAAGAGAAAATTTTTCAGCAAACTTTTTCTCATGATCGAGAGGCATGTTTGCTGTAGCCGTGCCAGCGTGCCCCAGCTCTCGGGTAAACCACCTGCATTTCTAAAGGCCACCTCCTTCGAAAGGCAAAGAGAAAACCCTCCTCCGAGGCAGGGGGAGGGAAGCCTGGGCTTTTTACGTCTTTCCTTGCAAGCAGTGGGGCTGGATGGGGAAGCACCTCGCTCATCTGTGCACCCCAAAACCGCTTACCCCCACCGTGCTCTCCCCCCCCCTCACAGAAACAAATGGACGAGGCAGAGTTCAAGAGGCTCGTGAACGACCTGGACCACAACAAGGACAGCGAGGTGGACTTTAAGGAGTACGCCTGCTTCCTGGCCTGCATCACCATGGGCTTCAACGAGTTCTTCAAGGATGGCCCCACCAAGCAGTCCCGAAAAAAGTGATACACCGCCCCCCCCCCCCCCCCTCTGCCCACAGCATCGCCCTGGGGGCTTTCAAATAAAAGTTTTTCCAAAGCCTGGGTGTGTATCAGCAGGGTTTCAGTGCGCTGTGGGTTAGCGGGCAGCCGGGTGACTCATGCCTTCCTCCAGCTCTGTGGGATTTTCCACGGTGCAGCTCAGCCCCCGGAGGCATTTTTTGGAAAAAGGCTGAGCAAAACAGCCCAGTGCCGCCTCCGAGCAATGGACTCGGACGTTCCCCCCCCCGGAACTGTCTTTGCTGGTTCGGGAGAAATGTTCAGTGCACGTTTAGCTCAAAACAGCCACACTTCCTTGAGCCCAGCTGGGCTCCTGGGTTGGCATGAGCTGCCCTGGGCAATGCACTGGGTTTGGGGAAGAGAAAACTGGTCTGGAGGAACCAGAGAGCAAGATGCAAGGTCTGTGCAAAGCCAAAAAGGGAGAGAGGGACCCCAGTCCCCGCAGGGGTCAGCTGGAGGAGACCCTTAACCCCCTTGAGATGTGGATGAGCCCATACTGGGGGATTGCACTGGGGAAAGTCAACCTGAGCCCCCCCCCCCCCCAGTTTTACCACAGAGCCATGGGGCTGCAGACCCAGCCTGTGCTATGGGCTGGGAAGCCCCGGGGTTTCCCCCCCCCCCCCCCCCCCCATTTCCCCCAGCCCCAGCTCCTCCTGGCAGGTCTGGGCTGGTTTGCAGAAGGTGCTGCAGCTGCTCTCCAGCTTTTCCCAGAGGCCCCAGACCCCCAGAGAAACCACCCCGGATTCAAAAAGCCCTGACAGAGCCTCTGTGTCACTGCAGAGCCTGTCCCCAACCCCCCCCAATCCTCCCTGAGCCCCCAAATCCCTCCAGCATCTCCCCAGCAGCTCCAGACTTCACTCTGCCCCTTCCCAGAGTCTTTATAAAGAGCGCCCAGGAGCTTTTTTTTCCCCCCACTCCCAGTAATTTACACCAGTTTACACTTGTTAACAGGGAGATGAGCTACAGGCTTGGGGGTTTCTTTTGCCCAAACAGTCCTTAAATAAAGGTGTTTAAGGTATTTGGTGATATTTTGCATCCCGCTGGGCATCGGAACAACCTGGAGCTGGCAGTGGGGTTTCACCCCTGTTTTTTTTTTTCACTCTGAAGTGGGTATCTTTGTCCCGAGGGGGCTCAGCAAGGCTCGGGGACACTTGGGGTATTTGTCAGCCCTTGAAGCGTGGCGAAGAGCTGGCTTGCCCCATGGCAGGGAGGTTGCTCCCGGCTTTCCCCCCCGCAGCTCCCTGACACGTGCCCGGGACGTGCAGACACCAAAATAGAGTTCCGTTACACAACGGGGCGTTGTGACGCACTGCCCTCGCCATTAGGAAACGGAAATGGCCTGCAGTCGAGTTAAAAACAGAAAAATAAAATAAAAAAAAACCAAAACAAAACAAAACCCAAACCCCAAACCAAACAAACCCACACTGAAACCCCAGCACAACAACAAAGCCGTGGGACAAACCCCGCTCGGGTTTGTACGGCTCCAGACATCCCCGGGGGGTGCTGCCAAAAACCATCTCGCCCCGCACCGGCACCTCCTGCCCTCGCTGGGACGATGTGCCCACTGCTGCCTTGGCTTCATCCCTTTGTCCCTAGGGATTCTCCTCGACCAGGTGGTCCCCATCCAGCCCGGGAGGGGGGGGGGGGGGGGCACATTTTACTCTTTCTAACCCAAACCAACCCCCTTGGCAATGCGGGACAGGGCGGTTTGGGGGGGGGGGGGGGGGGGGCAGGGCTGCTCCCAGGGTTTCCTCTTCTCCTTTCCCAGCCAATATCCAGGCAGGCGCTGGATCAGCGTTGGTGCATTCCAACCCCCCCACCCCACCCCCCAGTAGCGAGGGAGGTGTCCCAGGCGGGGCTATAAATGCCGTGGCCTGACGCCCGCTCGCCTCCGCCCTGCCCATTCTCCTCTGTTTCCTTTGAGCTGTTGGTGAGTTGTGTTTTTTGTTTTTTTGCTTTTTTTTTCCCCACGATCCTCCATTCCCCTTCATCCCACCGACCCTCCTGATGCCGTCCAGATGATGCCCTTGGCTCAGCACTCCCCCCCCCTCCAAACCCGCAGTGGGGTCCCCCCTGCAGAGGTTTTCCCCCAGAGCCAAGCGGCTGAATTTCACCTCTGAGAGCTGGGAAAGTGTGTTTTCCCCTTCCCCGCTTGGCTCGGGCAGGAGGGGGGTGCTGCCTCCCCCCACCACGTTCTCCCCTCCGGCACGGCTTTTTTTTTTTTTTGGGGGGGGGGGGGGGGGGGCAGTTGCTCAGCACCGGTACCAGATGGCAACGCCCAGTTCGTCTACTAGCGGGAGGGTGAAATTTGGGAGGAAACGGTGATGCATCCCAGTGTGTTCCCCGGGAACGGGGCACCGGAGCAGCCTGCACAGTCAGGGGAATTGGGGGAGCCCGTCGACACCCCCCCCCCCCCCCCCTCCTCGGTGTGGGGGTGTCTGGGGACGCCGAAATCTGCTCTCACCCTCTTGCTCTGTTGGTGCCCCCAGGCTTGCTGGCATCCCCCATGGCGTGTCCCCTGGAGCAGGCGCTGGCCGTGATAGTCGCCACCTTCCACAAGTACTCGGGGAAGGAGGGGGACAAGTACAAGCTCAGCAAGACGGAGCTCAAGGAGATGCTCATGAAGGAGCTGCCCAGCTTCAGCGTAAGTGCAGGGCACCGGCTCGGGGATGTGGCACCGGCTCGGGGATGTGGCCCCGGTTGCAACCCCTCATTTTAACCCTTCCCTTTTCGTCCCTGGGCAGAAACAAACCAGTGAGGCCAGTATACAGCAGCTCATGCGCAACCTGGACAGCAACAGCGACAGCGAGGTGGATTTCCAAGAGTACGTGACCTTCCTGGCCTGCATGGCCATGATGTGCAACGACTTCTTCCAGGACTACCCCGACAAGATGCCGCACAAGAAGTGAGCTGGGGGGGGATGGCCACGGGCCCCCGGGCTTCCTCACTTCCCCCCATGACCCTCCCTTTGTCTTCCCGATGCTTTTTACAATAAAAGTTGCCTTAAAACCAAGTCCTCTGCGTGCTTTGTAAAGGGGGGGGGGTTTCTTGCCCTGGGGACTGGGGGGTGCTGTCACACCGGGGAACACCCCGTTTTCCTTCCGTGTGCGTGCTGCAGGTACGGGATGACGAGCCGGGGCGGTTCCGAGCAGGTGTTTGCTGTGCTGGAACGTTGGCACCGCGTTCCCCGAGCCCTCATAAACCGCCCGCGGGGCTGATCCCCGCCGGCCACGCTGGTGTGAGTCAGCGGCGGGCTCTGCCTGGCAGCACCCCACCCTGCAGCCCCAATAACGGCTCCGCGGCCGCGCAAGGCGAAGCAGGAGCTTTCGCAGGGGCTAATACCTCCAACAGCAACAGGCGAACAATCCTTTTGCTTTTTTTTTAGCCGTAATTGTGAAGCTCACTCGGGGTTAGTGGCTGTCCTCTCACCTGGTGCCCCGTGGGGCGGGACCTACCGCCTTGGGAAGTCACTCAGGACCCTTGTCCCTTCCCTGTCCCAAGGGAATCTTTGGGGAGCGGGATTTCTGCGGCGTTCCTGCTCGGGGTGGGGTTATGACATGCAGCAGAGTGACTTCCCCGAGCACCCAGCCAACCCCCCCTGGGCCGCTGCCACGGGAGGACTCAGCCCACGGCTACAAACGCTGGGAGCCACGCAGCCACATCCCCCCCTTCCCTACACCGGAGCCTGTCTTGCTCATGCCTGTAAGTCTCCATTTGCTCCCTCTCATCCCCTTTTTCCCCTCCCCGAACAGCTGTAGCCAACCTGGGCTTGCCTGTCTAGCTCCAGATGTGCAACATGCCCCTTCCAGATGTGGACGTACCCCCTTGTCCCTGCTCCACCCCGTTGGCAGCCGGACCTGAGCTGCTCCCAGAGGCAACCGGGGAGCGGAGATGCCACAAAAGCTTCGCTTTGTCCAGCCCCAGCTTTTCCCCCCCCCTCCCCGCCTCCACCAGCCCCGGGGCTACGTGTGGAGGCAACTGGGAGCCACATTTGGGCTGCGCCCCGTGAGTCACCCTGCAGCCACCGGCCCCAGCTGATTCAACACCCTGGGGTGGCATGAGGGCGGGGGGTGTGTGTGGGGATGGGGCAGCCCCCCCCCCCCCCACCTGCTTAGTCCCAGACCCTGGGGGCTGAGCTGGGTCTGGAGGGGCTCTGCCCCCTCCTCCTGCCCTGCTGACACCAGGGTAAGCTGGAGGGCTGCAGAGCATCCCCCCCGGATGGAGAGGGAGTGATGCTCTGGGTCCTCCCCTCTCCCTGCCCCACAGCTGGACCAGCTCCCGGCCACTTGCCGAGCCCCCACAGCTGTGGTGTGGACCGGACCCGGCCCATAATAAAAACAGAGAAGTGAATTTTTAGGAGTACGGCACCATCCTGGGGACCCTGGTCTTGATCTGCAGCGGTGCTCTGAAGGAATTAAAAATGTAGAGCTGAACCAGCCGGTGGAGCCAAGGGCTTTTTGGGGTTCTTTTGGAAGGACCTTTTGTAAAGTTTTTTTGTCATTTCCTATTATGAAGTTCTGTTGCTGTGTTTCTGGTCAGATTTGAATAATAAATGAAAACCTAATGGATAGCACTGTTTTGTCTCCGGCTGGGGGTGGGAGGCACTTGGCTGGGGGGGCTGCACCCGGTGCTCATGTCCCTGCAGACGGATCCCGTTGGGTGCTGGCGATGCTCCCACCCAGGCACTGCACCCTCAAGGGCTGCTTTGCCAGGAGATTGGGGTTGAAGCTCATCCCCCTGCTCCTCCAAAGAGAGGGCTTCGGGGTTGTTCCATGGACCCCAGCTTCTGAGATTCAGCGCTCACCGAAGCATCAATATTGGGGGTAAAAAAAAAAAAAAAAAAAAGTATCCATCCCCCCCAGACACCCAAGGACGTGGCTGCACGGCACTTGCATCCCAGAGGCAGGCGACAGGGATCTCCCTACAAGCTGTTGGCCCTTTTGATGCCTGATCTGTGAAAATTTGAAGCTGGCATGGTGCCGTTCAGAGGCATCCCAGCCTGCCTGCATCCATCCTCACCCCTGTCACCACCCTGCCACCATGCCCTTGGGGCTGTACCGGCTCTATCCCGGTGGCACCAACGCTCCCAGCCCCACGGCTGCGCTCGGCCACAGAGCAGATGCCAACCCCCCCACGGCGGCTCTTGCACCGGAGTGTGGTCTGCCGTGGCACGGCCTGCGCTGGGAGCTCTCAGGCACGTGGGCACGTGGCTTCTGTGGCAGGCTGAGCAGCAAACGGCAGCGGAAAGACCCACGGTGCGTGGCTGTCCCTTCTTCCCAGCCCCACGGGGCACGCGGGTCTCTTCCCACCTCCCCACGTGGCACAGGCACATCCCTTCACACCTCCCTCCGCGCGTCCCGTCACGTCTCGCTGACGGTGCACCCGTGTCCCGCTGCTCAGCCCCACGTGGCTCCCCTTCCCAGAGAGGACGCGCCCATCTCCATCGTACAACCTGTCCCTTTGTTTCACTCTTTTGCAATTTAGGATTTTTCTGGCACCATTTCCTCACGCTCCTGGATTTGAGGGCTGACAGGGGGGATGTTTCACCCCTGCTGTCCTTCCCATCTCCTAAAATCCTTCCTGGCTAGCACAAGCTTTTTGCTGTGCCGGTCCCACCAAGCACAGACTTGGGGTGAAGGGCTTGGGTATCTTCAGGCACAGGCTCCTCACCAGCCCCCCGAGACTGTCTTTCTCCCAAGATATGCAGGGTTTAGCAGCCCGTGCCAGGCACTGGGGACACCAGGGGGGTCTCCTGTCTGTGGCAGCATCCCCTGACCCTGGAAATGGGCAGCAATTGCCAAAGTCCTCGCTTATCATCAGGCAGCGATTAGAGCTGCTGGGAAATGCCGCCTCCTGACTGGCTGGCAGATTTCCGGCACGCTGGCGTGCCCAGATTTGTAACGTCTTTCTTGGCTCCTTGGCTAGCTGCTAAGAAATGATTCAGGAGGAATGCTGCTCATGATTTGGGGGGTGACTGGGGGGTGGGATGCGTTGGCCATCCCCCAGCACCCGTGCAGCAGCGTGCTGGGGGCAGGCGCTGCACCTCCAGCCAAATTCAACGGCGTCAGGGCAGATAGAGGAGTGATGAACCCCATGTCCCATTGGGAAAAAAACAGCATCACCCCACTAGAAAGGTTCACTCAGAACCTATCGTGTGATCTGGAGAAACTCCTCTTCCATCATCTCCACAAAGACCCCCAAATGCTGCAGGAATGTCCCAGCTCCTGGGAAAGACCCTGCACCGCCACCGACCCACGACGCTGGCTGCCTGAAAATGCCTCTTTTGGTGTTTCCTTGTTTTGCCCTTATGAGATTGAGGCGTCCCCTCCCTCATTAACAGTGGGAGCAGCCAGTTCCTGGAGCCAGGCAAGAAATTGCCGCCTGGGCGTGCTGCGTAGCCTTGCACAATTCCTGGGGTTATTGCCCTGAAGGAAATTTAAGGGTGTCACAAATCGTAGCTCAGGGAGACTATAAAAGAGACCTCACCTCCTCCGTGCCGTCACCACTCCTGAACTGCTCCTCTCCTCCGGTGCACCGCTGTCTGCAGAAGCCAGCCCCAGTGCTGCTCGTAGGTAAGTAGGTCCTTGCCAAACGGTGGCTTCAGGTTTTGTGCTGCTGGAAGTGTCACTGGGATGAGCCCGAACCTGCCGGGCAGCCAGAACCCAGCTGGGGCTCCCAGAGGAGAGGACAGTCCTTCTCCTCTGATGGGGTTCAATCTTTTGTTGCCTGTCCCTTCCCAGCAAGATGAAAACCGACCTGGAGCTCGCCTTGGAGTGCGTTGTCAACATCTACCACCAATACGCCATCAAGTACCCCATAGATGACTACCTGAACAAGACTGAGTTCTCAGATCTGCTGAAGGAGACCGCCAAGCCCTTCCTCCACAACACCATGCCGGTAAGAGCCAAGCACGGCCCAGCTCTCCTAACACCGGTGAAAGCTTGCAGGAGTTGTGGCCTCTTTGGGGCATGGGAGTGGTTGAGAGCATCCCAAAGGGGAGGGAGGATTTTTCTAGGATTTTCCTGAAACCATGCAATCCTTGCTGGGTGAGCCTCGTGCCGTAGCTGTGGTCTGGCAGGGTGACCCTAAGTCCCATTGTGCTTCAGGCTGACTCTTTGTCATGTTTCTCCTGCTGCAGCCTAACGTGTCCATCGATGACTACATAAACAAACTCTTCACCAGAGCAGACGCCAACCACGACGGTCGCCTGAAGTTCACCGAGTTCCTCACCACGCTCAATCTTGTAGCCATCGATGCCCACAACAGGTCCCACCAGCATCCCAGGGGCCACGATGAGCATTCAGACGCTGGGCATGGCCATGACCACGGTCACGACCATGGCCATGACCACGGCCACGGTCCCCGCAAGTGAAGCAGTTCCCGGTGTAACTGTGTCCACGGGATTGTGCTCTTCCAGCAGCGGCATCCTTTCTGTTTGCCCACAAGCACAAACCTGTAACTAAAGCTTTGTCATCTGCTTCTGCCTATGGCACTGAAATAAAATTTCTTTCTTCAAGCACCAAATGCATCTGTATTATGTGTCCCGTTGCCTCCAGGGAGGATGCAACATGCACCCAGCCTGTGGCTGTGAGGGGTTAAATACAGATTGAGCTGGAGAAGCAATGGGAAAGGGGGAGGCGGGATGGGGAGACCCTGCTCCCTGCAGAGTGGGGACAACAGTGGTGTTGGGTCCCAGCTGAGCAGCACAGGCTGCAGGGACTCTCTGTCCCAAAGCCTGGCAGAGCCCGACACGCTCCCGCTGCCCTCCTGAAGCTCAACGAGTTTCCTGCATGGCACGGGTGGCCCCAGCACCCTTCACCTCAGCAGACGGTGGGGTGCATAGCACCCCATCACACTGCAGAGGTTCCAGGGGCTGCATGAGAGCATCATCAGCCCTGGTTGTCCTCTTTGCACCAGCTCCAGGACGTGTCAGGAGTGAAGCGCAGCTGGGGGGTTACTTCTCCAGGTGGCTGCCAAGATCCAGCTCCAGACCTGGGGGTGCAGCATCCTGGGGCTGCATGCACTGCTTTTGCAACCCTTAAAGCAACCAGTGCTTGTCCAGCAATCTCTGATGCAGCACAGAAGGAGGCCGAGGGCCTCCGGAGAGCTGGTGTTAACTCTGCACAAGAAAGTCGGATGATTTTGCTAGCGTAGGGTAACGACGTCCCAGCAGGTCACAGCACATTTACAAGCCACCGCGGGCTCCTGGGGAGCAGATACATGAGCTGAAAAGAGCTTCTGTATCTGCCAGTGACTGTGCACTGAGTGGGAAACCCCCAGGCTCAGGAGACCCCAACATTTCCAACATCATCTGAAACCAGAAGCCTGTCCCACATGAAACTGAGCCACAAAAGGAAGCAAGGGGCTGTTGTGTGGTTATTTGCACTCGATGGCACAGCTGATCCCTCTCTGGATCCACAATTTTTGTCACTGGGGTTCAGCCCTTGTCCCCCAGAGACAGAAGTTGTCATTCACTCTCCTGCCAGGGCACACGGGTGTCACTTGGGCATCACCATCCTTGTGGGGGTTGGACATCCCGAGCTGCCTCCTCCGCAAGTTTTGGGGAACACGGCTGGGAAAGATGGGAATTCAGAGCTCCCTGGTCTGGCTGCAGGGGACTACACTATGCAAGTGCACTCGGCAAAAACCAGGCTGGGTTGCTGCTTTGCAAGGGGAACGAGGATGCAATTTTGGATTGTTGACAGTCACTAATGAGTAGAGCAGGAAAACAAAAAAAAACCAATAAAATGAGTCAGGGATACCATAATAAAACTCATGCAACAGTTCTTGATACTGCCCTCGGGACATGCAAGAAGCATCCGGAACAGGAATGGTTACCCTTTTGTTTTTTGGTTCCTGCTCTCTTCCCGGAATCTATTGTCTTATTTTTATATCTTTTGATAATCTCTTCATCCTTCTAGTACCTGTTCTGCTAATGCAAGATGGGTGGCACAGAGGTGACTGTTGCAAAATATTTGCTAGTTAATGCTCCAACAAGTAAAGACCTTGGCCTCAAATTTTCTTCTTGTTTTATAACCAGTTTCCTCCACAGAGTTTCTGAAACAAGAGGAAAGGTCTAGTACAAGTGACGTGAAAACAGAAAGTAATGGAAAATACTCTGGAAAACAGGAAGGTGCTACCTTCATCGTTGCTAGCGTTCAACCAGTTGTTATTGTAGAAAAGAAAGAAGATTACATGAAAAATAACCAAGGGACAAAATTATCCACAAGTCTCTGAAACAGCCCATCTTTCTCCTACACCGGCATGAGAGCATGCAAAATTTTCAGCACATTACAAAACTTGCAAAGTTTTGGCAAGTTCTGCCAAGATGGACTTGCCCTTTACACTCCCGTTGAGGTGTGACAATACATCCAGTGTTTTCCCCATTCTTCACCCAACACATGAGCAGCTCAGCCCTGTCAGAGGTGATGGTGGGGTGGAAGGACAACATTTCCAAAGCCCGGTGGGTGCAACCAGGAACTATGTGCAGAGGTATGAGACCGGGAGGGGTTCAGAAGTTCCCACCTTACAATTTCCAGGTACGGGAAATGCTCACTCAAGCTGTTGCTTGCAGCAGGTGTGTCACCATCTCTGATGAAAGAGGACCTCAGATATGTATAAAAGGGCTTTCCAGGCTCTCGGATCACTTCAACAGACCCATCTGCTGCAAACCCTCCTTGGAGACAAGGGTAAGTAACACTGCAATGGTTCGTGCAGGAAATGAGATGAGGGAGAAGCGATATTGAATACGGCACTTCATGCCATGCCTGTTTTATTCCAGGGGGATGCTTTCTACTTGGGGCAGGGTAGAAGGCTGGTTTTGGCTACAAAAAGTCCAGTATAAATTAGTGGCATTTCTATGCCATCTTTAGTGGTGGTGCAATTGTTTCCACTGCACCGCGGCACCCAACAGAGCAGGATCTCTGCGCTCAGTGTCTGTGGTGAAAAGGATTTGCAGCCCAGAGAGGGAGATTCAGAGAGAGAGGAGGAAGAGGAGGCCAGGCAGAGACTGCAATGGAGCCCATCCATGAACCGTGCTCCCTGCCTTAAAGTCACTCTTCTTGTCAGTGGCACGGTACAGATACACAACTACAGCTTGATGGGCTTGTCTAATTTGGCAAATACCTCCAGGTCAGTAAAAACAAAACATTTCTTGGTAGAAGCTAAATTTAGAAGTGGTCGGGCGATGTTGTAAAAAGAAAAAAAAATATATATATTCCTAAACCCACTTATTACCTGCTCAGCGCCAAGGCACTGCTGACTGTCCCCGGGCACGCCGGGCTCAGCCCCAGCGAGATAACGCTCCTGGTGCAGATCTGCTGCTGGGCTGGGGAGGTGCAGCATGAGCCCTCTTGGGGTGCCTGGAGCGAGGGCCAAGAGCACGGCACGGAGCGCCCAATTTGTAGATGCATCTCATGGTTTTGAGGTTTCTCCACACAGTTTGTGCAGTGCTTCAAGAGCTCAGCCATGTCTGCGAGCACCCAGACCACAGCTCCCCGTCACGAGACCCGGCAGTTCCCTGGAAACTGCACGCTGGAGATGGCCCTGAAAACCATTGTGGATGTCTACCACCGTTACAGTATCCGGGAGGGCCAGCTTGACCTCCTCAACTTCAACGACTTCAACACTCTGTTGACGGAGCAGGCACCGACCTTCTTGAAAGCTTGTGTGAGTGCCACAGAAGTGGCGGTGTGCTCCCTGGAAGGATGCTTTCCTCAGGGGTTTGAGGAGGGGATGAGGCTGAGGTTGCCTCCAGGTATGGTCCCAGGGGGATGGGGTGCAGTCCCCACCATGGCTGTAGTCCATAGAATGGGTTTTGGCGATCACATCCAGCTTGCCCATGTGTTGTGGGGCCACTTGTGCTCATCCTTCCCCCCCCACTGCCCAAAGGGGCTTGGGACAAGAGCCTGCCTCTCTGGGATTTTAACTAAGGGCTAACTGCAGGGTAGGAAAGGGTGACAGTGATCCTGCAGCTTCCAAACACTTCCCAGGGCATAATGAGAACAAAGCTGGTTGGGTTTCCACCAGTGGGTGTGCAGCACAGGGAGGGGGGCATGCTAACATCTGTCCTGTCCCCCAATTTCAGGGCAGGAACCAGCACGACTACCTGAAGAAGCTCTTCAAAGAGACAGACTTAAATAAGGACAAAGAGGTGACTTTTGAGGAGTTCACCATCGTCTTGGCCAAGCTGACCAATGATGCCCATCACATCAGCCATGGGGATGACCGTTGTGCACCAGACAAGGATTGAGTCTCAACGCATGACCCATGAAAAACTCCAAGGGGGGCTGCTTATAGGAGTTGGGCTCTGGCTGCTTTCTGTCTGCTTGGATCACTCATGCCTCTGAGACAATAAAACATCACTTGAAGTTCACTGAGTCCTTTTGCATCCGTCTCATGGATCGGGAGGGTGGGCACCAGCTGCAGAGACTGCATGGTCCTGCTGGAGCTGTGGGAGAGGGTCTTGCTTAAATGAGGCACCCCCAAAACCCATAAAGGAAGAGGCTTATGTTTGAGATGTCAGTGGGTGAGAGCTGTATTGCTCAGCGTCTGGTCCAAGCCAAAAGGGCTGGACTGATGGGCTACAAAGGTATTAAGGGCCAGAAGATCAGTGCAAAACACTGCCTGAGCTCTGCAAGGGTTTCATCCATCAGCTGCAACACATAGAAACCATATTAGAGGCTTTTCTCTTGGCAGAGAAAGTTTTCTGCATAGACTGGGAAGAGCAGACCCAGCCTAGTTTGGGGAAGCACCTCCTGTTTTGCCCATTCTCATCCAGCTTTTTCCCCTTGGCCATGACAAATGCATCCTCTGGGTGCAGAATCACCCGTGAGCAGAAAAATGCATTAATACCCATGACAACAGCAGCTCACAACAGGACACAGCCTTTACCGCAAGAACAAGCTAGGGTGCTCTTTGGAAAAAAAAATACACGCAGAAGTTACTATGTGTATATAGCTTCAGCTGTGTGGGAAATTGAGATTTAAAATTTTCTCCTTAAATCCCAATGAAAACTCAAATTTCAGTTTTCCCCCCTCACACAAGACATCCAGAGTGCTCCCTCCCAACCCTGCTGAATCATTTGTTAACTAGCCAAGATGGAACACCCGGATGGTTTCCATCTCAGAGTTTTCCACCAGTAAAATATTCTCACAAAGACCTTGACGGGCTCCAGCAGGGCACCAGGACCTTGTCCCTGGCTGAGCCATCTGGGAGATGCCTTGCAGCACCAAACTGTTTCTGGGTACAAAATACACGATAACCCAATCATTCAGCGAGGAAAAGAGCTGGATATCACCACCCCATGGGGCCGAGCACAAGCACAAGCGACAGCAACGCTTTGCACGCTGCAGCACAGGCAGGAAGGGGCAAGAGCAATGGCCAGATCCAGCCCTGCAACCTGCCAGAGCTCCCGGAAGGCTTGGAGAGGGTCCAGCACCCTGGAGCAGTTGTGCCACAACTGTGCGGGCAGCCGAGCTGGCTCTCAGCTCCTTTTGGGCTGGACCAAGGTGGTACCTGCCGAGCAGCTCAGCTTGTAGCTGTTTGGTACGGCGGAGACATGTGTGAATGTTTTTGTTTTTTTTTTTTTTTTTTTTTTGGCTCGAGCTAAAGGACTGGGAAATCCTTTCCTTTGCAGCTCCAGGATGGGAAAACCTCCAGGTCACCCCAGCTCCTGTGGTGGCTGCTCATGCCAGGTCACAGCTAGAGCATTGCTGGCCTCATAATGCCCAAAGGTGCTCACAATCCAGGGCTCAGAGGGCATCCCCTGCCTCCCCCAAGCCAAAATATGTCTAGCAACCAGGACATACGTCTCATTCTGATCCTGGGCTAAAACCTGCTGTGACACACAGCAAACCACCCAGTGACAAACCCTGCCGTGTCCTCTTCCCACATCAGCCAGCCTCTTGCCTGTAAATGGGTATTTTGAAAGAGTTTTGCAACCCTTGTCAAGCACGGGGAGCCCTGTCAGGGCTCAGGCCCTCAGAGCACAACCAACCCCAGTCACCTCGAAGCAGATCTTTCGCTTGCCATGGCTACTGGGCTGCTCGCCTGATGCCTGGTTCCCTGCTCCTCTTCTGGGGCTCCAAAAAACAGATGCTTGCTCAACCCGGTGGCCTCAGGGCCAGGATTGCAGCTTGCTGCAGCCACTTGGGCATGGCTTACAGGCAGTGCTGGACAGGGAGGCTCCCCCTGCGAGGAAATCGGCAGAGCCAGACAAAAAGTTGTGCTAGGACATGTTCCAGTGACCCCAAGCAATACCCAGGCTCACTGGTCACCTTAGTGACTGCACCAGCATTTAAAAACCAAATGCTTGAGGTCTCATCCCTGCTGGGCACTTCCAAGGGTCTATCCACCATCCCTCTTTGGGAAGCTCTGGCCCACCCCACACCCTGTAACCCATCCTTGTTCTTCCCCACCTCCAGGATGATAAAATGACCCAAAAGTACGGTTTCCTGAAATTGCTACAAAATTCTGCAACTGAGCGGATGGTCCCTGACACCCGGTTGTGAAACACCCCGGGTCCTTCTCCAGCTGTTTGGTGCATCAAAACTTTCCTGTTGTGAAATGCAGCGCACCTCAACAGTGAGGGCTGGGGAGGGGCGGGGGGGGGAGAAGGTGCTGGTTAGTCTCTGTGTGTGGACCAGGGCTGCACCCCCAAGCAGCTCCCTGCACGGTGCTGCCCCGTGTCAGCTCACCTGGAGCTCCTGGAGTTTGCCCCAGGCTTGTCCATGGCCCCATTTTGGCCTCCACTTTGTGTCTGAGATTAGTATCATGTTCAGCAGGTTAAACACACCCCGAAACGAGTCAGCTGAACCAGCAGACAGAGGGTTTTAATGAAGAAGCACTGGAAAATCTCGTTTTGCTCCTGATCTTAGCTGCTCTGAGCCAAAGCGCCTGCGCTGGGTCTCTGCAACACTGAGAAACAACAAAAGAAAAAGAAGCTACAAAGCGAGGCCACCATCCTAAAGTAAAAATACACCTTTCAGCCCCACCTGCTCTCCACAGCTTAGAGCATACCTCGGGTGGGGAGAAACTACCCTTGGCACAGGCTGCTGCTAACCTGAGGAGATGAAATGAAGTTCCTGGAACCCCACCCTGGATTATTTGTCTTTCATAAAGAGCTGCTTGCTGGAGGCAGGGGATGGTCCCCCAGTGCTGGGGCACTGCCCTCAGCGCCAGCTCTGTCCCCGTCCCCACGTCACACAGGCAGCCCTGGCCATGCTGCCAGCACCGGGAATCTTTTGGGTGCTCAGGACCACGTAGTGCCACGAGGGTGGGGATGCTACAGGGCCAAGCAGTGCTGGTTCGTTGGAGAAGTGCAGGGATGATGCTCAGGGTCTCCTTTGCCTCATGGCATGGACAGACACCCCTGCAGAAGGGAGTAAACCGGGTGGAATTGAAACAGCCAAGGGGAATAGACTTCTTTTGGGAGACGATGGAGAATGGTAGCGCCGAGAGCCAGGTGGAGGGGGTGAAGGGAGCCATGCCCTGGCCACCTCCCTGCCACCCGGAGTACATGACGCGCCGACCTTGCGGGAAAAGCCACAGAGACCCCTTTTAAGGAACTACCCCAGAGCCTTAAGCAATGCACAAGTATGTCATGAAGACGGACTGGAACTGGATGAAATGGAGATATTTCACAACCGGTGGAGTGGCGCAGGAAGATGGCCAGGCTATAAGAGCTGCCGTGCTCCAGACCAGCCCCGCTCCAGCCCGAGTGGACCACGCTACTTTGTCAAGATGAGCAAGGCAAGTCCGATGGTGATGTGGGCATTTAAGGTCTTCATGCTCTTTTCCAGGTGCCGGTGGAGCCATCGGAGGTGCGAGGACCCCTGGGGAGCCTCTCATCTCTATGTGAGCTGCCATCAGATGTTGGCAGAGGATAATTATCTCCATTCAGGCTCATCCAAGCCCAAACCACAAGGAGAGATGGATCATCCTGGGAGAGGTTCTCCACAGCACAGTCCAACCACTGAAGGGGCTCCTGGAAATCAGATCTCCTACTCCGTACCTCTAGAGAGGTTTTTGCAGTGCCAGCTACTTTGGGAGCCTTGCTCCAACAGCGCTTGACTTCCAGAGGGCACACTGTGAGGGGGGAAAAAATCAGCTCTCAGCTATTACCTCTAGTTGCACATCTCAGAGCAGAAGCAGGCAAAGGCTGCAACCCCCTTCAGTCTCTTTTAGCTTGTAGAAGAGAAAACTCAAAACAGCTTAAATTTTTACCCCCCCAAAAAGAATGGCTGAACAAAACCAGGCTGCATCCTCATCTGGTGTGAAGGAGGTGGCTGTACTGGAGCCTCGCTGGTTTACATCAGGCTTCCCCATCTGTTTTGGCTCCTGACTTTATTCAGTGTGAGTGTTTCTCTTCCAGACCTCCCAGACCCAGGAACCGCTCTCCGACCTGGAGAAGGCCATGGATGTCATCATTGATGTCTTCCACCAGTACTCCAGACGGGAGGGGGACAGAGACACCCTGACCAAGAAGGAGCTGAAGCTCCTGATTGAGAAGCAGCTTGCGAACTACCTGAAGGTGAGTGCAGTCAAAGCAGGGTTTCTCATGGCGCACGTGGAGAGGGAATAGGGCTGGTTCCCATTGCCTGAATATCTCCAGGAACTGATTTCACCCCCTTCCCACTCTGCTCTCCTGCCCCAACACCTTCTGCCCAGATCCTCCCTGTCCACCCGCCGCTTTCCAAACACGCTCCATAAAGCCAGATGAAGGAAACCCACACAGGGCTGGGTGCACCCACAGCCAGATATTCACCCTCATCACCTTATCTGCAAAAATCAGCATCATAGTACCCAGGAGTTCCTCTGACATCTGGAGGCAATGATGTCAGAAATATCAGCCAAAAATCCCTCTTTTTTTTTTTTTCTTTGTAACTCACTTTGCTAGAGCAGAAGGTAGCGTGCTTTTAATCCAACAAGCTAAAGGAGAGTTTTGGGGCTGACGTAACACTTCATCGGTCTCCACAGTGCACAGTGTCCCTGCAGTGATGCCCGTTGCTTTCCAATCGCTTTATTGCCACGGGCAAATCATTGCTGCACCCAACGCCATGGGCGACGCTGGCACAAGGATGGGACCACTCATAGCACCAGGCTATTGGGGACCTGGTGCTTGTGAGGGTCCCAGGGAAAGGTTTGAGTTGTGGCTGACAGGACTTTGCCCTCACCCTCTCCTCTGCTTCGCAGCATGTGAAAAACAAGGCCACCATCGATGAAATCATGAAGGACCTCGATATCAACAAGGACGCGCAGATCAGCTTCTGCGAGATGATGCTGCTGATCGTCCGTGTGACCATTGCCACCCACGAACACCTCCACGAAGTTGAGGACCAGCAGCAACAGCAGCACAAACACCAGCACCACCACTGAGCTGGGCTGTGGTCCCTGGCCAAAGGCACCGGGGCAGTGCTTAGAGCCCCCAGCTTTCTCCCCTCCATCCCTCCCTGCCCACCTTCCTCCTTCCCTTCCTTCAAGTTTGATGGTTTTGCTGCCAAATAAAGATTTGCCCTGAGGCTGTCAAAGCTCTTTTGTGTGTCTGCGTGGGTTTTCCTTGAGGCAAGTCCTGCACCTTGCTCTCTCCCAGCCTGAAAACCAGGCAGATCCACCTTGGAGACCGGCTGCAGGTTCTCAGAGGTGAGGTGGATGCCTGGGGAGAGCAGGGCTCATCGCAGCAGGTGCTCACAATAATCCTTACATTATAGTGTGCTCCATAGATCAGGGAAGGCAATATGATTTCCAACTAGAAAAAAAGCCCATTGACCTGTAAACACTCTGCATATCTCCTAGGACCAAGATGTGGTGGTAGGCAATAGCTGGAAGGAAAGATGGGGATGGACAAGTACCCTTTTCCAGAGGAACACCCTTTTTAGGGCACTTTTGCTCTGCAGGGCCCTGGGATGGGGCTGGAAAAGTTTAGTTTTAGTGCTACAGCCAGCAGCAAGGTCTGGCCACTGGGTTTTGTGTGGACAAGAACTGAGAACAATCCCATCTCCTCACTCAGAAGATCCTGAGTTTGTGCTGGGGTGGTGTCCGTTATTAATAGCTTCTTTCCAGAGTGGGTGGCTGGAAAAGCCTACGATACTGCTGAGCAGCCTCCTGTGGTGCACGCCTAAAGCCTGGCTACTGATTTGCAAATGTCTTAGAGGGGGGGGAAGGAGCAATTGTGATTTCCTAAGGGTGAGTCAAAGCCCTGAAATCGTCCTGTTCTCTGAAGGAACCTGCCACAAGCTTCCCCAAAGCAGCAGCACTGAAGCAAGCCTGCCTGGTTAACACAAGACTGCCGCAAGTTTGCTTCACCACTGCTGGCCAGGTTGCTTCAGCTTCCTACGGAGTCAGTTTTGACATCTGAAGTGTCAAACACCTTCTTACAAGGTAAAATCTACTGCAGGGACCGGAGTCCACTCAGCCCTGCCGGAGCTTGCACAGGGAGGCAGGTGCCCTCTGGAGCCAGATCCCGTACCCAACACTCAATCCTGCACCCCAGAATGGATCCTACACCCCATTTGACAGCACTTTAGGGTCTCTGGAGCAGGTAAGAGCCCCACACCCAAGGGGGAGAGTAGAGCTGGTTCACTGCCACCACCCAGCCAGGGCAGAAGCACTGTCACCTCCAAGAGCCAGTCTGTCCCCAGGGCTGGCCTATAAGGACATGCCCAGCCTTCCGGACAAGGGGTGCTCAGGTCCCCTTTGCAGCAGATCAGCTTTTCAGGAGCTCAGCACCAGCTGGTGGGCGGTAAACCCTTCTGTTCTCTGCAGCAGAGCGGGGGGTCTCCCCGTGCAAGGGGCCAAGCACACAAATCTGGGTGCTGGGGGGTACCCCCAAACCGCCCTGGGACCTTCCCCCCCAGGATCCAGGCAGGAACCAGCCTCGAAGCTCACCGTGCTGGTGCAACAGGATATGTGCCAACACGGAGGGACTTCACAGTCCTCTGACACCCCGAGCGCGGGACTCGTGTTGTGTCACCCACTGGGGCTGTTGGACCATCGCACCGGAGGTGGAGAGGAACGAGGCGCCACACGCCCCGAGTGCAGCGGGACCAGGGCACCGCTGCGGGGGCGATCGCCGGGTCCTCCCATAACAGCGGAGCGGTCCCCGAGTCCATATGTGTCCTTTCGCCCCAACGGAGCTCGCACCCCCCCCAACAGAGAGCACGAAGCTAAGGCAAGCAAGGAGGTGTTGGATCCACCCCAACCGTGCTGGAGCCCGCGCCGCAGAGGGACCCTCGCTCAGGCCGATGGGCGAAGGCGCTCTGATGCCCACAGCCGCGCTGCCTGTTTTGGGGTGGGGATGGTGCTTGGGTTTCTCCAGCTTTGTTGTTCCAGCAGCGGGAAAGCAGGAGGGGGGCAGCACCCCCAGCCCCGGCCTTCACCCCCAGAGGATGAGGCAGAATTGGGGCTCCGCGAGCTGAGGACCAGGCTCCTGCTGCCACCTGGTGGCATGGGCCACCGAGGCTGCTGGGGCGGCCACTGGCCCCAGGGCAACCCGGGGAGCCCTTGGTCACGGCCGGCTCCCCGGGTTTGCACCCCAGGGACACAGTGGCCGAGCCCATCCATCACAGGAAGAGCCCCATTCTGTGACCCCCCCCCCCCCCCCCCCCCCATTACACCCCCTGTTCCTACACCACCAGTGCTGGTTACAATAATCAATATTATTCTGATTTACACATCCAAAACAAACAGAATTCTGGGGTTCAGCTGGCATCATGAGGACATGCACCGATTTACAAACACCCCAAACTCCTCTCTCACATCCCCCCCCCCCCCACTCAAGCCACAACGCACTCGGACTCCCTTTTTTTTCTCTCAACACCACTACATCAGCTCTCCCTACCTGTGTCCTATGGGGAGCAGGAGAGGGGAGAAGCACTGCGGTTCCTCCAGGATATTCCTCAAAGCAGCAGGAAAATAGTTGATGCAGATAAATGCTAAATCCTCCTCCCATCTGTGTTTGGGGGGGGTGTTTTACCCCACATCCTGCTCCCTGAACTTTGCCTGGGTGAGGTACAATGCAATACAGCTTGCATTGGTATCCTCCTAGCTTAAGCCCTGCCTAAGGACTACATCTCCCCTAGCTGCCACCCTGTCCTTGACCCATCAAAATAATCTTGGGGTGGGCCTGCCAGCTCCCCACACTGCTGACCCCCCCTTCCCAAGCTCCCAGGCTGGAGAAAATGAGCTAAACCCTCCAGGGCTGGGTTTTATGGATGACTCTAACAAGGGGACGGGATTCAGCTGGGGCTGAGCTGTGCCTCCCACCTGGGACCCAGCATCCCCATCCTGCCTGGTCCCCCCCGCCCACCACTGATCCCCTCCACCCGCTGTTGACCTCCTCCACTGTCTGCAGACCCCCTTGACCCCCCCAGACCCCCCGATACGGGGTCAGCAGCCCCATGGCTGGTACTGGAAAGCTTGCGCAATGCCCAGCGCTGTGGCAACTGGGGACTTCGAGGCGCTGTGTGCGTCAGATTCGTTATCAGTCTAGACACGCCGAGAGGGATGAGCTGCAGTGGGGTAAAACTGGTCGGTCTCAGGGTGTTGGTGAGGCCCGTGGCCAGGAGCTGACCTGCTGTCATGGGCAAAGCCGGGCCCAGAGCCTAGCAAAGCCAGCCTGACGCTGCTGTGGATGGGGACGTGCTGCCACGGGATGGCACCGTGGTGGCAGCAGGCTCAGAGGGATTAGCCAGCGGAAGGGCCTGGCTCAGAATGATTCAGAGCAATTTTCCTCCTAATTCCCCTCATTCCCTGGGCAGACGTGTGCTAATTGGGGCGGCAGTGGTGGAGGGAGGAGTATGATGGTTGTAGGTGCCATTGCCATGCGTTGCCCTCTCATCCTCCTCCGCAAGCGCTTCCTGCCCAGTGCAGTGGCTTCCTCACCACTGTGCCCGGCCACCTCCCAACATCCCGGGTCCCAGGGTCCTTCCCACGCCCGGGAATGCACCGTCCCCGTGGCAGAGAGATGCTCTTCTGAGATTGTTCATACAGAGATAAGGACCCGCCAACATAAAACATTAAACCCTGAGCCCTTGGCTGGCTGTCAGCGTGATTCCAGCCCATGTGAAAACTCTCCTTTACCTGCCTCTCCATCAAGGGCACGGCCGGGAGCAGCAGGTACTCCGGCTCACAGGAGAGACCTCGTGGGGATATCAGTCTCTCTGTGGGGTTTGTGCTAAACAACCTGGCAAGGCTGTACCCCAAAAGGTTGCGGGGTAAATTTGTGCTGCTGTCTGTGCCCAGTTGTCTGGCCATCCAAAATAAAGCCCTGAAGTGTGTCCCTCAGGGCTGAGGTTTTTACAAAAGCTCCATATGCTGCGAGAGCAGCCCCTGGGCTGTTCCATCTTCCACTGAAAGCATCCGTGTGCCGGGCAGCCCTTGCTGCAGAGGGCCCGCGGTGACTTGCTGCTTCTTGCCTCACTGTGCCAGGGTAAAATTTAGCTCCAGACCACGGCCTGCATCTCATTTACAACCCACTTAATTGCAGAGACGTCTTGTGCCGCGCTGGAGGTGTCAGCAGCCGTACGTGGGTGGCAGAGGTTGGCTCCAGCAACCCCTCCTCTCCCAAACACGCTGCTACGAACCCGGCCCTGCAAACGCCGCCTGGGAAGGTCGATGCGGAGCGTGATCTCACCTGGCTTCGTACCGTATCTGGCAATCTTGGGATGGTGCCTGAGCCCTTAATGATAAGCTGGCACACCCTTCATAGCAGGGAGAGCTTGTTACACCCCCTTTCCAGATGAGCAAACCTGGGGTCATTGACTTCTCTGAGACCACACAGAGAATCGGCCAAGAGCCAGGCATCCTGCCCTGGCTGCCTCGCTGCGGCAGCCTCGCATTCCCTGTGCCTGGTTCTTTCCTCGGGAGCCCTGAGGAAGCCTGGCTCCGCGCATGGCTTGATGTGCTCCGTTGGGATTTAAATACAACCTGACCCCATGCACGGCTTCGTTTGATCCATTGGGATTTAAATGCAGCCTGGCCCCGTGCACGGCTCGGTTTGCTCCATCGCGGTTGACGTACAGCCCGGCGCCCAGGCCATGCTGCTGGCAGGGGCGGTGGCTGTCCCCATCCCATCGAGGTGTGTACTAAGTGATTTTCCCACGGGAGGGAGCTCATAATCCCGTTGGTCACGGCCACCCGGTGTCACCGGGCATCCCCACGCTGCCGTCACTCTTGGGAGCAGGCTGCCCGGTTTGAAAAGCAGCTTAGCGCTCTTTCTCGCCATTGTCCAAGCTGGGCAAGTGTGAATGCTCTCTGGGTCCAGTGACAGCCCGCACAAAATGTGGGACAGCCTCAAAAATAAGATTAAACCCACCTTCTCTGCAGGAATTTCTTTTGTCTATGACGTTTTCTAAGCATTGGCATTGCAAAGCCCCACAAACTCACAAATCGCTTCGGTTGTAAAGCAAAAAACCCGGTTTGGGGGAAGCTAAATGCAAATGTTCATATATGAAGGGAATCCCTGCTTAGGTTTTTTTTTTGGTTTTTGATCCGAGGAGATGTCTCCAGTGCAAGCCCCCGTGTAAAACCCTGCGCTCCCCGCTCGGATCCCCGAGCACCGCCCGCGGAGAGCAGAGCTGCACGCTGACCTACATACATCTTTCCCAGGTGTGCAGGTAAACATCCTCCCAGGGGAAGGATAATGAGGGAGGCTCCCTGGGAAGCGCAGCAACGCGGGGAGGCAGCCAGAGAACAGGACTGACCGGAAGAAATCCTCACCCTCCACCCACTCCCTGGCAGCCTGCAAGGAACTCGCAGCGAGCTGCTCCCACCAGTCCGATCTGCGCCCGTCGGCTGGTTGATGCAGGTGAGCAGGGTGAGTTTCCGCCGTTTATTTTTGTACTTGAAATGAGCTTTTATGTTTTCAGGGTCATTTTGCAACCCGTCCTTCCCAGCGGGGCTCAGGGTGGCAGGGACTAAAGACACAAGCACAGGATTAGCTGCCTGGACTCCCATTGCCCAGCCCCGAGCACAGCGAGGGTGTAGACACGGCACTTTCCTTAGCTGCAAGAGCTGATTCATTCAACCCGACAAGTGCCTGAGATGGCTACAGGGAGCTTCGTCCTTTTAATTTAAGCAGGGAGTTGGGAAAGTGGAGAAATGAAGTGAGTTAAGGTGAAAGTCCCAGGAGTAGCCAGGGTGGTGAGCAGCCCAGCTTTCAGCATCCAGCAAAGGGAAGTTTCTTTTTACCTCTGGCAAAGAAATTTAGAAATGTTGAAATTGAACTGAATATGTTTTGAGTTGTTGGAAGGGAGCGTGGGGGTTTTCCTGCAGGCAGAGCTGTCCCTGCTACCTTGCTATGTCCTCAAGTTTTGCTCCTCTCCAGGACTGGAGACATGTCGAAGCTCATTAAAGCCATCACTGACATGATGGAGAGTTACCAGGGCAATGCCAGGAAGGGGAAGAAATCGGAGCCCTTTAGTAGAAGTGAGTTCAAGAAGCTGATCCAGCAGGAGTTTGCTCCTGTCAAGGTAACTGTACGGGCTCGAGGGTGCAAAGATGGATGGGAAAGGTGCCAGGGTGATATTTAGGGGTGGTCAGGGGTGCTGAGGGGTCCTGCAACACTCACTCCACATCTGGGGCTGGAATTGGATCTCTCCAATCTTTGATTTTCCTGGCATTGAGCATCACGGGTTATTTCCTTGGGTTTGTACTGCAAGGCAGCAAAGCTCCTGTGCACCCCTCCCAGCCCCGCTGTCCCCATTTTCCTGCTGGGAAGGGAAGGTCGAGGGTGAGGGAGGGGTGTCTGGTCCTGCTGTGCCTCCATCTCCTCCCTGGTGAAATCCAGGCGTGATCCACACTATAAAACCTTAGCGTTGGACCCTGCGCAGCCTCCGCTGCCTCTGCCACTCTCCCTTTTGTTGCATTACCCTTGCAATAAGGGGACCCAGCCCTCCCTTCCCCTCCTTGCCCCTTTGGAAAGGTCTGATGGGCTCCTGTCCTCTCAGAGGTCTCCCACCAGCAAGTACAGATACATCACCAGCCTGCCGGATTCGGACACTGAGCCCATGAACAAGAAGGAGAGGGGCTCTGCCAAACCCTGTGTGTACTGAAGGGCGGCTGCCGCTGCTCCCGGGGCGCAGAGACGAGGAGGTAAGGGATTTCTCAGGGAGCTCAGCGAGCCGGGGAACCTCCCGGGCAGCATTTGCATTACCTCGTTAGGCGGGGACAGATCCTTCCTTGGGGCCAGTGTCACCCCGAGGTAGTGGTGCATGGCTCCCCACGGCTGCCTGGTTAACCCTTGCAGTTGTCCCAGCGAGCCCAATCCAGCAGGGAGGATGGGGCGGAGCCAGGAGCTGAGCTCCAGCTCTCCGGGGACCCAGAGAGCATTGAATCAGCTCTACTAACTCCAGTAAAATTGCACAAGCTTATCGGGCACAAGCTTAGTGCGAAGCAGAGGTTTTGCAGGGTGGGCGGTGGGGAAATGGGGGTTGGTGGGCAGGGATGCCAGCCTCAGCCGGGATTTGGGGTGGTTGCAGGTTAATTCGCTCGTGGATTTTCTTCCCTTTCCTGTAGGATCCCTGAATTTCCCCGTGGGCGAAGGACAGAGGCACCAGCAATGTGTGGGCACGGTATGATGACCTTTTGGGCTCCCTCTGCTCCTCTGGTGCAGACAATGCCTGTCCTCGCACCGGTGGTGGGGGAGATGTCAAGACCATGCCCTGCTCTGTGTATTACCTCCATGAGGCAAAAATAACCCCGGGTCTCTTGTTTTGTCCTGATGCTCCATGGGTATCTCTTTGGGGTGCTTTGCAAATGCAGCTTGAAGGCTGGGGGTGGGGTGGGTGGGGGCAGATTTGTTGTTTTCTTCTCTTCCACACAACAGCAGAGACATGACGGCTGACATATCAACCCCTTCCTCCATGAGCTCCTGTTTGTAATGGGTAGAAAGTGAAAAAACACTAGTCAATAGGGCTGAAATGAGCCATGCAATTAGTTGAGTCAGGCTGTACAGTAATAATGAATAAAGAGTGGCAATTCTTCAGGGAAAATGAAAGCTCTGTGGTTGGGAGCTCATCTCCAGCTCATTTGAAGTCAACAGCAAAATTCCCATGGATTTTGGGGGGGTGTGTGTCAAAAATGCACCTCAACACTTACGAGGATGTTTCAGTCTAATAAATGCATCTGGGACAGCATGCTGGCTTTCTTTTCTATTAAGAAAAGGGAAGCCCAGCCCTCTATTTTTTTTTTTTTTTAATTTTAATTTTATGGAAAGCTTTTACCTATGTCTTTGGAAAATTAACCTGCAAAAAGCTGTGCAAAGAATTACTAGCAACAATGAGTGGCCAGAGGATGAGGAAACAAGGCCATCAGCCATGCTCAGTTAAAACAGCGTTCGCAATATATAAGCCAAAATAAACCAAGGCTGTTTTAATAGCAAGGAGGGGGTGGTAGAAACCCCAGGTTTCACTGGAAAAAAGTAATGCAGATAGTTATCAGGTCTGTAATATTTGTATCCCCGTCTGCGTTTTTTTTTGGAAAGTCAGGGAAGATATGCCGTTTCTGACAAGGTTTCACTTTATGATCACTTTACTACATGTCATGTGCAGGAGTTTATCTCTCCCAAGCTAATGAGTGCAGGATCTGGTCCTTCAGCTGGTACCTGTCTGAATGGGTTAATACATCAGCTGTCTTAACTGTGATGTTTCTGCACTGTAAATATGCAAAAGGAATTTTTTTGGGGCTTCTTCTTCTTACATGAATGGTTGTAATACCATAAAAAAAGGAATAAAAACTGTACAACACAATGCCTGCCTGTTTTTTGTGAGCCATTTGGTGATCATCAGTAGCCTCCCTGGGTAGGAGGTTGCCCAAAGCTCTGTAAAAAAGGCTGTCAAACCCCAAGGGGATGGGGCAGGAATGCAAAGCCCTGGGGGTCTGAGAGCACTGGGCATACCCATAAGCAGCAGCACGCCTGGGTGTAGGGCCCAGGCAGGACACCCTGTGGGATGGGGACATGTTTTTGTGGTTTCCCCATCACCTGGGACCCATCGGTCCTGGATGAGAGAGGAGAGCAGAGCTGGTGGGCACCCAGGGATGATCCACACCCACTGTGGCCGGTGACAGCTGCGTCCCTATAGCGTGCATGGAAAATAAGGATGAGGAGTTTAAGGAAGTGCCAACACAGAAGAAGTCTCAGGAACGTAATGCTTTATTGTCTCATGGGCACCTCATGGTGCCAAAGCACAGCCTGGTGCATCAGGCAGAGGCAGCAGGGAACCCCAAGTGATGCCCCTTCCCTGGGGAGCGATGGTCCTGGAGGGCAGAGGAGAGGGTTTGCAGTTGGGCAGCCCCGGGGCTTGCAAAGCTCTGAGGAGGCAGGATGGAGCCGGTCCATGCGTGGCCTTTGCTGGGGGTGCCGGAGTGTGGGGGCCACCCCCTCACTTCATCTTCTGCGAGGGCAGCTGGTGGATCTGCTGCTGCTGCTGCTGATGCTGCTGGACCTGGACCTGGACCTGTGGCTTCCCGTGGCATCCGCCACCGCCGGAGCTGTGACAGCCACCACCGCTACCTCCGGAGCTGTGACAGCCACCGCCACCTCTGCCGGAGCTGTGACAGCCGCCACCACTGCCACCGGAGCTGTGACAGCCGCCACCACCACCGGAGCTGTGACAGCCACCGCCACCACCGGAGCTGTGACAGCCGCCGCCACCACCGGAGCTGTGACAGCCGCTGCTCTGGCGGGTGTAGCGCTCCTGGCTATGGCACTGGTCCCTGTCCTGGCGGGAGCACATCGTTGTGTCTTGGGGTGACCTGTGGGGAGAGAGGAGCTGTCAGGTCTTGCTGTGTGTCCCACCGCCCCGATTGCCCCAGCGCCCCAATCCTGGGGTCCCTCTGCCTGCCCCGTTTGCAATCCCACCCCCAGAGCTGCCGTGCAGGATCCCGGGAGACCCCCCCCGGTCTGAAGCGGTGCCCTGCATCCAGGGATGGAGGATTTAATCAGCACAGCACGGTCTAGCCATGGGACAGGTCCTCACCTCCCTCCGCTCATCCCCCCACCCCAGCAGCAGGGTTTGCATTAAACCCGTGCCCTTCATCCCTTGACGGGAAACGAGTCCCCAGAGAAAGAAAATCCATCCATGCTGCCAGACTTACTTGAGCTTGAGAGAAAAGCAAGAGGAGGGAATGAAGATCCCCAGGACAGGAGCAGTTTTATAGAGATCTCAGATCCCTTTCCCGGAAATGACACAGCTCTCTGTCATAGTGATCTATTAATTTAAAATCCAGTCCCCATCAAACCGCCCTCTGTTTACACCGCTCTCCTGACTCATTCGTGATGGGTATCATTCCTTTTTTATCAGTTTCCTGTGCCACATCTAATTGCCAGCCTCACCTGCCCTTAATAGGAAACCCCGTGGTGCCTGGGTTTCCAAAGGCTTGCCTCTTTAGGGTTTGTTTTGTTAAATTAAGTCCAGGCATAATTATAGCCCCATCTCATGAGGCTCTGCTTGCAGACTCTAATCGCTGCTATTGAGCCAGCACCAGATAAAACCAAAAATAATCCAGGTAAAAAGCAGTGGAAAATTGTTGTTCCTTAGATGCTTGGTTTGAAAGAGTCGCCATGGACATGGGGACAGCCAGTGGGGAGAGGACAGAGTCCTCCTGGGCTTCCTCTGGAGAAGGGCCTCAGGTCTTCAACAGGGGTTTTCTAGCTCCCCTCCTTGACCTAAAGGGTGTGGATTTGCCCCAAAAGGCACCTGAGCAGCTAGAAGATGATCTTGGGGACCTCTGAAAGCCTTGCAAGCTTGTTCACATACACCTGAGCAAGGTCACTGAGTTCTTCGTTGACAAAGGCTAGCTGTTCCCATCCTCTTAATGACAAAGACCAGGAAATGAAGACTGAGCAACTAAAAGATCCGTCTAGTGACACCTGATTCATTGGTCTGTCTTCTTGAGCAAAGCTGGAGGTTCAGAGATGACCTTTCTGCACAGCCCTGTCCTGGTTGAAAAGCTGCTCAGCGCTTCATCACCTCACAAAGTACATTGACCACTAAAGACCACAGTTCCTTAGTTACAGGAGAAAGGCAGGAGACACAGAAGTTATTGTTGGGAGCCATGCAAACACACACAAAGATTCACCTTGTTGCCAAAGAGCTTTGACAGCTCTCTCAAGGAGGAGAGGATAGCACCGGGGCTCTGGCTTCGAGCTGAAAGCCAATGTCTTTCCCAAGACACAGGTCAACTAGTGTTATTTCGTTATGCTCAGCACCGCTACTGGCACTGAAGATTAGCTCCTTCCTGAATCTCCTGGAAGTCGTTGGGTAGCTCCTCTCTGGCTTGAGGAAAACACCCACTGGCAGGGGGTTGAGCTGTCCCAGAGGTCCCTGTGTCCTGCATGTGGCCCGGGCTTGAGCAGAGGGGGGATGTAGTGACAATGGGATGAACCCTCCCCAGGTGCCACCACGAGTGGCTCACTCTGCTCTCACATTCGAAATTTTGGCTACTTGAACTGTCCCTCACGAGCCTCCCAGCTGGCGGCAGTGGCCGTCTCTCTTATCCGAGCGGTCAGCGACGGGGAGGATTGCAAATCTCTCCCGCAGCCTCGCAGACCCATGGCTCACCCAGCACTCAGTGCAGCCAGCGTTTACTGTGCTGACTGCCACTGATGTCATAAAATTTCATATAGAAACTGGTGGCTGCAGTTGTAATTAGCAGAGGAACTGGGTAGACACCCACTTAGAGCTGTGTGTGCTGCAGGCAAAATCCACGTGGCTGCTGGAGCAAGTGTGTGCATGCACAGAAGGGGCTGGTTCCTGCGCAGGCTGTGTCCATGGGGCTTCTTGCTATTGCTGTGTGCATCCCTCTTACAACCCCAAATAATAACCAGTGACTAAGGTCTCAAGGACAAATGCATTTCTGTGCATGTGAGTCTTGTGCAACCTTGTTTTTGTCTTTTTCAGAGAATATCAGTAGCAGTCGTGTCTTGCCCAGGTCAGGGGTGATGTTCTGCATGGGAGAATTCAATGCTGATTTGGTTTTCAGGTGATGATCTCATTCATTCAATGAGAAAGGACACATGAGTATTTTTAGTGTAACCAACCGTGCACCAAGTTTCCTAACGGCTGGTGCTTTCCTGCAGTCCCCAGCCTCTCAAATATATTAGTTCAACTTTCACCTAAAAGCAGAAACCACATCTAAACGGAAGCAGAAAAGCCTGTGTCCTTTTTTATTGTGGTTACAGGAAAAAAACAAAAAAAAATCTTTAAAGAGTCAAAAACCTAAGAGGCAAAGGAAATGAACCTTAAAACATATGACCAGTAATCACTTCTAGGGTTCTCTTGGGATGAGTGGGGTTGGCAGCAGTGTGTGGTTGCACCACTCAGCTCCCCTCCCTCAGCCTTTGCACAGGGCTGTAACACATCTGGGCCACGCTGCTCCCAGCTGCAAAACCCCTTCCCCACTTGCATCCCTGCCCTTCCAGCAGCATCTCTGCCAGGTCCTGGCTGTGCAGGGAGAGGGATTTTGGATTCTTTTTCTGACAGCTCTTCCCTTGGCTCTTTGCATCCCTCAGTCCACAATCAGGGAGGCACAAATCTGCTGAGTTCATCTGCTGTTGGCACATGCACGACAAGCTTCAGAAAATACCAGAACTAAAGAATTTGCTGAATTCAATTGCTCTGGCTTACACTGCAATATTCTCCCTAAAAGGCGACACTAAATGGTCTCCTTGTGCACATGTGCTGAAGGGCTGGGTGCTTTCTCAGGGGTGACTTCCCCTGGTTAAGATATATGACATGTATAGACCCTATATTCCTCTACACCCAGCTGCACCCCTATAGGGCACATACAAAATAAGGGTGAGATGTGTAAGGAAACACAAATGCAGGAAAGGTCTCAGGAATGTAATGCTTTATTGTCTCATGGGCACCTCATGGTGCCAAAGCACAGCCTGGTGCATCAGGCAGAGGCAGCAGGGAACCCCAAGTGATGTCCCTTCCCTGGGGAGCGATGGTCCTGGAGGGCAGAGGAGAGGGTTTGCAGTTGGGCAGCCCCGGGGCTTGCAAAGCTCTGAGGAGGCAGGACGGAGCTGGTCCACGCGTGGCCTTTGCTGGGGGTGCCGGAGTGTGGGGGCCACCCCCTCACTTCATCTTCTGCGAGGGCAGCTGGTGGATCTGCTGCTGCTGCTGCTGATGCTGCTGGACCTGGACCTGTGGCTTCCCGTGGCATCCGCCACCGCCGGAGCTGTGACAGCCACCACCGCTACCTCCGGAGCTGTGACAGCCACCGCCACCTCCGCCGGAGCTGTGACAGCCACCGCCACTGCCACCGGAGCTGTGACAGCCGCCACCACCACCGGAGCTGTGACAGCCACCGCCACCACCGGAGCTGTGACAGCCGCCGCCGCCGGAGCTGTGACAGCCGCTGCTCTGGCGGGTGTAGCGCTCCTGGCTATGGCACTGGTCCCTGTCCTGGCGGGAGCACATCGTTGTGTCTTGGGGTGACCTGTGGGGAGAGAGGAGCTGTCAGAGCTTCCCTTTCCTGCTTCTGCTCTTCCAGGGAAGAGAAATCTGGAGGTACATTCATCCAGTCTTAACCAGAGCCCACGATGGTCTTTAAACCTTGCACCACCTATGGGATTGTCCCAACAAAGCCACAGCCAGAGGTGCTGGGAGCATCCAGATCAACTAGGCAGGCTGACCACCACTGGCTTTCCAAAGCAGAACCGTCTTGTTCCCAGAGGGAGGAAGGTAGCACCCCAGAGCCTCCCTCCAAGTCCAAATTTCTCTGTTCTCTTTCAGCATCCCCTGTGCTCCCTCCTCACCCCACCTCCCCGCTCACAAGCACCCACAGAGCAAACCCCAAACCAGTACAAGGTGGGGGGCTCAGCCCTCTCCAAACCCATACGCCTCCCAAAGAGTTTCGAATTCTGTGGTGAGCCCCAAAACCCTGCAGCATCGCCGCTCTTACCTGAGATGCTCAAGAAGCAAAGAGGCAAGGAGGGAATGAGGTTTTCCGGGCCAGGAGAGCTTTTATATCCTCTCTGCACACCCCATCTAGAAATGAAGCACCTCCCTGTTTCAGAGGTCTGCCTATTCATTTAGTTCATTGATGGTTTTTTTTTTTTTTTTTTTTGGCCTCCCCACTCTTCAGGTTGCTTGCGTGACTCAACTCATCCACGCCGGATATCACCTTTTGTTATCGGTCGTCTTTCCTGCGCTGCAGAAATATTTAATTGCCAGCTCTACCTGTGTTCAGCTCCAATGGGGGAGTAGTGTGGGTGGCCTCGGTTTCCACAGCTTTGCCGGGTTGTTTTTGGTGTTGACGACAGCTGGGGAGTGCTTTGCCTTTAGGGGGGGAATTATGTCATATACTTAAATCACACCATGCTTTTAAAATGTCTTGAGGTGCTCTAGTCCTGCAAATGCCCATAAACCCAGAGATTTGACTGTAAGTACCAATAATGCCTCTAGCATGGTAGACATCTCTTTCTGAGCAGCAATTTGACTGGTCCCACTGTTGGTTCATTTCTCTTAAAACCAGCTGAAATATGGTAGAGTGGTGAAGAGAGAGAGAAAAGACACAAGTTCTCCAAAACTTTTTTGTTGGTCAAAAGTTTCCTGCTGTTGTGAGAAGGACCAAAAGCAGTTGGGATTCTTATTTTTGGAAGGGGGAAGACCTGCCCCAGGTAGTGATCCAGGATTATTGTGGTACATAATTATGTGGTTAACTTTCAGCCCATGAGTAATGCCGGAGCGGCACTGCTGGTGTTTTTTTTCCAGGTTCTGAGAGGCTTCGGTGCTGCCACGTGGAAGAGGAGGGCTCCCATGGGTGCTACCTTCGGTGACACATGCTAGCTTGGGGTGGCTGCCACACTTCGGGCAGCTGGCAGACCCCAGGGACTTTCTTCAAACTTGTAGGAACGTCCTTTTTAGAGCACTTTTCCCTGCTCCCCAATTAGGTTATAATTGGCCAACAAATCTAAGTGTTATTTGGATGGATGCACAGACCCACACGAGCCTTCAAGCCAGGCCAGGTACCACATTTACAGTGAGAATTAATCACAATCAATAATTTCAGATATTCCCTGTGCCTTTCCTGTACCTCTGCTGCGTGGACTAGGAAGCGCTTACGACCATAGATCTTGCTTTACACTTTTCTGCCACTACTTGTGGAAGACATTCCAGTACTTAAACAGGCAGCAAATAAAAGACTATAACCAGTATTATGAGCTGAAATAGGAAGCTGCTATGATTTTGTCAGTGCAAAAGTGCTTGGAAAACACTGGCTGAAAAATATTTTACTTGCCCACAAAGGTGCTCGAGTGTTTGGTATTTTTGGTCAACATCTCCTGGCTTTTATTTTTCTTTCTCCACGATTAAGTTTTTATGCTATTCCCAGATGCTGGGCACAGTGAGATGGAGGCTTAGCCCCATCCTGCCTTTGCTAAAGCTCTTTGAGAGACCCGGCACCCTTCGGGAAGTGGCTGGAAAACTAAATGAGCTGCCACATACCGAGGTGCCTCTTCAGCCTCTTAGGAGCTCCTGCTTTGAATGCAGGTGCCTGAATCTTTGTTAAGGCACTGCAAGTCCTGAGCGGTTCCCGCAACCCAAAAAACATCTGACACATTTGCTGTTACTAAAACACAGAAGATTTTTGGAAAGGCTGGCAGACAGGACAAGGTTAATGAATCAGGTACGCAACCTAAATGCTTCTTTTGTATTGCTTAATTGCTATTATGAACTAGAACAGTGTCAGGCCATACTGTACTCAGGTTTGATCACTCCCGTTTAATTGTGTTTTGTTCTGGCATCAGAAGGGATATGGTAAATGAAAAAAGACTCAAAGTAATTTTTGGCTCTCAACATTTTGCTGTGCTGAGTTCCTCATGTTTTAATTGTTCCGAGTTTGTTAAAGATCAGCAGCACCCAGCCAGCAGTCCTGGGCACCTCTAGATTTTGTGACATGCCTTGAAAATGGGTTTTATGTCGTGGAGGGGCTTAAGGCAAGTGCCAGACTTGCACGACCAGCCTTTTCAAATGATTCCTACACTGAGAGCAGGCAGCTTGTCCAAGGAGCTAGCTGCTGTCTGCACCCTTTTCAGCAATGCCAGATATTTCTGATCATTGTGACATACTCGAGAATAATCTTATCAGAGCAACATCCATTTCATGAATGGCAATATCAGACCAATAAATTACACAATTGATTTTAATTACAAGCCAAGAAGAAATTTATCAGTTCGTTGTGTAACGTTAGCATCTTGCAATGCCTCTGGCTCGATCTAGGGCGCTTGAAGTGCTGGGCAGAGGGTTTCTAGAAAGGCTTGCTGGGGGGGTTGTCACAAGCATGTGGAGGTACCTGCCCCAAGGATGGTGCCTTGGGGCCAGATGGCAAAAAAAAAGGGTTTTTTTCTCCATCATGGGTGCCTTTGCCTATAAGACTGTTTCTGCCCCATGGTTGTGCCCATAGCTGGACCTGAAGGTTTGTGCAATGCAGCCTGCGGGGTCTTGGTGGGGGATTTTGGGTCTCCAGCTCTGTGGGGAGGTGGTGTGGAGGAGAGCTGCCTGCACCGCAGAGGCCTGAGACGGCCTCCTAAAATGTCAGCATTTAAAAATCTTTATTCTCTCTTTTCCTTTGGAGACCATAGGGGAGAGCGTGGCAGTGCCTACCCCTATTGCCTGTGTCTGGGCAGGGCTATTAAACAAGCACAGGTGCCTTGTGTTGTGATACGAAATACAAGGTGAAAGAAAAATCATGAACGTAAAACTCTCATGAACTCTGAATTGTAATGGCTCGTATATAGTCACAGACCGATACAGAGAAAACCACGCCAGCATTAATGTGCACCGTTTATTTTAGCACCCACAGATAAGCTCATCAGAGGTACAGTACTTGCCAGGGGAGGGAGAGGAGGCATTTTCTTTGAAGATTGCAAGGAGACGTGCAAAGCTTGCTGAACTTGGCACAAGATCAAGGATATGCAGGTGTATAGCATGCAGATCATGTCCTGATCACTTCATATTTGAGGATACTTGATAAATTTTCTGCTGGCAATCCTGTGGCTTTCCATGGCAGGATCTCTCAGTGCTCCCGTGGCATCCAGATCCACTGTTGTACCCGTGGCATCCGGATCCACTGTTGTTCCCGTGGCATCCGGATCCACTGTTGTACCCGTGGCATCCGGATCCACTGTTGTACCCATGGCATCCGGATCCACTGTTGTTCCCATGGCATCCGGATCCACTGTTGTTCCCGTGGCATCCGTATCCCCTGCTCCCGTGGCATCCAGATCCACTGTTGTTCCCGTGGCATCCATATCCCCTGCTCCCGTGGCATCCAGATCCACTGTTGCTCCCATGGCACCCTTCACTGCTGTACCATGAGGGTCGTTCTTGCCGGTGACACTGGTCTTTGTCCTGGCGGGAGCACATCTTTGCAGACCTGCTAGAAAAACTATTATCTTTGAGTGGGTACGAAGACAAGAGACACTGTGGTGTCTGTCAGCTAGCAGTAACAGATATCTAGTTAGATGGGATTTTATATCGAGAATAAATTCTCATTATAAGCCAGGCTCTTGAAGAAGTGAGAAAAATTAGCAACACATGTCTGCCTGCAGCAGTCCCTGACCTGTACAGAGGACTCTGCTGTCTTCCTTTGAGCAAGTCTTTCTTTTCTATGTTTAGCAAATATGTAAGATAGAAGTTAAAGCACTTAGTGATTAGTGAGAAGTGGTGGCTAGATAGAGTCCAGAGGTAGACCTGAAGAGTCCTGTCCTCGGCCATCCGAACCCATTAAGTTTTACATTTTCCTTATTGCTTTCTGTTATTTCTATATAGACATGGATGGAGAAGACAACCTAAGCAGCAGGACTGAGCAACTGTGACCAGAGACCGTCACAGAGACGAGATGTGTAAGAGAAGTTGTCAAGACCTCAGGATCAGGACAAAGGCAGTGATCATTAAAAGTGCAAAAGTCTGATCAGGCTGGACTTACCCCGTTCAGCAGGAATTCGAGAGGAGAGCTGAAGCTGAGATGGTGAGGAGAAACGTGGTGCGAGATCTTTTATAGGGCACCCAGCGTTTTTCCTCCGGAAACAAGATGAGTTCCCACTGGAGGGACTTGATTGTTCACCACCAGAGCACTTTGCTAATTGGAGACATTTTACGCTGCTGTTTTGACTCATGGTATGAGCAGATCAATATCCAGCCTTTGGGTTGGCCATTCCTCTCATTAGTCCATAAAAATGTTAATTGCCCACCACACCTGGTGTGGTTGATGGGCAGGGATGGGGAGGTTTCTGGATGGTCTTGCTGCCTTTGACTAAAGCATTCACCAGCTTCTTGTGCCTAATGCAAAGCAGCCATGAGCCCAAGTTGGCAATGCAAAAAATGTTAGTGGATGGGAAGGTGGCACAGTGGGGTCGGCTGGTGGACTGGGGTGTAAAGGGATCCAGAAAATAAAAGGGGCTTGAAAGAGAACAAAAAGGGCTATGGTGGTGTGTAGAAAAAATGTGTGTTTGGGCAGCTTGGGAAGAAAATCTAGGTTGTGAGTGGGTGAAGGAGACAAAGGGAATTAAGGATGCAGGTGTGAGCACATGATGGGGTGGCAGAAAGTGAGCACAGAGCCCGGGGCTGCTCTGTGTGTGGGGGTGCCCTGAAAACAAGGAGTGTGAGCATCCTACGCCGAGCCCCAGGGGCCAGCGTTGGCCGTCCGCCTCCGCCGGGGCGGTGGTGCTTGGCCCTGGTGGGTTACAAAAGGAGTTGAGTCACCTCTGGGCTCCAGAGCTGTCACTGAGGTTTGGGGTTGGGGTTTAGAGGTGGGAGATGGTGATGTGAGGCTTTGAAGCAAACTCCTGCTGGGAGTGTCTGGTTGGAACAATGGGAAGGGGCAAACGCAGGTGGTGGGACATGGCCGGGGAGTGGCGTCAAAGAGAAACCAATTTCTAAATAGCACTAAAAGGAGTGTTGCAATATATCAGGTCAGTCCTTTCTTTGGTCAAAGACTTTTAACCCAAACAGAAAGAATTTAAAACCCCATAGGAGACAGAGAGCATCCAGGCAGAAGGCTTGGAAGGATAAAAGGCTTCCAACTGTCTCATTCCCATGATATTTGTTCCAAATATCTGTTATTGGTTACCTTTGTTACACCTTGATTGGAGAAAAAAGTGGCCCTCTCTCCATCATCATGTGGACATTGGGGAGGGCATCGGGATCCACATCTTCATTGATTTAGTGCTCTGCTTTGGGGAGAAAAGTGTCTTTCTGCCTACAGAGTGCATCAGGCCTGATCTCATCCAGGACTCTAGAGGCCACTGTAATATTAATAATAGCACAGATTGAATTAAAATAAAATACAGAGTCAAGGAGATTCATTTCTAACCAATGGAGCTGAATCACTTGAATGAATTGATACATGAGGAAATCAGAACGTGTCTGGGGATATTTCACAAACATCAGAAGAATGAAAATTCTTGTGAAACTATTATTCACGATTCACTAATTACACCCCAGATCACGTGGGTGGTGACAAACCTGTTTATCATTTATCTCGACGATAGAGACATCCACTCGAGCATGTCCTGGTGGGGAGGATGCTCACGTGTGTCGAAGACCTGGACCTATGCACAAGACAGGACCATATTGATGGTTTCTGAGCCCCACATATCTCCTGCAAAACTCCTAGTCTTTAGGAGAGTCTTCCCTGTGTCCCTTGGTCCTATTCTGAGTGGATGGCAGCTTTTTTCTTTGGATAATTCATTGGTTTTATGGAAGGAATTGCCTTTGCATTTGTCCTAATACACATCTCAGGAGGTGGTTTGTTCCGCCGTTTGGATCATGGTTTCTGGGTGGCTTATAAGTGGTCATGATTCTTCCATGTGTCAGTTATTGGTTTTCTATTGACAAAGAACACAAATGAAGGACAGAAAATCCCCAAGATCTTACAAAGATCTGGGAGACACCCCAGGTACAAGTTCAAAACTCCAAATCCCTGAGAGACGATTTAAATGCAATGATCTCTCTTTTGTTTTGGATGGGGATTGCTTGTGTGAAATCCCTCTAATTAGAAGTTAGAAAAATCTATGTCAAAATAGCTTAAGCAGAACAACTCCTGCCCTAGGGTGTGTGAAGCAGGAGCTGCCCTCCTGAGGTGTCCTCCAGCCCTCCCTTCCACAGCCCAGCAAGGGCCAGAAGGGCTTTGAAAGAGGATTTGGATGCCTTTGCCACCTCCCCATCCTTTGCTTCAATAGTTTTGCTGGTGTTTTCCTCTCCACAGAGGTCCCTGGGCCTTGCACAAGCGGTGTCGCCTGCACAGGAGTAGCTGAGCCGTCGCAGTCCCACCGGGGGGGGTGGACATTTGGTCTGCCCCAGGGCTGGGCCGCTCCGCCGAGCCGTGCTTGGCATGGGGACCGTGAGATCTGCGGTGCACGTTGGCACCCGCCGCTGCACATGGGTGAGGAAGAGGTTGGCGAGGAAGGCTTGCTGCAGTGTCAAGGCAGAGCATGTCAGGAGCCTCCACGTGTGCCCACCTGTAAAACATCCTTCCCAGGAAGGTGCAGCCTGCACCTCCTTTTAATTCTTATCCAAATTGTGCTGGAGGAGAAATCTCCACCGTTAATGTTGGGAAGCGGGTGATTCTGCGGTGTGTCACATCCTGCAGGCTGGGCCAGGAGGGACACCGGGAGATGGACACCGTGGAGGCTCTTGCCTGGGCTGGGTGAGGTGTGAGGAGCCACCGGGGACACGATGCTGTGAGTCACTGACTCCAGATCCCTGCTTTGCTGCAACAACCCCCTCAGGTGATTCCTCTTCTAACCCTTCCAGGCCATATCTCACAAGGAGTTCAGAGCCTTTTGCCTTGTTAGAAAGAGCGGGTCCAGCTAAGTGCCCGCCTGATGTCTACAAACCCCTTTCTAATTTCCGTCTGACATGTATTCCTGGCCATTTGATCCCCATTTCTCCTTGGATCAATATCTTCAGCTCTGAGATGACTCACCCCTCCCTGGTCTTTCCCAACGTCTCAGCCATCAGAACGGCACCGACCATCCCTGAGCATCAGCTGCTGAAGACACATAGGTCCTGCAGGAGTTGCCTCCCTTGGGGTGAAACAAGATTTGTCACGCTTGCGATCCCTGAAAGTCTAGTGGATCATGGACCAGAGAATTTCTCTTCCACCAGCTTCGACATCTCTTGCTCTGCACTAGCTGTGCCATTCCCATTCCTGAATTGTCTTCCCGAGTCTTTTCCCAGGGCTTTTTTTGGAGGCTTGTGATGCAACTGTACCTGTTGCCTCACCAGTGAATGAAATAATGTGCCAAGCAGACCCTCTCATTTTTACCTGTCTGATGAAATGTGTTTTTTTTTTTTTTTTTTTTTTTTTTACATTAGTGTATTAGTATTTAATTGTTGGGTTGCATAAAGAGTCCATGATGAAAACTGTTAGCTACTTCTCAACAAGGAAATTGTCTGGAGTGGGAATAAAAAGACACCAGGCTGAATCAACCAGGAACCACCATGGGAGGGTGAATGGGGATGCTGCAAACACCAGCTTTGGCCGCAAGAAGGAACAGAAGCAATTCAAAGGAACGAAGTGGAAAACACTGATGCAACGGGGTTATGAAGCATAATTTTTTATTGCCTCCATGTCTGCTGTGAAACTAGGAGGTGAATAGTGCTTAGTATTTCACAGAGACAGTGGGTTACACCTTTAAAGCACGTTACAAGCAAAATGACAGGAAGAGTGGGGATCCGTGAGCAGCGCAGGACATGCCGCCCATCAGGACAATGCTGCAAGAGGGAGATGTTTCCCCCATCCATCCTCACTCCTCATGTCTTCTACTTTATCTTCTGGGCTGGCACTTTGCAGACCTGCTTTTGCTGCTGGCTTGGGATGCACTTTGCCACGGGCACGCAGCCTTGCTGCACCGGCGCAGGACAGGTCTGCACCGGGCAGCACTGCTGGACGGATTGCGTTGGCTTGCTGTAACATGGCTTCCCACCCTGGTACCCTGCTCCGTGGCATCTCTCAGAGCAGACTGACCTGCCATAGCCCTGGCATCCCCCCGACGACCCGTAACTGTATGTGGGTCTCCTGACACAGCTCGAACCACCTCCATGGCACGAACCCGAGGATCCGTGGCATCTCTCAGAGCAGACTGACCTCCCGTAGCCCTGACATCCCCCCGATGACCCATAACTGTACGTGGGCCTCCTGACACAGCTTGAGCCCCCACCTCCTTGGCAAGAACCAGCTGCAGCATAGCCGTGGCATCTCTCGGAGCAGACTGGCTGCCGATAGCCATAATGACGGTAGTTGTGCCCTCTCATGCCTTCAACGCCTTCGCCGTCGCACCCCGAGCAGCAGGTGTTGTAGCCGTAGCGGAAGGGCGTGCGCCGGGTGTCCAGCCAGGACCCCGAGGGATCATACCAGGTTGAGTTCAAGTTGAAGTATGATTCTCTTCCAGAAGAGTATATCATGTTTAATTTGTAGGGAAGAACCTGAAAAACACACGGCCAGGTAGGTTTATGTTTCCATCTCCTCTGTTTAAATTTAATTTCCCATTAAGCTGCTTTAGTGAGCCATGCACATGTCAACCTTGCTTATCCTGAAAGCCTGGGTCTAAAGGAAATTCTTGCAGTTGCCCAATAATGGTCAGATAATGGCCAAACCCGCTTTCTGACCTTGCCCTTTTTTTTTTTTTTTTTTTTTTTTTCCCTCAAAGAACAGAAACAACCATAAGGCACTGCAACATACAGTGGCATCACTAAAAATCCCATACCCAAGTTCCCTGATAGCTTCTTTCTTAGCTCAGACAATAGTTCTCTAGTCTTTGTGTGCAGAACATGGTCTGGAGGGCAGTGCAAGCGTGCCTGGTCTGTGACCTCCTGAATCCCGACACCCACCCAAAAATGAACCCGGCTGCTCTGGGATGTGTCTTACCCAATTCACAAGGGAAGGCAGGCGTTGACCAGGGGAGCAGATTATGAGAGGTGAAGGGACGGAGGCCTTTTATATGGTTCCAAGTCTTCCCCTTGTAAATGAAACACGCTGCAGGAACGAGGACTAAATTATTTATTGACAAAACATCTCCTTCATTTGGATGCTGTTCCCAGCACTTGGCATGTTCTGCTTGACTCATTATTCCTGATAAGCATCTCTTAATTATAATGTAGTTACCGAGTGGTGCACATAAAGGACTCGCATCGTTTAAGCTACACATTGGCTATGTGAGGCAGGTAATAACGTACTTATTCACCGTCTCCAGAGGACCGAGACACTGAGTGGAGGCTGACGGGTGACCTGTGAGTCAGGAGGTGTGATGTGCACAGTGCTAATGTCCCGGCCTTCCCCTTCTGCTACCCATGAGGAGCGTTTCCAGGTGCCTGAAGCACAAACAGGTGATGGGGAAGAGCCAGCTCAGAGTCACCGAAAGCAAATCATGTCTCGGTGATGAAGAGGCTGGCTCAGTGGATGGTGGAACGCAGTGGATGGTGCTACCTCCCATGGCAGCCTTGTAGTTATTGTAGTTAAGCTGGTGGAGGCATGGACTGGATGGGTAAACTAAATGGTAGGTGCAAAACTGGCTGATACTGGTGCTGGTGCTGTTTAACATTTTCGTTAATGCCTTGGATAATGGGGTGGGCTTGGAAAATCTACAGGTGGCACCTAATTGTGGTGAGTGGCTGATGTTGCTGGAGGATGGGACATGGGCAGGCTGGAGAAATGGTTCTGTACTGGTGTTGCGGTTTGGGCCTGGTTGGCAGCCAACCATCACTCAGCAGCTCTCCCTCCCTTCTCCTCCGGCAATGAGAAGAGACAGAGAGCCAGGCTTGGGGTTCGAGATAGGACTGGGATGGGGAAAAATTCCCCTTTATGGTCACGAGCAAAAGGAAGACTCGTTAGGGGAAGAAAAAAAAGAACATACATTTATTACAGACACTAACAACACATAACAGAGTAGGACAGTGAGAAGCATTGCCACATCTTGAGAACACCTTCCCCCCACCCCTCCCTTCTTCCCGGGCTCAGCTCTGCTCCCGATATCTCTGCCTCCTCCCCCAGTGGCGCAGGGGCAGGGAATGGGGGGTGCAGTCAGCGCTGCCACTTCCTTCATCTTCGGTGAGGGGAGTCTCCGGAACTTGTTCCTCCTGCTCCATCGTGGTCCCCCTCTCACAGGAGACAGTCCTCCACAAACTTTCTCCAACATGAGTTCCTCCCACGGGCCACAGCGTTCCCCACACTGCTCCATCATGGGTCACTAACTTCCTCCGACTGGATTCCCTCCCACGGCTGCAGCCCTTCCCGAGCTGCTCCGGCGTGGGACTCCCCCGCATGCTGCAATCCTCCCAGCACTGAATTACAGCAGCGGGGCTGCCTTTTCCCATGAGACCCTGGCCTTCTTCGGGTACAGAACCTTGATCAACCAAGCAGAAGCCACAGGCCATAAATCAATGTCTGCTCCACCGTAGATCTCCATGGGTGGCAGGGGGGGCATCCCTGCCGTCTCCCCACAGGATACAGAGGGGTCTCTGCTCCGGCACACCTCCCCCCTCCTTTCTTCCTCCGTTCCTCCACTGACCTTGGTGTTCATGCAGCTGCAGCAACTCCTCCTCACAAGTCCGACTGCACATCACCACGTCCCTTCTTAAATATGTTCTTGCAGAGGTGCAGCTGATTGGACCAGTTTTCCAAACAGAGGTGGAGCTGACTTGGAGCTGGGGGAGCTTCGAGAAGCTTCTCACAGGGGGCCGCCCCGATAGCCCCCTCCCCTGCCACCAAAAAACTCCACCACTCACTCAACCCAGGAAAACTGGGGAGGGACTAACCGGGATGGGACGGCTGGGGCGGCTGGAGAAAAGCAGCTCAGAAGAAAAGATGGACCAAAGCTGACATGGAAGTGCCAGTGTGAGGACTAAGGTGGCCTTTGGTCTGTGGGAGCTGAGTCAGCCTTTTGGGCATCGTGCTGGCGCCTGGGAACTGGCTTCAGTGAGAAGAAGCTGGGAGGAAAATAGCTAGTAAAATAAGGGATTTCTGAAGTTAAAGGTCATATGTAAGTTGTTTTCTGTCTGGTTAAAATTAGACATAAGAAAAAATAAACTGTTGCAGTTTTCTGCATTAAGAAAACAAGAATGAATTTCTTTTTTTCTTTCTGATTTTCCTTGGTGGTTGCTAGAGGCTGTGAGGACACACTGGAGCTATGCTCAGACAATACAAAGAAACAACAATATGTATTTTAATGCACCTAGTGGAAGGCTTTTCTGACAAAGTGCCAGAGAAACAGTACGTTACCAGCGTGCCTGCAAGAGCCAGGCAATGGGGAGCTGCAGGGGAAGAGCCTGGCCTGCATGCATTCCTGGCACGCACGGACACACCTCACGTGCTGGGGCACTTGCTTATTATCACGATTAACGTTTATATGGTGGACGGCCTCCTGGTGCAGTGTTACTATCTGGCTAATGACAGTAATGGCACACATTGTGGAGCAAACTCTTTATACCTAGATGACTTACTGATGGGCCACAGTGAAGTCCCTCCACTGGTCCTGCGGTGGGTAGTACAGGGTGGAGAGGATTTTACAGTGTGCAGATGAAGTTCAGCCTGATGAAACTGCTGTAGCCAGAGCCGAAATCCTTATGTGTGAACTCAAATTTTAAGTTTAAATTTACAAGTTTCCTTGTGAGAATTGTAATGACTTTTAACATCTTCTCATTGTATCGCCGGTAAAATTTATGGGGTCAAAAAAAGGAACCAAGTGTCAACTAAATTTTTTCAATTTTATTCTTAAATACACAGGGAGAAAATAAAATTACAGGAGTCCTTGGTGTTCCTGTGGTCACCGTGTGTACTTTTTTCCCAGTACAGTCCTGTCTCTGTTTTCAAACAACCTTGAAATCACAGTCTGCTGAACCCATGGGAGAAGGTGAATCCATGGCAGGCTCTTTCCTCATCCTTGTTCAGGCACTTTCTCTTCGGTTTCTCCACTCCCAGGCTGCTCACCTTCTCAGAAGAGGGGAGAAACGGTTGCTCTACCTTGAGGAAGAGCAAAGTGGGGTTTGGAGGATTAAAGCCTACTCCCTGGCAGGGCAGGACCTTGGGAATTTAAAGTGTCAGTGCTGGGGTCAAGCAGGGGTTTGCAGTCACCGAATCCACTGTGCAAAAACCAGCAGCAAGCCATCAGCCACGGTGGCTTTGCATCGTGCCGAAAGCGGAGGCGGGAGCATCGGCGAGGGGCGAAGCATCCCCCATGCTGAGCGGCGCGTGAGCACGTCCCGGCGAGGGGTCCCAGTGCCTCGCTGGCCCCCTGCTCATTTCTTCTGCAGGCAGGGTGGCAAGAGAGGGACCTGTTTTTGCTGGTGCTGGCCGGGATGCAGCGGCAGGGGCACGGCGGCCGGGCAGCAGTGCCGGACGGGTGGGTGGCAGCACGGGACGCGGCGGCAGTGATGCTGCAGCGGTCGGGGATGCAGTATCACGGGGGGACAGACATCTTCCACGGGACACTGGTCCACTCGTCGCCGGGGCTTGCCGCAGCCATCGGGCTCCTGGCAGCGCAGGGGTGGGCGGTACTGCTGCAGTGGCCGGCGATGGATTTTCACGGGTGGGGGGCAGATGGGCTGCACGTGGCTCACCTCCACCCGCCGCCGGGGCTTGCCGGGATTGCAGCTTTGCTGTGGTGGGCAGCAGCTCCGGGGTGGGCACGGCCCCGTGGGCTGGCAGCCTTGCGGCTCGCTCTGGCAGGAGCCCTCAATGTCGCGGCTGAGGCTGCCGGGGTCGTGGCAAGGGGGCAAGTCCGTGGTGCCCACGGGGCTTTCGTGGCAGCACCCCGTGGAACTGTGCCACGTTGAGCCCTTCTCACCACAGACCGAGCCGTCGTGGCATAAGTCCTGGTCGCTGTTGCCTTTATGGTAGTGCATCCGGGGGCAGAGATGGCCAAACCCTCAGGGATAAACAGTCTGGGAAAAACAAACAAAAAACCCCGCTGGCTTAATTTTTTTTCTGCTGTTTCTATGAAAAACAAATGAGGAATTGAGACAGCTGAGAGAATCCAACTCACCGTGGACCAGTGGTGGACGTACTGAGCAGGGAGTCTGAGTCCTGAGGACAGCGCTGGGGCCAAAAGCTTTTATATGTGGCCAAGCTCTCTTGGAAATGAGGCATGCCATGGGAATTAATAGCTGAGCAGTGAGTGCCACTTCTGTATGTATATTTTTTCTGGCACTTGCTATTGGATTCATCAGCTGCAATTAGCATCTCCCTTGATATAATGTCATCCTAGCTCTTTGCATATGCAGTGGCCATTATCTAATTAGTTCTCCCATCGGTCATGTTTGAATATGCTGTTACCTAATGTTAGTCAGACGGGATCCTGGGATAAGGATACCTGGAATACCGTGATGCTGAGTGATGTGCCCAAAAGGAGTCTCTCCTGACAGTGGGAAAACCACAAAAAGGCCCAGGAGTCCTGGAGTCCAGTCCCATGTCCAGGCTCCCAATGGCTTGTGCCTTGAAACAGGGTGTTGGAGCAGAGGTATGCAAATGGCAGTGGTTTTTCATGGGGCTGAAAGAAGACAGAGAAAAATCTATTATTGAAAACAAGCAATCTTCCTGCCCAAATAATGAGCAAATTTTTTAAAAAAGGAAAAATTGAAAAAAGAGTGAAAATCTGGTTTTAATAGGAAGTGATTGATTTTTCAGCTATATTTCAGTTTAACACTATCCTGACCAACCCTAAACCAGGAATTGTGTTTGTGGTGTGCTTCACGGAGTTGGGGATTTTCCCAAAACTGTTCTCTGGTTGTTTTACCCACAGCAGGAAACCCAGCCTGATGCTCAGCAGAGATGAGATGATTTTACCGCCTCTTCATGCCCCGCTCCAGGCTTCGAGCCACAGTGCCATGATCTGAGTCTGGAAGTGCCCCATCATGGAACAGGGGCTACACTCAGTTGTCAGTTCTACCTGAATATAATTAGATGTGGGAAAACCTCTTTTTAATATACTAGCCGTGTGAAAATGTGGTTTTAATTCATAAAGCCAGGCTCAGAGTGGACTTCTGTTTATTATGTATAAAAAATTCTGAGTTCTGCATTAGCAAGATTCAGAAAAAACATAATTTGAAATTTATATTTTAATGCTTCTGTTCTTTAAAAACAGACATCAGATTTTAATTAACAACATTGTGATACAATGACCTTTCTGATGGAGTATCCTAGCACTGAAGTTGCAGAAGGCATCTAAAAAAGTGCAGAGAGTACATTTAGTTCTTTAACAACTGCAATTTCTACCAAACCAATCCATCTTCTGAAACTGCAAATGTTATCAAACAATAGGGATATTTTTTTTTTTTCAGTCATAAGCTTCCATCTGAAAAATCCTTGGCTTTTGATTTGCCAGGGGAAAGCTGAAACTTTCTGTGAGAAAACACTGTAAGTTTTCCAGCTGGCTTTGCAGATGGGGCTGCAGGTTGGACCATGTTTGTCAGAAAAGGTCTGTGATATCTGGACATTCTGCTCATCACCTTCTAGAGCACAGAGAAACCTGACAGTCCAAGAAACGGTGAGGGAATCAAGGGTGATGGACGGCAGATTTTGGTGGCCTGTGAGTAGTACGGATGAGTGGAAGATGTGAGCTCTGAATACAGGATCCCTGTGGACGCCAGCACACCGGGGTGCAGGGGTGGACTATGCCAGGCTGTGGATGGGATGTATATTCCTCTATTTAAATGAATTAATGCCCTTCCAAGTGAGGAACACCTCGGTCAGGTGAGCGGATACACCACCAAAAGCCCTTTTATGCGCTGCGAATCCGGAATGAGAACACGACAGAGGAGCACTGACCTCATGAACTAACAATTTCACGCTTTGGCAAGCACCATATCCTCCTTTCTGACATTTCTGCTTTGACTCATTTTTCGTGTAGCTGCTCCACTTGACATTTCTGTGGATGCTCGAGGCATTTTTTTAAGTCCCAGCAAAGTATCTCTCACAGCAACCCCGGGGCTGTCCGTGCAAAAGGTATTTCCATGCTCTCACTCCACGGTAGAGCCTCTGTAAGAGGTGCTCAGAGGTTTTTCCAGTGCCATATGGGTTTGAATCAGTGGGAAAAGCATGTGCAGAATTCAGGGGTGTGACTCCAGGGCGCGTGCTTGGACCTGATGATGTTGCTGCTGCTGAGATAATTTATTCTTTAGCTACAGGAAAAATGTAATTGCCTTGCAGGAAGCCACGGGACTTGCATGTAAGGATGGAAAAGACCTTGGAATCTGTTAAAGACAAACAAGGATTTTAGATTTACAACTCATTACAGCAGTCCCAAGATTCTGCTGCTTCCGAATTTTTTCTTGTTAGAAGACATGTTTTGGAGTTACTTCCCTTCCTGAGGATTTTACAAATCACTAAGTGCAAATATTTCATTTCCGAATCTCATCACTTAAAACTTGCCACATTTGAATAGAATTCCAGATGAAATTAGGTAGTATTTCTGAGTCCTTCAGGCTAGACTTATATTTCTACATCTTTCAATGCCTCCCTCCCTGCACCATGCAGACCATGTTGCTGGTGTCTTCAGTCATAATGAGAAGACATCAAACCTTTTAAGAAGCCTGCTTTGAAGATCAGCAACTTCACCGGAGAGATTTCCATTAACAAAAAAGACCTTTAGCTCTGGCTTTAGGATCATACAGATGCTTTGATTTCAGACTGCGTATCTTCAAGGTCATAAGTAGGGGAAAACAACCATGAAATTGCATGCCCAAGAGGATGCTCCTGTAGGTTAGATGATGTACTGACACTAGCAAGCACTATTTTTCCCCAGATAAGACACTGACACAAGAATTCTAGGACATTTGCTGGGGTGATGTCACCAGTAGCGTGACAAATAGTTGAAAAATTCATTATATTCAGAAACTGAGCAAATGCTAAAAAAGTCCCAGAACAGAGCTATCGTTTAAGACAAAGATAAATGAATAAACATACCAGAAGTTTGCAGTGTCATAACTTATACATTTTATTGTCTTTCATGACTAATTGGAGATTAAAACAAGAAAAGAGGGTATGATACATCAACAGCATTAAGCATCCCACACACCAAGAGGAAAATTAACAGCAGGAGTAGTGCTTACAAAGGACAATCACACTGATCAGTAGGTTGCAACTTCAAAGCACATTACAAGCATTTGGTGATTAAAAGCAAACAAAGGAGAGGAGAGAAGATCTACAGTCTCTAAAAAAATGAGGAAGAGCTTTCAGGGAGGTATCCATATCCATATCCATATCCATATCCATATCCAGCAGAGAAGGAGTCAGGAGGGAAGCAGCAAGCAGCGCGGCCCTGCCTGCCCTTTGCCGCGTGGATTTAGTTGCCACAGCAGCCGCCGTTACCGCCGCAGCAGCCTCCGTTGTTCATGGTGTAGCAGCAGGTCTGCATGGGCATGCAGCAGGTAGTGGGGTAGCAGCACTGCATGGGCGAGCAGCACATTGGTGTCTTGCAGCACGTCTTCGGGCTGCTGGTGCAGCACACAGTGTAGCTATTTCCACCGCAGCATCCACATCCGTTGGACATGTTGTTGGTAGTAGTGTAGGCAAAGCTGGAAGGAACAGAGAGAGTCTGTCTGTGACTGGGAGCAGGATATTTGAAAATAAAGAATTAATTCAAAGCTCTTTTTAATGCTAAATTTGGAGATTCAAGGAGCCGGAAATGAGTGCTGTCTTGTTTGTAGTAAATCTTTCTTGTAACTCTTCTCTCTACCTTTTTCCTAGAGTATAGATGCCCACCTACTCGTACCAAGGCATCCCACCTACTCGTACCGGGGCATCCCACATATTCGTACCAGGGCATCCCTAACTTCTCAGCAAGAGTCACACAGCACAGCGCACATAGTCCTCGGTCTGGGACCTCCTGAAATGTTCTCTGTCCCCTTGCTCTGCATGACCCTGCTGATACTCCTGTAGCCTCTCCATCCTTGACCGTTTCTAGCTCATCCTCCTAATTTCTAGTACCCAGTTCATAAATGCCCAACTTCAGCCAAAGTCCCCATCTACATACCCAGTTATATTTGGATACTGTTATAAGATAGCCATAGCATTTTTATTTAGTGAAAAGGAAGAAAGATTTAGATGTTCTTACTTACCCTGTTGAAGGCTGAGGAGAAGTGAAGGGAAGAGAAGACGAGCGAATGAAGTGAGCTGGGCCAGGAGACCTTTTATAGTCCTAGACACCTTCCTCCTGGAAGTGAGACAGCCATTGGCCATTTGAACTTCCCTGTTTACTAACACAAACCCATATTTTTTAGCTATACGTGTCTTCTGGTATTTACACTTTGCCTTATTATTTGTGATAACTACCTTTGTTTTGCCTCATAATTGTTTAGCCTGCAGATAATCAAAGGGCTTCTATGAATACTGATGAATTTGTCCCTCTGCAACTTTGCAATGGAGCCAAAAAATGCGTCCTCGTATCTGTTTGACAATGCAGTGACGGCCAAAGATGCTAAGTGACTTACTCAGCAGCGGCTGGTGCTGAATCAGTGTGAGAGCCGAAACTGAACCCCTGGATTGTGTCTTTCGGGCACGTGATAGGCTGTTTCATTGGGCTGGTGTTTGAAACAAATATTTGGAAAAAATTCATTAAAATAGGTATGTTTGTTCCTGGTTACAGGACGTGCATGTGAGGAGGGAGCAAGAAGACCATGTGTTTGGGATGTGTTGGGAGTGATGATGGCTCCTGGGTCTCAGTCACCTGCACGTGAGTGCATGCAAGATCGTCTTGCCCTCATGCATGCTAAGAGCATCTTTGCAGTGTCAAAGCACTCTTTGTGTTTTGGCTTGTCCAAACTTTTGCAAATCCTCTATTCTGGGGGGTTTAGTTTTGCACGTGAGCACCACTAACACAGGAGTGCTTCAGTTCTCACTCTGCTTTGCTGGGACTGCTTCCCTAGAAACAGTTGCAAAAACTCTGAATTGAATATTCACTTCAGAATAGTTTGCATTTTAATTAAAAAATTAAGGAGCAGAGCTGCCTGTGTAAGTGGCAACATAAGGAGCTGTGGACTGGTCATGATGCTTTGCAAGTCAACATGTCTCTCCTGCAACCTCCCCTTGCATCCAGCTGAAATCTCCTTGTGTGCTGGTGCTGAGCAGGACTAGCCCTGCCCAGCTCCTCAGCAGGGACAGAGGAGGGTTCAGAGTTGAATGTTGTGCAGGACTCTTTGTGGGTGTTGGAAGCGGTCAATAAAAGAGCCCAGCCTGGACCAAGAGGGTGAGAGGAAGATGAAGGTGGAAGAGTGATAAGCACAGAAAACATCCTAACTGGGGACATGGAGCTAAATGGGAGTCAGGGACTCAGAAGTGATGCAGTAAGAGATGTTGCTGAGGTGAAACCATTCTCTGGGAGGGAGAGAGGAAGGGAGGAAGGTCAAGGTAAGGCAGAGCCTTGGGCAACTGAGCCAGGGTGGATGAATTCTTGTTGAATGCCAGCCACTGTCTCCAATGCACTTTGCTGTGGGGCTGAATGCTGACAGGAACACAGGGTATTTGGGAGGAATTTTTTCCACGGCCTAAAATTGCAGCTCTCATTTGAAGACCTTGCCACATTATTCTGAAAGGAGTGCTGCCTAATGAGAGGATGGTGGAGCCTGCTTGGCAAGTTCCCAGCCTGCTGCCTGACATCCTCTGGGATCCCTGGGGTGCTCCGAAGCTGGGTCCTCCTAGATGAGCTGCTGCTAGCCCTGAGGATGTAGGCAGGGGTCTTGCTTGTCTTTCTTCACAGTGCAAGGGGGAGCAGATTGTGATTTTAGTGCTGCTTCACCCCTGCAGTAAATGCAGCCAGCTCCTTTCCAGGCTTTCCTGGAATGAGAGTAATTCCCTGAGCTAAGTGCTGGAGCAGCAACACATGTAATTGCAACTTCTCCAGACAAGGCAGAAGAACATGCATGGCATTTCCTTTCCAGCAGGTCCCCTCTGAGGAGGCATACACTTGTCTGCTCATGAGAAATGATTAATTTACAATAAATTAATGAGGCAGGAGCAAAGGGTCACACTTCACTTGTGACTCCAGAGGGAAAGTTCTCATTGGCAAATCCTGCAACTACAAGAAGTAGTGGTGATCTAGGCGAGCATTTCCTACCCATGATAGTCGTGTCTGGCCGTTGATGTAACCTAGGTACTTGAATGGTCTTTGTTGAGTGGGCTATGGAACTTAATGTAAAGAAGAGACTGAAGTGGTGTGGAAACAGAGTCAGTAAAGGGCATTAGACACAGATTGAGGACTGAGGCGCAGGTCTTGCATGCTGTGTTTTGGTACAACTCTTACTGACCCAGTCACTCCTTGAAGATGGTGGTGGTTTCTCACCATTTGTTCTAACATTTCAACTCAATTTCTGGTAGCCCAGACATTTTAGCAGAGGCAAGACCTCCCTATCATAAAAGTTAAGCTGTTTATAGGGACTGTCTGTAGGTTCTGAAGGAGACCTCCAGCTGGTTGAAATACACGGAGCTTTCCTTGTTGGAATGTGCCTGCGCCAAACTCTTTCAGAAGAAATTCGCATTCTTTACAAGTTTATGTATTACTTTCTTCCTATTTCTTTGTAGTTTTGTAGTGAGGAAAATATTTCTCACAGAGGTGCCAGACACACAGCTTGTGTTTGAATAGACCTATTCAGAAGCTCTGAAATGCACCAGGGATGCTCTGATTGTCTTTGTGTAGACAACCCCCCCCTAGTTAGCACCTTTTAGACAGGAGCATCCCAATACTGGAAAAAAAATCACAGAAAAGACAATAGGTACCGTGATGCACTCTGGATTCACCAGCTAGCAAACAGATAACCACTAGGAGTTTTGCAAGGTCATGAACTACAGGTTTTATTGTTTTTCAGACAGACTGAAGCAAAACAGTGATTGAAAGAATTAAACATCCCACACACCAAGAGGAAAATTAACAGCAGGAGTAGTGCTTACAAAGGACAATCACACTGATCAGTAGGTAGCAACTTCAAAGCACATTACAAGCATTTGGTGATTAAAAGCAAACAAAGGAGAGGAGAGAAGATCTACAGTCTCTAAAAAAATGAGGAAGAGCTTTCAGGGAGGTATCCATATCCATATCCATATCCATATCCATATCCATATCCAGCAGAGAAGGAGTCAGGAGGGAAGCAGCAAGCAGCACGGCCCTGCCTGCCCTTTGCCGCGTGGATTTAGTTGCCACAGCAGCCGCCGTTACCGCCGCAGCAGCCTCCGTTGTTCATGGTGTAGCAGCAGGTCTGCATGGGCATGCAGCAGGTAGTGGGGTAGCAGCACTGCATGGGCGGGCAGCACATTGGTGTCTTGCAGCACGACTTCTTGGCACTGGTGCAGCACACAGTGTAGCTATTTCCACCGCAGCATCCACATCCGTTGGACATGTTGTTGGTAGTAGTGTAGGCAAAGCTGGAAGGAACAGAGAGAGTGTCTTTTTCTCTGCCAGAATCTCCCAGTTGTTTAGGCAGATAAAAGCATCCTTATCCCAAAGTCCTTCCCAAACTGGCTGGGGAAGTCCCTACTGTCCAGAATCCCATGACAGCCTGTCCCTGAAATCTCCATATTTTTACATTGGACACTAGTGCATTTGGCATATTGTCCAGCACGATCCCATCAGAAAGAAGCCACCCAACTGGATCTCAAAACCTATATCTCAAAATTGACCCCAAATCAGACAGTACAGGAAATCCTGGATGGCTTCCTCCAAAAGCACACAGAAGTACGGTAGAGAGCAAATGAAAAAGGCAAGTAGTGAGCTCTGACTTACCCTGTTGACCAGTGAGGACAAGAGAAGAGAAGTCAAGATGAGCGAATGAAGACCACTGTGATGGCGAGCCTTTTATATGCTTCAGAGCCATCCCCCTGGAAATGAGCCATTCTTTGGCAATTCTGACTTCACCGTGTATCACCCAGTATATGCCTCTCACGTGTCTTCTAGTATTTAATTTTTAACTCTTTCTGTTCACTTACCACCTCAATTCTGCACCATAATTAGTTGTACATATAAACAACAGGTGCAAATTTTCTAATGAATTTGCATTAATGGGAACTGAAGGTAGCTCTAAGGTATTCCTATCCACTTCCCAAAGAATGACCTTGAGACACAGAGACACCTAATAATGTGCCTGGGGCAGGCAGGTGCTGAAGCAGTGGGAGAACCATGCCTGGAACTTGGCAATGTCATTGCTCATGTGTCCCCCCCTACACTTGGCTGGGATTTTGGGGGATCAGTGGAAAATTTTTGTCAATATGAATTCTTTTTTTTCCTGCCTGAGAGGTGACTGCATGGTCGAAGTTAAGGATGCAGAGTTTCTCCTTTCTCAATCTTGTTCTTGGCTCTCCCTCTATGGTGCTTGGTCCTTACACTCCCTGCTTTTTATTTCTGCTTAGCTATTAATATTTTTTTTCATTTTCATCCATGGAAGGGATGGGTTAAGTCTGAATTAAACAGCTTTTATAGCAGTAGTGCACACGTTAGCTTTTTTCCTAGTTCATTTTTAGTGTTATTTCCATGCACTCCATTTTCTAGGATTATTTCTAAGGTTTGTGAGACCAAGACAGCTTGTATTTAATGGTATTCATGATGATCACATTTGAGTGTTTCACAGTAACAATTTGATTTTGTGTCACTGTAGGCAAGCATGAGATTCAAGACTGGAAATCCAGTTCTGAGTGCATTTCTCCATGTTTTTCCCCCATACCTCAGGAGCCCAGATAGTATCTCACAGATGCTCTGAGATCAGGCACCTGACAGGACTTTTCCATCAATTTCTTACAGCTGTTTCAGCTGCAGTGTGCTAAGGCTAAGGCTGTTGTTCATGCAAAACTTGACTGAACAGTCAGGAGGGAATGGATAAGGTGGTTGGAGTCAAGGCAGATATTATGAAACAGGCTCGGGGCAGGGGGAAGAATTGTGGCCAAGTGCAAAGCCAGGACAACTCCATGTGAGAAGAAGAAGGTGTTGATGGTGATTTCATCTAATGAGAGGGGACACCATTATAGGATGAGAATCCCAAGATGCAGAGGTAGTACCTATTCATGGCAAATAAAGGCTGCTATCATGCTCAGCAGACTCTGAGTGTGAGGCTGGAGCGGTGGCAGGTGATCCCTTGTGACTGGGACGCGTCGTTTCTTCCCAAGATGCGAACATGACTTCCTATGATGTTGGGTGTCTCTTCTGGAATTGTCCCTAGGGGAGCATTGTTTTGGTCATGCAATAATAGCTAGATACCTGCCGGCAGGAAATAATGTACTCTTTGTATAAATCCTTAAACATGTCATCCACTGAATAAGTCATTCATCACCTTTTTATCAGGCTTTATTGTCACCATATTGGCCAAAATGATCCCTATATTAGAATCATAGAATCATGAAATGGTTTGCGTTGGAAGAGACCTTTTAAGCTCACCTAGTCCAACCACCCTGCCATGGACAGGGACATCTTCAACTAGGTCAAGTTGCTCAGGTCTCCGTCCCACCTGACCTTGAATGTTTCCAGGGATGATGGGGAATCTACCACCTCTCTGAGCAACCTAGTCCAGTGTTTCATCACCCTCATTGTAAAAAATGTCTTCCTTCTATCTAGTCTGAATCTACCTTTAGTTTAAAACCATTGTCCCCTTGTCCTATTGCTTCAGGCCCTATTAGAAAGTCTGTCCCCATCTTTCGTATAAGCTTCCTTTAAGTATTGAAAGACCTCAATAAGGTCTCCCCGGAGACTTCTCCTGTCCAGTTGGAACAATCCCAACTGTCTTACAGCCTTTTATCACAGGAGATGTGTTCCAGCCCTCTGATTATTTCTTGTGGCCTCCTCCAGACCCGTTCCAACAGGTCCATGTCTTTCTAAGAAATGGACGTGAACTCTGCAAGGCTGTTGCTCATCAGGATCTTATACAGATATTGAGGAGATACTGGCATTTAACATATAGCTGAGTCAGAAACAACATCTTCCACATTAAATCCCTTTTACATGCCATGCCATGCCATGTCATGCCATGCCATGCCATGTCATCCCATGCTATGCCATGCCATGATGCCTTTGTAAACTTCCATGGTGGGTACGTGAATTTGAGAGCTGCGGTACCTTTGTGAATGTGGCGGAATCTGTCACGGCAGCTTTTCCAGCATAAGATGAAAGTAATAGTCACAAGATTTCCTTAACTGAATGCTCTTCTGATATAGTATATTATGTTATGACATGGTACAGGATATTCTTCTGCCAGTGTATTGTACCTGATTCACCTATTAAAAAAAAAACTCCTAAAGACCTGAGTAATGTTTTCAGAAGACTCTAACATGGTAGGGAAGATTATTCTAATGCAGACTTTGTGTATGCTCTGAAGATTTGGTTGAAGGAAGCAATCAAGAGAGCGCTCAAGGCATTTTCCTGAGACATGCAATTCACAGCTGAGTCCTGAATTTTAATAGTAAAGGAAGTCCCAGCCAGGTAGAAGAGGTATCGTTGACTCATGTGTGTGCTATTTTAGGAATGAAGGTTTTATGTTGTATGCTAACACGTGGGTTTCATTCCACTGTTTGTAATCCAGGAATACCACATATGAAAACCTCTGCTCATATAAAAATAATTCACTAATTTAAGGTGTTTTCTGCAATTTTATTTTTGAAGGTGGTAGTGGAAGAAGATGGTGTCTGCTGTTCAGGGAGTGGTGAATTCCTCTCGGTACATATTGAAATACTTCGTCCAGTATCAGGAATGAGTTCCTACACATCTACTGGAGAGTTATGTTTCCAGATGATGGAATTATGCATGCTTTATTCAGACTGTGTCCGCTGAGTTTTATTTACATTGACCATTTACTTTTATAGTAAAAATTGAGCTAACTGAGGCAGAGGATCAGGAGGTGCAAGAAGGGATCATATGGCTCTGCTTGCTGTCTTTGGACAGGACCTAATTTATGCTAATGGGAAGCATGACTGGACAGATATTTGCTTCCTAAATGTTCTGCTGTGCTACGGAAGCACGTCTGTAGCCAGCAGGAGCCTGGCTGAAGGCACAGAAAATGGCACCACAATGAGGACAGCCGAAAGACAAGATTTTGCATTTTGCTTAATGCTAAGGTTTATTGTCTACAAGTTAAGAGAGAAAAAGGTACCCCAAGTCCCATACACCAAGGAGAGAATTAACAGCCCCACTAACATCTAGGAGCTCTTTGCCTTATACAGTGGGTGATCTATTCAAATGCGTTGCAGATGTTCAATAATTAAAGGACAGAATGAAGAAGATGGCTTAAGCTTGAAAACAAGAAGAAAAGCACTAGGTGTTCACTCCATCATCATGTGAACCAGAAGCAAATGAGCATGTTTTTGTCTCCTTGTGCCTGTTCTTGTTGCATGCCAGGGACGGGAGACAGCAGAGCTGCTTTTGCTACCCAGAGTTGGCTCAGCAACGTCTCTTGATTGCAGCGCAGCACTGCTGGATGGGAATGCTGTACTTCCTCATGGGACAGCAGTATTGCACCGGGTTGCAACACACCGCAACGGGCTTCTTCACCACATAGGAGCAGCAAGACAGACATCCAGGGCAGCAGCAGGGCTTCTGGCACACCTTGGTACAGCAGACGGACTGCTGGCATGGGACACAGCAGACGGACTGCTGGCACGGGTCACAGCAGACAGATTGCTGGCACGGGTCACAGCAGGGCTTCTGGCACGGGTCACAGCAGACGGACTGCTGGCATGGGTCACAGCAGGGCTTCTGGCACGGGTCACAGCAGACGGACTGCTGGCATGGGTCACAGCAGACAGATTGCTGGCACGGGTCACAACAAGGCTTCTGGCACGGGTCACAGCAGACTGTCTGCTGGCATGGGTCACAGCAGGGCTTCTGACATGGGTCACAGCAGACCGTCTGCTGGCACGGGTCACAGCAGGGCTTCTGGCACGGGTCACAGCAGACCGTCTGTTGGCACGGGTCACAGCAGGGCTTCTGGCATGGGTCACAGCAGACCGTCTGCTGGCACGGGTCACAACAAGGCTTCTGGCATGGGTCACAGCAGACTGTCTGTTGGCACGGGTCACAACAAGGCTTCTGACATGGGTCACAGCAGACTGTCTGTTGGCACGGGTCACAGCAGGGCTTCTGGCACGGGTCACAGCAGACAGTTTGCTGGCACGGGTCGCAGCAAGGCTTCTGGCATGGGTCACAGCAGACAGTCTGTTGGCACGGGTCACAGCAGGGCTTCTGGCATGGGTCACAGCAGACTGTCTGTTGGCATGGGTCACAGCAGGGCTTCTGGCACGGGTCGCAGCAGCAGGACTGCTGACACGGGCTGCAGCAGATGGTCTTCTTCTGGCACGGGTCGCAGCAGACAGTCTTCTGGCACGGCTGGCTGCAGCACACCGTTTTGCTCTTCACGATGGAGCAGCACCCGGTAGAGCAACATGTGGTAGAGCACATGCTGTTTGTAGTGAGTCAAAGCTGAGAGGAGTGAGGACCTGAAACACAGCGTACTTTCAGATACAACCCGTCTTTCCAAGTATATCGATGTGCTTTATTTTGGCATATAAAGTCTACTATCTAGTCTCATGAGTGATAGCCATATCACACACCGCTTCCTGTTTATTTGCCTGAGTTGCAAAAAAAGATCCTTGTAGAAATCAAGCCTCCTGTCACTATCCTAGAGATATTTGTGCATCTTTTGAACTATTCTGGGAGTTAACTTGCCTGTGCTCATCCATGAAGATCAATCCCAGAATCTCCATCTCAAGAAACCTATTTTCCCCTGTGCTGTCTACACCAACTGTCTGTTGCAATAAGCAGTAGACTAGCAGGCTAGGAAAATCTGGATTACAGAAAGAGCTGTAGTCCGTAGAATAGTTGAGGCTGGAAGGGACTTTTAAAGGTCCTCTAGTCCAACACCCTACAAAGATCAAAGACACATTTCACTTCATTGCTTGACCAAACCCAAATGAGAACCATTGCTACCAAGGAACACTGCTAGTAGGTAGCACTTACCGTCCTAACCGAGTGGTGCAGTTGAGTGAGGAGCAAAGGGATGGGGAGACCTTTTATTTAGCTTGAAATTGTCCTGCCGGAAATGAGGTACCCCACAGCAATTTGTGATTTATGCACTAAGCCTATACTTATTTGTTGAATGTGCCTTCATCTATTTAGTTTTTGCCTCACTGTTTTTGACCAACCCCTCAATTTTGTGTTATTATCAATTTATTCTGTAAATTTTTTACAATTTTTTAATGTCTAGTTAATTCCTGTGTGATGTTTGTGAACTGCTTAAAAGGTATGTTTCTGCTCATTTTGCATATGGTAACACTGAGATGCTAGGTGGCTTGTTCAGAGCTAGTGAATGCTCAATTAACATAAAAATCATAATTAAGATCCAGGAGCAGTGGATTCCAGAGGCATGCAGAGGCCTTCTGGACGTCAGTCACTTCTCAGTATGATTTTTTTTGAATAGAATTTCTGCAAGTGTAATTCCATGACTCTGTGTTTTGTTTTTGAATGCAGGAATGGTGAAGTCTGATGCCTTTCTTTGGGGTCTCTGGTCATCAGAAGGGCAAATATGTAACAGAAAGTTCTTGACATCTCAACCTTTGTTGCCTCATCCCATCCATGGATGGGAAAAAAAAATCCCCTGGCCTTGCCAGTATCTGAAATCTGAAGTACAAATTTGTCATGGAAATTTGGAATAGAGTTTGGGTCAAATCGGAGTCCAGATTTTTCCAATTCCTTTCTAACATCTTTAAATAAAAACAAAATGCAAAACTTTTCTGGAATTTTTACATCTTGTTTCTGCTTAGCATAACTTGATCTGCAAAATTCCTTTTCCATTTTTTTAATTTCTAGTATGCCCTGGAGTAATGAAAGATCCACCTACGGATGTTATTTTTGGAATAACTCTGTGCTCAGTACTCAGTCACCCATTGGCAGTCATTAGCGCTGATGTTAATGATCATGTTGCAATTATTCATTAATGATGTTAATATTTATTTTTCATGAAAGCCTGAAGGCCTCACATGATGCCTTGAGCCTCTTTAGGATTTCAAATTAAACTACGTCTTCTTAAAAAATTATCTCTCTCTGGTCAGAGGGAATTCATGGGACCTAGGACCATGACTGACGTGATTAAATATTTTGCTTCTGAGATCACCCTGAGGAGAAGGGCTGCTCCTGCTGCTGCAGGGCTGTGCGTCGTCGGAGGAGAGCACTGAAGGACCCTTGACCACTCTCCCCTACAGCGCACAGCTTCACTGGAGATACCCTGATTTCTGCTGAGGTGAAGGAGAGAAGGTTCAGGCTGTTTCTGCTCATACAGAAGCACAGTTCAATCCAGATCACAGATGCTGAGGACAGGATAGGTCATCGTGAACATTCAGGTTGAATTCTGGTGACATAAAACATCTGTTTCCACTCAGTCTCTATTGGGTAACTGCAGTTCTTATTTGGATACATCCCAGATTTTAGAAAGCTACCCAGTCTTACTTCAAAGAATTCAAAGGACCACTTCTCCAGGCAAGCTATTTCCAAGGTCAATATTCCTGCCCACTAAAACATAGGCTTCATTTCCTACTCAGTTTGGCTTCATGCTAATGACCAGGTTAGAGTAGGTCACTGCTATCAATTATAATCTAATTAGTGTTAGAGATTTGCACCAGCTGAGTACCTGCATCTCAGCTAACAGTAAAGGAGGCTCATATGGCAACGTGGGAGATGGCTAGGAGGGAATTTCTGAGCCTGCAGAGAAATGACAGGAGACTCTGACATTAGAAATGTGGGAGATCCTGAGCAGCGAGGTAAAATAAGAGTTGTTGGGCAAAATGAGGCAGTTTTCTGCATGAGTTTGTACAGATCTGGTGCATTGCTTCACCCAGTGTCCCTCAAAAAGCCACTGCTGCTGTTAGAGCTGGATGTGAGCATCAGAGATGTCTAAAGCCAGGTGAGACAGATCCATAAGCAGCTGAGACACCTATAACCAATTTTGCAAGAAGAGTTTTACAAAATAAAATCTTCAAATTAGATCCAAAAACATCTCAACTAAATTTTGCATTGAGTAAATGAACTTAGCAGGCTCTGTAAGATGCCCAGAGTAACGCTACTCTGTTTGGATTTGAGAATTACAGATGTTGTGAAACAGTCCTCACCATGAAACAGCTGAGGCAAATTCCTCCTTACTAATCCTTAAGGGTTTGCTCATGGTTTATCCTGTTGTGGAAATCTGCTGTTACTTTATTTAACACATGCTCAGCAGAGCAGAAATGTTCCTCTAAGCTATCTAGAGCATTAGCTATGGAGGACCTGTTCTCTTGCCAAATGTCTATGGTTTCTGAATTATAAGAAAAAAATTCTAACAAGGTAAAGCATTCATAAAGGCTTTGGTCCCTGGTGTTCAAGGTGTCAAACCTCTCCAGGGCCAGCAAAAGCTGAGAAGAGAGGAAGTTTCATTCTTGTTTCCCAACTATTGCTGCCATTTCTCATCCTCAAATTAATGGGAACTTCAAGCTTGAGCACAGCAGAAAGCATAACCACTTCAGAGGCTTTATGCCTTTTGTAGGACTTGGAAAGGGAATAGGAAATAAAATGTGCTGTTATTAGTCACGGAACAGAAAGTTGGAGGCGTGGGGCAGCATGAGAAAGTGAATGTATATACCTGAAGACAAACCACTCCTATGGACAGAAAGCCTTACTGACTCAATACCCAACTGCAGAGAAGTGAAGAATGGAAAAGGAAAAGAGTTTTTAATGTAGCTGCCAAGGGTCGCATGAAAATGAGCCATCACTTAACAATGGCAGCAACTTGAATGTAGGTGAGTAATTAATTGCTCTCTGCATCCCACTTGCAACTTTTGCTTTTTAGCTGGCTGTTCCTCTATAATGACAATTTTCTCCATAACCCATAAATAGCTAATTCCAATTACTTGTATACCAACTGGTCATTTACTAGGTACTTGCAGTGCCCAGCTCATCCAGCCTATTTCCCATGCCTGCCCTGGGATGGATGAATCACGCTAGGGAAACCTCTCATTTTACACTGTAGAAATTGTTTAATTGAGGGTGTTTCAAGGCAGGTTCCAAACCCTGCAGGATTTGTTTTGTTTCATTTCCAAATATAGCAGCGGCTTTTAAAGATCACATTTGCAGTAAAAACATGAACGTGCAGGCCAGGCCCCTGGCTGTAACTCTGAAACCCCCAGTGCATCTGCTGAGCTCAGTGCAAATATTCAGTTTCACCAAGAATTAACCCAACGTGTTTCTCCTAGCCCTCTACATGCAGTGCAGCGCTCCTGGTACCACTGGTGGGTGCCATGGGGGTTTTCATTGACTTTCATGTTTCCTTGGCATCACTCCTACTTTAGCTGTTTTTACCAGTGATTAAAAAAATGGCTTTAAAAACATGAGAAAAAAACGATGCTGCCAGACAAGCAGATATGATGGAGCGGTGACTAAAAACATCCAGAATTGTTAGGTAGGCTTGAAATATAATTTTATTGTCTTGCTGGAGAATGAAGCAACAAAGCAAGGAAGAAACTATTCCCAACAGACAGTGTGCTTCACAGTGGCAGAAAGAAGATAAAAAAAGCTCATTAAACTGAGAGACTTCGTCCTAACATCAAGCTACCCTCCAAACATTTAAAAAGTCTTTTCTTGCAGAGAGGCGGCAAGGCTATCAAGTGATGAGCGAGGAGACAAGCTCGAGGTTTTGTTTGAGTGCCAGGTGCCGGGGCCAGATCCTGCTGTTAGTACTTGGGGCATGTCGGCGGCAGCTTGCAGATGTTCTTGGTGTACTGGGGGCAGTACGGGGCTGGGGGGCAATAGCGCTGCACGGGGGGGCAATAGCCCTGCACGGGGGGATAATAGCCCTGCATGGGGGGGCAGGAGGGTGTCACATAGGTGTACTTCGGCACAGGCTGCCTCTGGATGGTGTAATGGCAGGAGGGTCTTGAGTCGTGGCAGGAGGAGTGGGATCCGTGGCAGGAGGTTTCGTGGCTGTGGCAGGACCCGCGGGAGCACATCTTTCTGGAGTATCGGCAAAGCTGTCAGGAGCAAGGGATCAACGTGGTGAGAGGAGCCCCAGATTCACTTCTTATATTCCCTCCTCCCTTTTTCTTTTTTAAATAATATTTCTTCCTGAGATCCCCAGCAAAGTGTTTCTCTCTTTCTTTTTGCCTGCCTAATCCAGACTGAATGCACCCTTGATCCTGCCTAATCTACAGGACTAGCTTTGGCAAATGCTGTGTGAAGTTAGGTCCTTGCAAGCTGATGTCATGAACCCCATGAGTTGCTCCCAAACCCCATCTCCTTTGTGAAACAGCACAGAGCTCGTGTTGCCCAAGGATCCCTTCACGTGCCTCTGCTGCACCTTCCCCCGTGATCTCCATCCCTCCATCCACCCCTCACTGTGCCTGCCTCAGAGCACCGCAAGTGTGTGAGCAGAAGGCACTTCAATAAGTCCCAGCTCCCAGGATGTCCATAAAAACCTTTAGTAGAGGTTTCTTCTCTCAACGTGAACAGAAATAGTAAAATTTGTCTTACCTTCTTTAGCTACAGGGAGAAGTGTCTGGAAGCGAAGGCAAGCGGCTGAAGAGGACTGGGCTGAGCGATCTTTTATATGGTTCCAAAAGGTTATCTTGGATATGAGACACCTCTTTGCAATGACAATTTAATTATTTCCGCACTCAATCCTGCAGATATTTGTGCTATCCTATTTTTAGCATTTCCTCTTTGACGCACTGTATTTCATCCGGTATGTAATTCCTAATGCATTTCCTATTGGGATTTTGGAAGACATTTCTTTCCCATTTCCTGGAGACTGACACTAATCTCATAGGTGTTAATTAGCTTGCCAATGGGTAACCGGGATTGCATCAGTGACAGAAAGGTCTTTAAGTCTCAGAAATGCTGACTCCTGGGGTAGGCCTACCATTTTGTGCAGGAGACAGCTCAGGATCTTAATTTATGTGTTGTTAAATGCCAAGATGAAATGTGATTACCAGCTGCAACTAATGGCTATGGCACGATGCTAGGAAGGCTGGTGTGATCTCTCCGGTTCCCTGGTACAGCAAAAAAGAAAATATTTTTGATTCTTCATATGTTCCTTGACTTGTCAGATGACTTGGCTGGCCCCACCAGATTGTTCCACATGTCTCAAAGGTTATTTAGTACTTAAGATCGGAGAAAAATATCTGATGATGAACTCTGTACAAGGTATGAGTACATTAGGTTTTCCTGTTCCTTGGTTTCTCTTTCCCTTCACTGATTTCTTATAGTTTTGTCACCTGATCTCACCTGCAGAAATGTCTGCAAAGCAGAGGATTCAGAGAAAGGGAGGATTTGAGCTGAAGTGTGAGCAAATATTGGGTTCTGTTACTAGTGGTGAAATTGTGGACACTAAAGCTGCATTTATAATCCTGCTTGACTCAGTCTCTGAAGTGTAAGAAAATGAAGCCTGTAACTCATCAACTTTGGAAAATGTTATCCATTAGAGTAATTTTCTAACCACTAACAAGAAGCTCTCTCTAAAGTACAGGTGTCCTACAGCTTCTCTTCGGGCTAGAGGTGATATAATTGCTTGTGGTGAGTTTTGTGTAGCAAGCGAGGATTGTACAAAATCCTCAGGGACATTTTGTGACTCAATTGCGGATCCAAAACCAAGAGAGGCTGCAGGTACCCAGTTGGTGAAGCCGGTGTTTGTGTGACAGTGCTCCTTTCCTCCGTGCTTTGCCCGGGAGCATCACACCAATGTCCCGCCAAAATCTTTCGACCTCCTCAACCGCTTTCCAAATCTGGTGTGTCCTAGGTTACACCCATTCAAAAAATATTCTGAATCTTTCAAATTCAGGTCCTGCTAAGGAAAACATGATCTCTAAATCGTTATCATCCACTGCTTGCAGTTCTTTTAGGGGAGCGTGTAAGGGAAGCCCAATCTACAGTGATGAAATATTATTTTTAGAGCAATGTGGTGGTTGATACTTGCTCAGTTACATTTAGCAGCGTTTGGTTTACGAGCTCTCCATAATAACATCTTGTTGTGTTCAGATCTGTGCTGTGCAAGCACACAAGAATCTTACACGAGATAGACCTTCTCTGGGCTAACTCATCTCTCTGCTCCAAAGTATACACTAGTGACAAGCAGCACTGGAATATGAACAAGGAGTTTGTGACTTCTGTTTTCAAAGGCTCAGAGGTGTTAAGATATTTGAAAATATTTATATGCCCAAGTTTTGAAGTTGGCTTGGAGTAAATTATTGCATGGATTGAGTAAGAATATTACCAACTGTGAACTACTTATTCCTCTTTCATTTAATGAGCTATGCTTGTCTCCAAAACAAAAGAGTTTGCATTCAGCTGTCTTTAATCTTGTTTTCAAAACAATGGGACAAAAGTCTGTGTAGACCATCTCATCATTTGGTGTAAGCAGGGGAAGTTTTGTTCTGCTCAGCCCTTTAGGTCCATGTAGATTTTTGGTAGTTGAGAAGTGTTTCCACTACTAATGTAACTGCTTTTTTTTCCAAATTAATCTGGGAACTTTTGTTATTGGCCATCAACTATTGGGACACATTGAGAACATGAGGAAATTAGGCAGAAGAATCCAGAAAATAATAAAGAAATCTGAAGGAAAAAATGAATAAAGAAATTAAAAGACAATGCAGGTCTCATGACTTGTAAGATTTATTCTTTCCCACACCCAAATGAGTCTGAAACAGAAGTGCACGGCATAGAAAGATTCCCAACAGTAATTACATGCTGAATAATTAGAAAGGACATTTCCTGAATAATTAGAAAGAATGACATCTTGAATGATAATTAGAGGAACATTTCATCCAGATCAGCGGTGATGCACATGGCAGAGACCCAGGGATTTCTGTAAGGATGAGATGATCTGTGGCCACAGCGTCCAAGGGAGGAGCGAGCCGGTGGGTCCAGGTGCCGGGGCCAGATCCTGCTGTTAGTACTTGGGGCATGTCGGCGGCAGCTTGCAGATGTTCTTGGTGTACTGGGAGCAGTACGGGGCTGGGGGAAAATAGTGCTGCATGGGTGGGCAGTAGGGCTGCACGGGGGGGCAATAGGGCTGCACAGGGGGGCAGCAGGGTGTCACGTAGGTGTATTTCTGCACAGGCTGCCTCTGGATGGTGTAATGGCAGGAGGACTCCGAGTCGTGGCAGGAGGAGTGGGATCTGTGGCAGGAAGACCGGGATCCATGGCAGGATGTTTCATGGCTGTGGCAGGGCCCACGAGAGCACATCTTGCTGGAGTATTGACAAAGCTGTAGGGAAGAGAGAGAGAGAGAGACCATCAAGCTCGCATGGCTGTCCCACTGTAACCCTCTGCATATTCCTTGGCTCTTTATCTGCAGTGGTCTGGGAAATTTTATTTTTTTCCTCCGCTTTGTAATATATGGGATGTCTTGACCCTGAAAGTGATACTGCCTTGTCTTTCAGGGGATACTCTATAATGGTCTAGCTCTGATGGGAATTTCTCTACCAAGATGCCACTGTTGTCTTTTTAAGATAAAATTTACTCCTAAAACTGTACTGACTTGTCTGAGATATCTCTCACTTCATCATCAGCTAGTTTGAGAATTAATTCCTTGCCGGATCCCAAAGACTTTGCGTCTTTGCAGATGAGGTCCTTCAATTACTGCTATTTTTCTGCCATCCCATCTTCTATGAACAAATCATGAGCACCCTTTTCATAACTTACATGTTAAGGCACCCAGTCGCCAAAACTAAGAGATTTCTAAAACAAGAACAAGGTCTAAACACAAAACTAGTCAGCTAGATATCATATGTAAGCTCATGCTTCTCAATAGTAGATAAATCAGTATAATACAACTTACCCTTTGCTGGAGCAAGCAAGAGGAAGAGCACAGAGACCTGATGCTGAATGGAGGAGGAACAGGGAATGGTGAACTTTTATATCTTCCAAACGGTTGTCTGAGAAATTATGCATCTCTTGGCAACGCTAACAATTAAGTAGTCATGTTCATATTTATCTTCTGTGTCTAGTTTTTAGCATTTCCGAGTTGACAGAGTCAGGAAAAACAATTATGACTTTTTCTTTAATATGTTAATAGGCAATGAATTTCCCAACCTGCTTTATAAGGGAATTTTGAAGCTAGTTGCATATTTACATATTAAAAATGAACCTAACCCTAGAGTTATTAAGTGATTTGTTGTTGGGCAACCAGTATTGCATCAACACACAATTCAAAAGTGTTGACTCCTACCCTGCTTGCTGCCCCTTGGTCTGTATGGCAGACTCACATTTTGATTGATATGTTTTTTTCGTGACACAAGGGACTGTAATTAACAGCCACAACTCACATGGACTCTACTTAGAGGGAAGTCCTGTTGACCAGCTCAAACGCACCTAACATCCCAACACTGGAGATGACGCTAGAAGGACATCCCCCATTCCAATTTTTTTCATTCCCTTTGTGAGTCCACCAGCCACCAGCTATTTTCCCCTTGTCTCACGATGTTATCCTGTTTACATTCCTCCCAGAAGAAGGCGATTTCAAATCCTAAGCAGGAAGGATTTGTGCTGGGAAACAATCACCTATTGGTGTTCTCCTGTTTTCAGATATCAAATTGCTTTGGACTCCTGTCTTATTTAAGCAATTTTGTAATTTTTACTCATTGCAGTATTTCACTATTTACTATCAAGTTTCTCTCACAGTGGCCCAGGACTTGACTTCAGGATAATGCAACGCGTAATTGTTCTTTTCATGTGGCTTTTATCCAGGCAGGTGCTGCAGGAACTCCTTGGAAGCATCCCATGGGTCAGTCCTGATGCAAATAGAACAAGGAGGTCCTGAAAGTTGTTTATCAAATTTAGCAGCTACCCCTATTGTGATGGTCTTCCTAACTTTTAGGGTTTATTTTCATGGCAATTTTGTGAAAAAAAAAAAAAATTGCTACTCTGTTAACAGTTTTGTGAGATTTTAAATCATTCTGAATTTGAGAATGCACCCAGGAAAGTATGGTTTCATGTTCTGGTTGGGATTCTTTTTCTTTATTTTTCAAAGCCATGATTCAGCAAAAAAAAAAAAAAAAAGAGTTTTTACAAAAGTCTTTTAGAGCTGGCCGTTGTTTAGGGAAATCTCACCTGCAGTCTTTTGAAAAATGCTGTGAGTTACAAGGAATGTAGAAATGGTTCATCTAGATTGATAAAGTGGTATTTTAGGGGAAGAGCCTCGTGCGCATTCTCCTTTATGCAGGGTGCATTCATCTCACCCTTTTCTAGATACTCATGGTTAATAATTTGAGATGAAGGAGCTGTCGAGCTCTTTGTGAAACTGATGCTGAGAGACCGGCACTGGCAGAAATAAGTGAGCGATCCTGTTCTAGAATAGATGTCTCAGCTAGATGGGCTGGAGACTGGGAAGATAAGGATAGTCTTAGGTTGTAAAAAGTAGAGAGAGATTTAGCATTTATTTATGTTCATTGAAAACAGTAATTTGAAGTTCAGTGAAGGAAGGAGGGTTAGAGAAGACCTCTAGGTGCCTATTTGCATTTATTAGACACCTCAAAATGTTTGTAATTCTGAGTCAGAGTGACAAATAAAGTATGAGGTGCTGCTGAAGTAGGGAACTGAGAAAGACAGTCTGAGGCTAAATAGGGTACATATGAGTTCCCTGTATGCTGTCCATAAATGCCCCTGTCTGCCGCAGAAATGTTCCTGGAATAACTGGCTCTCTTTCATTTTGAATCTTTAGGATGTGGGCATTTCATGATAAGTTTGAGAAGAATGAGAAGTGGTGACTAAGAAGTCAGAGGTATAGATAATTCTCAAGTAAAGAGGTCAGAGAATAAACGAATCATAAACTTTTTCTATTTTTGCCAATGAAATTTTATTTTCTCATCTGCATGTTTTGGAGGTGAACACATCATGTGCAAGCCACTGCCAGCACAAATAATTCCCAGTCTTTTGGAAAAGAACATACTAAATAAATGAAAGAATACGTGATTTATAATTTGAAGAAAATTCTAATCACAGACAAGGTATTAGAGGATTTGTGCAAACCAGAAGTGGGAAGAGAGAATCAGCAATTCAAGTTTTAGGCATCAAAAGCGTCTAAGGGAGGAGCGAGCCGGTGGGTCCAGGTGCCGGGGTCAGATCCTGCTGTTAGTACTTGGGGCATGTCGGCGGCAGCTTGCAGATGTTCTTGGTGTACTGGGGGCAGTACGGGGCTGGGGGGCAATAGCGCTGCACGGGGGGGCAATAGCCCTGCACGGGGGGATAATAGCCCTGCATGGGGGGGCAGGAGGGTGTCACATAGGTGTACTTCGGCACAGGCTGCCTCTGGATGGTGTAATGGCAGGAGGGTCCTGAGTCGTGGCAGGAGGAGTGAGATTCATGGCAGGAGGTTTCGTGTCTGTGGCAGGACCCGCGGGAGCACATCTTTCTGGATGCAAAGCTGCAGGGAAGAGAGAAACATTCATGCTGGCACAGCATCCCCAATGTATGTGAGCACACCTGCATTCTCTAATTTGTTCTGGAATTCCCCATTTTCTTCCTAATTTCTAGTTCTTCAGGGATAAGGAAGTGATCTCAGTGCTGGTTAGGTATTGGGAGATGATTTATATCTCCCACTAAAAACGTGACCTTTTACAGATACAATTTGCTTTTTAGAGAAAAATTACTGAGAACATCCATTGCCCATATGAAACCCCAGATCCTCCGATGCCTTCTACTCAAAAAGTTCAAAGCTTCTTTTCCATAAATTCCTCTGACTGTCCTCTCTGTAATTTCCAATCTTGTTTTAGTTCGACTTGAGCCTCTGCCTTCTAAACCTATATCCCACTTTTCATTTGTGTTAATAAAACAGCTCTTGTGGGTAGCAAGAACTTGGTCTCTTGCATGACCGAGGTCCAGAGGCGAGGAGTGAGTATTGTATTCCAACTCTACCAAAGTTTGTATGAAAGCAACTGGTTTCATATAGAAACTCAAGAGAAATAGAAAAAATTGACTTACCCCTTCAGCAACCCGAATAAAGGTGTATGGGAGCAAAGAAGCGAATGAAGGAAACTGGGATGAGAGACCTTTTATAGTCTTCCAAAGGGTTATCTGGGACATGAGACATCTCTTGGCAAGTGTAACCTAATTACATATCCCAGCCCATTTCTATCCGCTGTATTCAGCTTCCGACATTTTCCCTTTGATGCACTGTGCTTTTAGCATTCTAATTGTCCCATAGGTTATTAATAGCGCTCTTAATTCCTTTGCCTCCCTATGAAAGAGATTGGAAGGTATTTCATGCAAGGTGACGCCAATACTGAAGAAACTAATGGATCTGGTCACGGACAACAAGTATCAAGTGGAAGAGATGTTTGTAATTCAGAAGTACAAATTTCTCAAGCTGTGCTGGGATGTCACATGGACCAAGAGCTAAACGTGGTCACACCTCCATGTGAAAGAAAAATTATTACTAATGTTAACTCATGTGGATTACGTTTAGGGCAGGAATACTCTAGCTGACTTGTCCAATGGTACCGGATATTTTAATGAGAGATTTGGCATTAGCCCAATGATGTCCTTCATTAATAATTTCAACCTGTCTGCATGGTGTGTCCTATCAAGCATTTCTTTCGTGTGGTGGATTGACCCTGGCTGGACACCAGGTGCCCACCAAAGCCACTCCATCGCTCCCCTCAGCTGGACAGGGGAGAGAAAATATAACAAAAGGCTCGTGAGTTGTGATAAGGACTGGGAGATTTACAGCAATTACCGTCACAGCCAAAATGGACTTGACTTGAGGAAATTAATTTAATTTATTACCAATCAAATCAGAACAGGATAATGAGAAAGAAAACCAGATCTTAAAAGCACCTTCCCCTCACCTCTCCCTTCCTCCTGGGCTTAACTTTTTGCCCCCCATTTCTCTCCCTCCTCCCCCAGGTGGCACAGGGGGGCAGACGATGGAGGTTGCGGTCAGTTCATCACCCGTTGTTTCTGCTGCTCCTTCCTCCTCAGGGGGAGAACTCCTCACACCTTCCCTTGCTCCAGCGTGGGCTCCTTCCCATGGGAGACGGTCCTCCATGACCTTCCTCAATATGAGTCCTTCCCATGGGCTGCAGCTCTTCACAAACTGCCCCAGCGTGGGTCCCCCAGGGTGTCACAAGTCCTGCCAGCAAATCTGCTCCAGTGTGGGCTCCTCTCTCCACAGGGCCACAGGTCCTGCCAGGAACCGGCTCCAATGTGGGCTTCCCACAGGGTCACAGCCTCCTTTGGGCATCCACCTGCTCTGGCGTGGGGTCCTCCCTGGGTTGCAGGTGGAGATCTGCTCCACTGTGGATCTCCATGGGTGCGGGGGCACAGCCTGCCTTGCCATGGTCTTCACCATGGGCTTCAGAGGAATCTCTGCTCCAGTGTCTGAAGCACCTCGTCCCCTCCTTCTTCACTGACCTTGGTGGCTGCAGAGTTGTTTCTCTCACTCCTCTCTCTGGTTGTAACAGTGCAGTTTTCTGGGTTTTTTTACTCCTTCTTAAATGCATTATCCCAGAGGTGCTACCACTGTCACTGATGCGCTTGGCCTTGGCCAGCAGTGGATCTGTCTTGGAGCTGGCTGGTGTTAGATTTATCAGACACAGGGTAAGCTTCTAGCAGCTTCTCACAGAAGCAACCACTGTAGCACCCCTGCTACCAAAATTTTCCACACAAACCCAATACATCTTACTATAGATGCTGCGTTAGTCTAATTCTGCAATACGGTGTTGATGGCAGTGATATTGAATCCCGGAGCACAATGATTTGAGGTGAACCCACCAGCCTAAGTCCTGCTCACACTCCCAGAGATGTAGTTATTTTATGTTCCCATTTTCTTCTGTCCTTCTTTAATGTCATTCTATTTTTTCCCCCCAGCATTTTTAGTAAAACCTGTCTTTAGTTTACTTCCTGGAAATTTTTAGCAATTGAGATTGTGCGAAGGTGCGCCATGTGTCTGCCTCCGGAGTAAGGTTTAAGATCTTTCATTTCACAGTAATGTTGAAGATGATATTTGGTCTACTAGCTGGGACAGAGAGCTAGAATTGCTGTCCTGCTTTCAGTACTCAGCCATGGCATCTCTGTTGCTCTTATGGAAATATGCATTAGACAGGCCTGTAGCTCAGGAAAAAATAAACAAAACAGTGTAATGTGGTAGAGGTAGATGCTTCTGAGCCTGGATTTTCCCGTGATTCACAGATGAACTTTGGTCTTCCTTTCTGTGTCTACATACAGGTCATGCCCATCTAACCCAGCAATTACATTTTCTTGTCCCATAAAAGGCAAGAATGTGTCAACACTGGGATGGTATTGTGGATTAGACATCAGGCACAATGGATTTTGGGTGATGCTCTACTGACTCACTGGGATCTCTCAGACAGGTCCATTCACATCGGTGCTTCAGTATCACGATGTAGAGAACAAACCTATAAATACTTTGCTGCAAAGTTTTATTTAGGCTGTAGTTAGGTAGCACCTTCAGAAATCTTTGATCGTGTATGGGAGTAAATCTGTTGTCATATAAAAGAGAGAAGATAGTAAAAATAAAGAAAGTGCGTCAGATGTAAATATGGGGAACCAAGGGCAGCAAACAAAACTGGCTTTGGTTAGGGGAGAGCAAAGCCCCCATTCCTCAGGAGTGCCTCACTGCTGAAGCCTCCACCTCTATAAAGTTCCCCCGTTTCAGGCCATTCCCTTCAGTTTGACTTTATTTCTCCTATTACATCCCTGCTGTTGACTAAGGTAGGCAATTTGACTGACGATCTGGAACAGTTATGGAAATTTATTTGGAGATGGTTTACCCACTTGGCTCTGCTTAAAACCAGACTGCTTGTTTATTGTAAATAGTGCAAGAGAGAGATACTTTCTATGGGATATTTTTTGTATTTCATTGATAAGTGATATCTGATTATTGAAAATAGCAATAAAAGTAAGGATTTTGGAGTAAATATCACATTTGCAGGAAAAAATAGTACAGGATCTAATGTTGATATTCAGAAGAGGTTCATCTTGTAAACGATGACAAAATAAGGGGAAAAAATGTCCAGCTTTGCTGTAGGTAAGTCCTCTATTTCTGGTTGGCCCTGTTTATCTTGAAGGGCAGTAGATAAAAAAGTTGCATAAAAAGATATTGTCTTGCTCCCATCACTGAGCTGCCTTTCCTTTAGGTGTACTCCACTTCCTGAAATGGCATGCTCTTCCGGGAGAGAATCCTTCTTCAACTTGAACTCAACCTGGTACGACCCGGCGGGCTCCTGGCTGGACACCCGGCGCACGCCCCTCCTGTATGCCTACAGCCGCGGCTGTGCCCACCGTAGAGACTCGTGCCGGGGTGGCCACGACTATCGGCACTACGGCTACCGTCACTCAGCCTGCTGCGAGCCGGAGCCGTGCCGGGGAAGCGGGTCTTGTCACTGTGCCGGGGAGCGGGTGAGCAGTTGTGAGGGATGCGGGGCATGCCACAGCTGCGGGGCACGCTTGGCAGGGTGTTGTGGGGGGTGCTGCTATTGATGGGAGACCAGGGCGTGTGAGACCTTCACCTTGGTGGGGGCTGGGAATATCGTGTTGCAGCATCGTTGTGTGCAGCCACGATGATGCAGCCAGAAGAGCTGTGTAGGAGCCCAACACTTGTCTAGTGCTAAGAAACATGCTCTACGTGCAGGGCTCCCTTGCCTCTCAGTTTTCTAATGTTTGCCTTGGGTTTATCATGTTATCTTGTGATCTGTTTCTAGCCCCCTCCTCCCCTGCTGACTTGATTGAGGCACTGCTCAGAAAATGTCCTCTGCAGAGGTTGTCCTCAGCACAGGCATCATTGCTGCTGTGGCCTTCATGGCAGGGGGAAGATGGGGACAATTTCCTGCTGAATTTATGCAATATGCTTTTCTGCTTCACTTCCCAGATATGGGTACTGAGATAACAAAGCTCCAGCTCAGGAGAGATTTGCTGTCTCTATTCCTCAGGCTCTTCCTAAATCTCTCCTTCAATGAATGACACAACCTACAGCGTTTCAGCTTAGCCGAGAGCGTAGGTGAAAACCTGGACTGCTTAGAAAGAATTAAGATAAGAGATTTTATCTCCCCTACCCCCAAAATATTTTCAGTCAGACGCAACCCCAGCCTGGAGCCTCCAGTCTGGCTTGGTTTCAGCCTCCTGCCTGGCACAGGATGGGGTTGGCACTGGCAGAGGTGTACCTGGGTGTCTGGGGGGATAGGGACTGTCAGTGGCACCACACAACGCCTTCGTGCACAGTCAGAACTGCACGTCTCTGACCCTGACGTTCATTCTTTGCACCTGCAATCATGCACCTTGCATATGGGAATGATGCTGCTCGTTATTTTAATTAACAGTAATAATAAAACAAGTGCTAATAATAAGTTTCTCATTCCTTTCAAAGATTCAGTGCAAAGCCTTTGTTAATTAAATATCTAGCACATTACACATAATACTGCTCTCATCCCACAGAGGCATGAATTCCTTAGCAATCTGTCTCCACGCTGTTGGACACTGGAGGAAAACCTGGGAATGAATCTAGTGCAATGGGAAATATGACTACTAATTTTTATGGCCATCTGTCCATTTGATATTCCTTTTTTCTACATCTACAAGGGAAGCTCAGAACTTTCATGGTTTCTGTTGAAAAAAGTTAGCTTAAATCTTGGTAGGTACTGGGAACATTTTTTTCTTTCGCAATCTTTCTCTTGTTTTCCAGACATTTGTGGTGTTTACAGGACTAGAGTTCACAGTGGCAGTCACTGTTGCAGTGCATGGCCTGACTTAAACCCAGTTGTCTTTTGCATCAGACAGTATTTCATCTAGACAATATGGACTCTTGCTGGGATTTTCAGAGAAGACAAAGTTACCTTCCACAAAATATCTATCTAACCCCACGTTCTCTATTTAGAACAAATCAGAAGGAAGATTAATACGATGTAGTCCTGCTTCTGCTTATAACCTCTTATTTATGGTGATCAGTGATTTTCAGACTTCCTAGATGGAGTCTGTTTTTGTGCTCACCAGTCAGGTATGTATTACAAAGCCAAAGCTTTACTTTTAGCTCCTTCAAAATGTGCCTGTGAGGGTCTGAGGCTCAGGGCCAGTTGTCACAGAGCCAAGGGCTGGGATTAATGAGAGATGCTGATCTGCACCTTCAACACCAGACAGCTTTTCCAAACCCAGCATCTGGATTTATCTGGCAGATGGACAAGTTGTGGGGACTGGAGAGCTGAGCTTCAACACATCATTACTACTGAAGTGCAGTGGGAAGCTGGGAAAGCTGTGAAAAGCAGCTCTTGTTAATAAAGGTGGGTTTGGGAATGATTCTAAGGATGAGGAAGAGGGTAATGATGGAAAAACACTAGGACACCAGGATGTTTTGTGAGCGTTAAGTTTTAATATCACATCTTTGCTACTGGAGACAGAAGCAGGAAATCATGAATTCAAATTCTCACACGCATGAGAGCAAATCACATTTCTGCCATGCTAATGCCACTTTGCATTATTGGGAGCGGGGAGAGGTAATATGTGCTGGAGGGAAGGTGCAGGAGCTGCCCAAGCCCAGGGCTGCATCTTGCGGAGGAGAGGGGAGCGGTGCAGCCCCATGGTGTGTGCTGGCCATCCTCTTGTCCTCGCCCCTTCACTTCTGCTGCTGCGGGGGCCACTGCACCGGCTGCTTGATCTGCTGCTGCTGCTGGCAGGGAGCAGGGGCCACCGGCACCTGCCCCGGCGCGGAGACCACGGGGCACTGGGGAGGGAGAACCACCACCGGCGTCACATCCTGCACGGCGTTCACTTCGTGGCAGATGACCTCCTCGGAGCCGTGGCAGGACCTCTCGCTGTCGTGGCAGGAGGAGCTCTCGGTGCTGTGGCAGCCTCTCTCTCCACGGGAGCACATTTTTTGGTTGGTGCAGCAAACCCTGGGAAGGAGAGGCCTTTGTCGTTAGACGCGTGAAGGGCAGCATGCTTTCCCCACTTTGCTCTGGGTTCAGATTTCCTTGAGGTGTTTAAGACCTGCTGGGGCTCGGCAGGATTTTCCTGTCTGCCCATCCCATTTCCCCGGCTTGGGGCTTCATTCCCGCAGTGCTGGGTCAGCTCGCACCATCTGAACGCCCTCATGAGCCCCCCCAGCAGCCCTGATCTCCATTTCTGCTGGGCTCCCTGAGCTGTTTCCCCGCTCTCCCTTTCTGCATCCCACAAGTGCTCCTGCAAGACACTCTGGGATTATCTCAGGGCTGTGTAATGGAGGAGCAGATGCACTGTGGGCTGCCAGTTTATGCTGCACTTGCAAGAGGGACCTTGGCAAGGTTTTGAAAAACTTGCAGCCTAGAGGGGCCCTGGCACAGATGGTGAATTTACAGCCAGGACTGGGGGTATTAGAGCCTCAGCAAAATACACTTTCAAAGCCAGGTACTCAAAATTAAGAGACTCCTGTGCCTTCTGACTTCCTTGTGTCCTCTGCTCCCTCGATGCCCTGTGGACCCTTGGTTGGCCAGTGCCCAATTTCCTGAGGTGTGAGGAAAATCCTATGTGCACATCAATCCTCTTTCTGAGGAGAGCTGAGATATCAAGGAGGCAGAAGGCATCCAGGATGCGGCCATCTGAGCTGAAGCCTGTTCATGCTACTCCTTCTCATAGTTTAAATCTGCCATCTCAGTTCTTTCCTAAATTTCTTCAAGGACAGCTTAATACTTCTAACTCCGGAAGATTAACATTTTCTAAAGGATCTTAGTAACGGAGTCAGGCTCATAAGTGCAATTAAAATTCCCAGATTAAGCCAAACGTTTCTTATGAAAAATCAGCCTCCTGTCTCCTATTCATTCCCAAATCCCATTCTTTACTTTTTTATTTCCAGTTTGTCCTTTGAAAACTATGAATCCAGAGCACTGAAGTAATCCAAATATTAGCATAGGTTGTCTTGAGACCAATTTTGATAGCATAAAATTGCCCCAGCCACCGAGGCAAGAACTTGGCTCTCAATAATCCCAGCACCTGCAGACAGACCTGCTTTTGTGAGAGCGTAGCTCAGCTCACTTCAGCAAATTTTCATAGGAATGAAAAGTTAGTGGTGTAGTAGCAACTTACCTTGGTGGTGAAGGCTCTGAAGAAGGAGTGGAGCTGAGTGAATGAGCTGCTCTCCCATCTGAGAACTTTTATACGGTTCCTAACTCTCTTCCTGAAAATGCAATAAACCCCTGGGGAAAAATGACCAACATATTTACAAAACAGCCACACCTCTAATTATCCACCACCTTCAAAAGCTTATTCAACCTGGTTTCTTTGATTGACTTGTCATACAGTTGATTGTCTTCCTTGTGTTACACAGCTTTAATTGCCACCCTGCCCCACGCTGGTTGTAATGCACGAAGAGTGAAAACCGTGTGGGTGGCTTGACTGTCTCACCGTCATGCCAGAATGAGTTTTATATTGCAAAACGGATGGCAAAGGTGATGCTTTTTGGGGTTTCTATCCTCCTGAAACCTCTCACCCAAAGTCTGGAAAGGAGGAGAAGACGCAACACCTGGTCACCTCTAACTGCTCTTGGCAGGACTGGGGTCTTGTGCAGTGGACAAGAGCCACCACTTTCAGTTCCTCACCGGAAAAAATGACAAGTTTTTAGAAAGTTCACATCACATTTCTTCTGAAAACATCTTTAAAGTTGTCTTCAACCTGTAAGACGTCTGCAGGTGCCAGAAGCTTAGCAGCCAAAGGTCCCCTCTCACTCTCCTGTCTCTGACTGTGTCATTACCTAGAGCAATAAAACTGGGATAACGAAGCCTGTGGCCACTGTGGCAGGCTCCAAGAGCTACAAATGGCAAGTGACCTGTCAAAGCCAGGTAGCGGTACAGGTCATTTTTGGAAGTCTTGGCTTACACCTTTTAATACCCCCAAAATGTAGTGTGGTTTCTCTACCTGTGTCCATCTACTTCATGTCTGATTTTATAGCTGTTTCACTGATGTTGACATAGTTACGACCAATTTTCATTGCTGACATTTTTCCTGGCCAATACCAAAAAACCCTGGACAGAACTGTTCTTTTAAATTTTCAATTTTTCTAATATATATATATATATATATTTTTTTTAAATTTTCCTGCCTCTGAAGCAACCATTGTCCATAATGGGAAATGTGTGCCTACAGAAGCTGCTTGGGCAAACCTTGCATTCATGAGTAAGATGTGAGTAAAGTGCTAGCTCAGAGACCACGCACCCAGGCTTACCATGCATCTTGAGCTCACTCAACTCTTCCCTGCGGCAGGATGGGTACACCCTGGGTGCAAAACAGCGGACTGCTGCAAGCCTGGGGTGCTTTCCTGGCCCTGGTGCAATCAGCTGTGTAACCACGGCTTTGCAATAGCCCCCGTTTCTCCTTTCCCCTCCCATTAGCAGCTTGACTGTGCAATTTCAGCAGGGCTCACTGTGTTTTTACTCATTTTGCATCTTAACTCCCTCTGCAAACACAGGAGATACAAGGTTTTGTTGGGCAGAGGTTGACTGAACATCTGAAGCGGAGGGGTGGATCCCACTTGGTATCTCTAAAACAATTTATTTAGTTTCTATCCAGAGGCGCCAGTTCGTGACTTTCATCAAGAAGCCAGATGCGTGTTTACCGTTCAGCCCGCCTGTTTATGAAGAGCTGAAGCAGAGGGGCCACGGCTTGTGCAAGCACCGACACGCTCATGGAAGAGTCTCCTGCATTATCAGAGTTTGTGAGCCATGAAGGATGACTCATTCCTCTCCTGTTGCACAAGGAGTGGGGAGGAAATCTGCATGTGCAAGTGCGCATGTGTAAGTCCGTGCGTAAAATCCAGCCTCCGCCTGCTCCCAGCCTCATGCTGGAGGTGAGCTGCAGCTGCTCCAGGGTGCAGGGAAAGGCAGTGGGATGCAGACCCAGTTCCTCGTGTTCAAGCTCTGGATGCAAGCGCATCCTCCTGCTCCCCTGGGTCTAACATACTATTGTATCATCTAGCTTAGTTAACATCTAAGCTTGTGGAGGGCTCTTTGATACAAGCCTCAAAGAACAAGCCAGGTGGGACAGTGAATAAGAAATCTACTTTTAAAGTGTTTTCTAATTTTTTTTTTTTTTTTGAGGAGGACTGAAATTTCGGGATGTTTTTTGGTCAGTTAGTTGAATAGACAAGAAGTTTTTGAATACTCCAGACCCTAATTGGTTTTCTGGAAGCCTCTTGGAAGTTGTTCTTTTGCTACCTTTGATGCTATCCAGTGAGGTAGGGAAAATAACAGAAATCAACAATGAAGTGGTAGATTTTAGAAATATAAGTAGATGTAAATAAATTATAATGCTAATTTTAGAATGGAATTTCATATGGCTGGTGACAGAACGTTGTGTAATGTTCCCTGCACCACAGTCTTACAACAATTTTCAGTGTGAAAGATACCCATTGTGGCACCAAACATGGGGCCAGAGCTCAGAGGATTTGGGTTTCTGTAAGCTGTGGTGATTTACAAACATCAGGGCAGTTTTCTTGACTTTTTATTGAGCTGAAAGGATCAAAATCCCTACAGGTGGGTGAAAACAGCAATGGTAAAAAATTTTTTACAGTGTAATTTTATGTTCTTTTGTCTCCCCTTTAAATGGGCACAGATTTATGGTTGTTTTTTTCCTTCATTACCAGTATTTGGAGAAGTCACAAAACCCCAGAGAACAGTCCTGAAATGTTTGGCAAATATCACGTAACTGGCACTGGATGTTCAAGCCTCCCCCGCACTGTCCCATCAGCACAGCACAGAGGAACCATCTTCTCCCTGTGCCTAATTTAGGGCTGATCCTATAAAAAATGTCATGAAGCAGGTTACTGTGAAGAAGCAAATGAGCTTGTTCGAGTTGCCTCATGCCACTGGTGCAAGCAGAAGGTTTACATGCTCTGGCTTACAACATCACCTGCAATCTCTCTGGGACAGGAGCTTGGCATGTAATTGTTTCCAAGTAAACAACCTTGCACTCCCAAGGTCACGCTGTAAATAATAATCAGTCGAAAATCACCTGGGAGTTTTGCATATCTCCTTAACATATCTCACAGGGTCTGGCCTGCATACCCATGCAGAGGGTCTTTTCAGGGCACAGTCTTTCCATTTGATGGGAACAGCATGGGGGAAGCTGTGACTTCAGCAAGAACAAAATTAAGAACCTTCTCTTACTGTTGAAAATGATGTATTTTACTTCTATTAAAATAAATTATATTTGAGTATGGTTGTAAGATATGTATCAAGAATGTTTGAAGGTAAATCTTGTGTTGTGAAGTCGACTCCTTGAGTATCTGTATTTTGAGTGAAGGAGCCAGAAATTAAAGAAATCATTCAGATACTGGAACTTCCTACAGATTCTGAAGTTTTATTTTCTGAACCATGAGCAAAACGAGATGAAGAGAGGAATCTTTGCCCATCACCAAAGCACAAATCACTTTTCCCAGCAGTGCTTGCAGCAACGTTGCTAGCACAGTCCAATGTGAGGAATGCAAAACTCCCTGACCCTAATGACATGGTTGGGGAAAAGCCGCATTGCGGCACATCCAGGGCACTTTTGCTTGAGCTGGGTCAGTCACTTTTTCTGACTGGGGGGCCACTGGCTGCTCTGCTTGCACTGGTGGTCCTCAATGTTGGGAATGACCACGGGGCATTTCTGCTGCATGTCCTGGGAGAACCCATCACCTCCAGAGCTGAGCTCTGGGCCTGAACATCCCCTGATGCCATAGCCCAATCCTCCACTGTGGCACCCTGATCCACCGCTGACCCCTCCTGTTAAGGCCTTTTCCCTCGGTGATGCATCGTATCCATATCCAGAGCCTCCTCCAGCAGCGATCCCCAATTTCCCACTGTGGCAGATGGATCCTCCACCATCCCCTGAGCTGATAATGATGTTCTGGCCTGAGTCCTCACTGCTGCACCCTATTTTCCCCCTGCTGCCGTAGACTGGGACTGTCCCCCCTGAAATGTCCCAGCCAGATGTCCCCCTATTGTCACCACTGGTTATTACAACAGATCCGTCACTGCCACATCTGTACCCCCCTGCAACGTTGTAGGTGGATGATGTTGGCATGGGCTGGCAGGGTGAAGCTCCCCGGCTGTAGATGACTGAACCTTCCCCACCGCAGAAGAAGGATCCATGTCCCTGGATGCTTGAGAGGCCCCCGCTGCTGCCGTAGCATCCTCTGTGGTGAGAGGAGATCTCATTGCTGTAGCCCCTGTTCCGCCGGGCACGTCTCCCTCGGAGACAGTGATAAATCTGAAAGAGAAAAAAACCCAAAACAAACCTGCACCATTTCGCTTCATTTTTACACCATGGCAGCTGTGGAGGTTTCAGGTGGTGTGGTCAGAAAAGCTTTGCCAAGACAATGCCAGGCTTCGAAACCGGGAACAGCCTAGTTGTTCTTCAAATGCAAAAGTATCTTGACTCTTACTGGTATAACTTTTCTCTTTCTTATCTCCAGGGTGTATATCCAGAGAATCAAAATCTGAAATATGTTCTTTCAACATCTAATAACTGCCATGGTTTTCCTCACTCATCTTCAGGACTGTAACTGCAGAGCTGTAAAAATGGCAAGGATTATCCTTGTTTCTGGTTTTAAATTATTGCAAGAGCAGTGGATCAAAATCTCCATGCAAGATGATGTTGCTGGCTGTATTATTGCCATCATTGTGTAGTATCCCCAAAGGTCTTTTACATAAGGTAGTTGTCACAGCCATAGATGTATGTAACCATTATGAAGTACAGCATAAGCTTGTTATAAAATCATACTGAAAATGTGTCCTGCGCATTGCAAACACATTCAAAATTGCAAAGACTATGCAGTCACCACCTGCTGGTCCCACTCCAGACTCATCTGGGTTTTCAGCCTGCTCAGCCCCATGGCTCCCAGTCCAGTGACCTGACTTCACCTTGCTTCCCAGTGATCTGATCCGCACCATAGCAAGAAACCGCACACATCCCAAGAGCTTTGCTCTGGGTGCTCTGACAGTGTGGGTAGCGCTGCAAGCATGTGTCAAGAGCAAAAATGAAGCTGTCTCCCATGAATACAAAATAATAAAGTCTCAGAAAAGAGTGGACTTACCCTCCTCAGCCATTGGAAACACATTTAGAAGATAAAAGTCGACTGAATGAGGAGCTTTATCAGACAGGAACTTTTATATGGCGTTTAGCATATATGGGAAGTGAGACACCCTAAGGAATGGCAAGGATTTATTTACTAATCAAACTCTGATTTCAGTGTTTGCTTTGACTCATGACATCTGATCAATATCTTTCCTTCATGCTGCTTATTGCATTGCATGTGGCAGTAATTGCTACTTCTGCTTAATGATCCTATTCCTGTGCTCCTGCCCTGAGCTATGGAGGACTCCTTTGGCCCCCAGTGAGGTGGTGACACTGGGGGAAACTGGGGAGGTAAGTGGGGTTGTGGGTGTAGGGAAATGCTGAGCAAGAGGATTAGCGAGTGTGGGGCAAAGAGTGGCGGTGACTGGGTCCTGCTCGGGGAAGGCACAGGGAGGTCGTGGTTCAGGGCACTGCTGTAAGGGTGGATGTGATCCGTGGATACCCAGGAGAGGGGAAAAAAAGCATCTGGCAGCCACACAGCACGTTGATCCCTTCAGAATCTCACTGGTGGCTCCGGTGGGAGATTTTCCGAGGAAGACATTTGTATCCGAACCAGAGGCTTGACAAAACCGAAGTGCCCAGCTTGGGTATTTTGCAAGGGTGCTAGAGATGCTCTGAGAGAGCATAGGAGCCCTGGTGAGAATTGTGGAGATGTGAATATCCTAACACTTAAATCTACTGTGGCTGGATTACTCTGCTAATGAAGGATTATGCCCCCAAATGCCTTCGTTCTGCATTTTCATATGCCGTGTCCTTCCTCCATCTTGGAAAGAGCACCAAGCACCAGGGACTCTGGGGAGACTGATCTGGGGGGGCTGCAGGGGATATGTGCTGTGGCCACGCTGGTAGTGCGGTGCGTCATGATGTCCCCACTGCAGCCTGTCGTGTTCCAGCTTGTGCAGGCTGGACTACATCTGTTCATCTCAGCAATTTTGCCGCCGGGACAGTGAATCCCCAGGTTTCGCAAAGGGCCACGTCTAGGACATGTCTACTGGGCAGAAAGCAGCGTACAGGGTGGTGCTGCCCTTGGCATTTCAAAGCAGATTTCAAAAGCTTCGGCAAGGAGGGATTTAGGGCCTGGAGGCTTGATTTGGAGCAGTGTTGATCTGCCTGAGGGACTTGCTGCTGGTTTTATTTCCTTCTGCCTGGCCCAGGGCTGTTTTGTCTGACTCACCGTGAGAGGCTCACCCTCTGGGTAGAGATGCTTTGAAGTTTGTAAAGCTGGGAGGGAAGTGGGAGGAAGGCAGGGATGTGGATGTTGGCATGCTGTTATTGGCCACCCTGGGCAGCAACAGCTGCTACTGGGGGTAGGCCCCTGTCCCTGCTCTTCAGGACTGGTGGGCCTGTGCAAACCTCATGAGGTTCAGCAAGGCCAAGGGCAAGGTCCTGCCCGTGGGTTGGGGCAATCCCCAGCACAAACCCAGGCTGGGCGAGGAGTGGCTGGAGAGCAGCCCCAAGGAGAGGGACTGGAGGGGTTGGTGGGGGGAAAACTGCCCGTGAGCCAGCCCCGTGCGCTGGCAGCCCAGAACCCACCCGTGCCCTGGGCTGCAGCCAGAGCAGGGGGGGCAGCAGGGCCAGGGAGGGGATTCTCCCCCTCTGCTCCGCTCTGGGGAGACCCCCCTGCAGTGCTGGGGCCAGCTTGGGGGCCCCCAACAGCAGAAGGACACGGAGCTGCTCGAGTGGGGCCAGAGGAGGCCACGAAGATGCTGGGGGGGCTGGAGCAGCTCCCCTGGGAGGCCGGGCTGAGAGAGTTGGGGGGGTTCAGCCTGGAGAAGAGAAGGCTCCAGGGAGCCCTTCGAGCGGCCTCCCAGGGCTTAAAGGGGGGACAGGGGAGGTGGGGGGGGATTCTGGATCGGGGGGTGGGGGTAGGATGAGGGGTGATGGTTTTACACTGAAATAGGGAAACTTTAGATTAGATATTAGGAAGAAACTGTTCCCTGTGCGGGGGGTGAGGTGTTGGCCCAGGGTGCCCAGAGCAGCTGTGTCTGCCCCCTCCCTGGAAGGGTTCAAGGCCAGGTTGGATGAGGCTGGGAGCACCCTGGGCTGGGGGAAGGGGTCCCTGCCTGGGGTAGGGGGCTTGGGGCTAGACCGTCTTCAAGGTCATTTCCAACCCAAACCTTTCTATGATTCTATGACTGAGCCTGATGGGCTTAGTCATGTCTCCCAGCAGCACTTCATTGCTCCACAGACAGGGTCATTGTGTGCTGGTACCCGAGAGCCATGAGCTAGGATGGCTACACCATGATGCCAAATGAATGTTTGGTGCTGTGACTGCTTGATGTTTTAGGCTGTGCTGTTAGTCTATCATGGAGCCCAGGGGAAAATGAAGGTGCAAATTCTCTGGGGCAAAAAACTGGGTGGTTTTAGAGCTGCATCTACAACAATGGACTATTGAACCCACCATCTTCTTTTCAGAGAGGAGTGAAATGTATCATCAGATGATAGATTTTTATCTTCCAAGACCATAAAATGCTTGTCGAGAATAGAAGAAAAAACAAACTCCCCAAAAGGCAGCTTTGAGATATTCCATTTATTAGATATACAAAGTGCTCTTTGGAAAAGAAGCAGACCCTTATCAGAGCCATCCTAATACCAATAGAAGGGCACAAGGCTGTTAATCTTGGAGTTCTCAGAGCAGAGATGCAGTATCAAGGCAAACAAGAGGGCATGCTGGGAAGAAACAGGCAAAGAGAGGCAGGTCTGGAGGGAAAAAGGTGACACGGCAGAGGCAGGGCTGCTCTTGCTGAGAACCAGGGCTGCCTGTGGCTGTTACTTCTGGTGGTTGGGGGGCCAGTGGCAGGTCTGCTTGGTCTGATGGGACTCAATGTTGGGAATGACAATGGGGCATTTCTGCTGCGTGGACTGGTAGGATCCTCCACTGCCCCCTCCAGAGCTGATGATGACTGTGTGGCCTGAGGAACCGCCACTGCCACCACTGGATCCTCCACTGCAGCATCCAGAGGAACCCCCACTGCTTCCACCTCCAATGATGATCTTGCCTCCTGAAGACCCACCACTGGATCCCCCACTGCAGCAGCCAGATGAGCCACCTCCTCCACCGCCGGAGCTAATAATGATCTTCTGGCCTGATTCCCCACTGCCACTGCTGTATCCTCCTCCCATGCCGTAACCTGAGGATCCTCCACTGCAGCATCCAGAGGAGCCTCCACTGCTTCCACCTCCGATGATGATCTTGCCTCCTGAAGACCCACCACTGGATCCCCCTCCCATGCCATAGCTGGATCCTCCACTACAACATCCGGAGGAGCCTCCACTACCTCCACCTCCAATTATGCTCTTCGATCCTGAAGATCCACCACTGTATCCTCCTCCCATGCCATAGCTTGAAGATCCTCCACTGCAGGATCCAGAGGATCCCCCACTACCTCCACCTCCAATGATGATCTTGCCTCCTGAAGACCCACCACTGGATCCCCCACTACAGCAGCCAGACGAGCCGCCTCCTCCACCGCCGGAGCTAATAATGATCTTCTGGCCTGATCCCCCACTGCCACCACCGTATCCTCCTCCCATGCCGTAGCCTGAGGAGCCCCCACTGCAGCATCCAGAGGAACCTCCACTGCTTCCACCTCCAATTATGCTCTTTGATCCCGAAGACCCACCACTGGATCCTCCTCCCATGCCATAGCTGGATCCTCCACTGCAGGATCCATAGGAACCTCCACTGCTTCCACCTCCAATCATACCCTTTGATCCTGAAGACCCACCACTAGATCCACCTCCCATTCCATAGCTGGATCCTCCACTGCAGGATCCAGAGGAACCTCCACTGCTTCCACCTCCAATTATGCTCTTTGATCCTGAAGACCCACCACTGGATCCCCCTCCCATGCCATAGCCTGAGGAACCTCCACTACAGCATCCAGAGGAACTTCCACTACCTCCACCTCCAATTATGATCTTTGTTCCTGAAGATCCACCACTGGATCCCCCTCCCATGCCATAGCCTGAGGAACCTCCACTGCTTCCATCTCCAATCATACCTTTTGATCCTGAAGACCCACCACTGGATCCCCCTCCCATGCCATAGCTGGATCCTCCACTACAGCATCCAGAGGAACTTCCACTACCTCCACCTCCAATTATGATCTTTGTTCCTGAAGATCCACCACTGGATCCCCCTCCCATGCCATAGCCTGAGGAACCTCCACTGCTTCCACTTCCAATCATACCCTTTGATCCTGAAGACCCACCACTAGATCCACCTCCCATTCCATAGCTGGATCCTCCACTGCAGCATCCAGAGGAACCTCCACTGCTTCCACCTCCGATGATGATCTTGCCTCCTGAAGACCCACCACTGGATCCCCCTCCCATGCCATAGCCTGAGGAACCTCCACTGCTTCCACCTCCAATCATACCCTTCGATCCTGAAGACCCACCACTGGATCCCCCTCCCATGCCATAGCTGGATCCTCCACTGCAGCATCCATAGGAACCTCCACTGCTTCCACCTCCAATTATGCTCTTCGATCCTGAAGACCCACCACTGTATCCTCCTCCCATTCCATAGCTGGATCCTCCACTGCAGCATCCAGAGGATCCCCCACTGCTTCCACCTCCAATGATGATCTTGCCTCCTGAAGACCCACCACCAGATCCCCCACCACAGCAGCCAGATGAGCCGCCTCCTCCACCGCCGGAGCTAATAATGATCTTCTGGCCTGATCCCCCACTGCCACCGCCGTATCCTCCTCCCATGCCGTAACCTGAGGAGCCCCCACTGCAGCAGGATCCACCTCCTCCACTACCAGAGCTGACAATGATCTTGCCGGAGCCCCCGCTGCCCCCGCCGTAGCTGCCCGAGCCTGAGCTCCCCCAGGAGGAGGAGCCCTGTGCCTGGTAGCCGGAGGAGCTGCCCCCGTGGCAGCAGGAGCCCCCGCTGTGGCACCCGCTGGACTGGGAGGACGTTTCATGGCAGCCTCCGGAGGTCTGTCTGGAGCACATCTTTGGGTAGTGACCCTGCAAGGAACAGTGTTATCAGCGAAGAACCCCTTGAAGATACTGCTGAACTTTCACAGCAGATGAAAAATGGCGAGGTGTCCAGGAAATACCCCATTTGCCCCATCTTCTGCAATGCTACAGGAATGGCAGCTTCATAAACACCCTCACCCTTGTTAGACAGCGGGAAAAACATGTAATGAAAAGCACTCAGGGTCTGGTCTGCAGATCACATTGGTTACAGAAAAAATCTGCATGTAGGAAGACTGCGAGTACTTCCAGAGATTTGCATACTCTGACATGCTCAGAGCCTGCAGTCAAAAAACTTCAGTTCCACTGTAAATCCTTCTGAATATACAGACTGCTAAAACTCACAGGAGCTGAAAATTCAGCTATATTTGTGTGCCCTTAGCATATCAGCTACAACTCCCTTCTTTAAAGTAGGCAGTCCTGTTGGCACACCAAATTGTTTTTCGGTGAACTTCTGATGTTGAGCCAGCATGGTTCCCTCATTCAAAGCATGCTCAAAGATCAACTGGTGGAGTGACCCCCCTGCTCAGAAGAGGTTCAAAAATTTTCCATATCAATGGGCTTACCTTCAGTGCAACTGGAAATGCGTGCAAGGCTTGGTGGCAGGTGAATGAGGAGCCTTGGGATAGGTGAGCTTTTATATTGTACACATTGTGCTCTTAAGGGAAGTGAGACACCCTAAGGAATGCTGATAGATTGATTTACTGAGCCTGGATTTAGCTACCTCCTTCTTTGACTCACTTGCAGCAGATAGGTGATGTGAAGGAGATGTATCAATTACGTTGTGTATTGCAGCTGCTAATTCTACATAATGATTCATTTCCGGGCTCCTTGCTCTGAAATGTTGGGGGCAAACAGCTTCTGAGGGTCTTCCCTGAGGTCTCCCCAATGCATTTCTGCTAGGCTTCAGCTTCTCCGGTACTTGGCAGAGAGTGGAGACAGAGCAGACACTGAGGGATGGAGGCTGGAGTGAGTTAGGGCTAGAGAGTGATGGAAGGACAAGGGTAAAGCATGTGCTGGAGCAGGGTCCCAGAGAATTTTGGGGAAAGAGAGTCCTCAAGGACTGGTGAGTGGAGATGGATGGGGAGCAGAGGTATGTCCAGCCCGCCACGAAAGGCAACCATCTTCTCAACAGGCTGGAGGTACCACCTCTGATGGGGCCGTGCGCCACTTTGGAGCACCTCAGCCCAAATCCATTTCAGAGGGCCCTTTGAGGATGGCAAAGATGTGGAGGCCATTTCTCCTCACCCTTTTGCGAGCCTAAGGTGGACACTGCTGTTGGTTTGAGCAGAGAGGTATGTGCTCAACTCCAGCTTCCCAGGGATCCTGATCACCAGGCTGGGGTGAGGAAAGTCTTGAAATCTTTGTTTGCAAAGGTATATTTGAAGGCCATCAAGACCCTATCCCTGAACTCTAGGACATTCAACATTCCCTCTGCCTCAGCAGGACCTGTTTTCTGATGGTCCTGCTTCACCCACACCTGAGGCTGTGGAGGCATCTGGGTATTTTGCTTGCTGGAGAATGACAGTTTGTCAGCACAGCTATCGCAGCACTGACTGCTGTGTTTTACAGCAGCTTCATCCTGTCACTGTGTCATGCATGTTTGGAGGCTGACAACAGCATCCACCCTCATAGGAGGTTGAGTAGAGGAAAGTATAATTGGGGGGTTTTAGCTGAGAGGATGCATGACAGCAGCAGCAGGCTGCCCAGCCCTGTCACAGTGAACATAATTTTGAGTATGCATGCAGCTCCATTGGTATGGGGACAGGACCATCAGCACCAGGAACGTGGGTGCAGGGGGCTTCCTTCATTTTGCTTTGGACTCCCTCCAGTGGCCTAAGCTCCACTCTTATCACCAAAGGGAAATCTAAGGTCCCACAGCAATTCTGGCTCTCACCTGAGAAATGTGGGTGTTGTGCTACTGATCAACGCAACGCCTTGATCCCTTCCGTGCATTGAACCTGTAGGGACTTGCACAAAGGGCCACTTAGGATTTGCAGCTCATCAGGACCCAGGGTGGGAGGGAATGCTGGGGTGGCTTTCATCAGGGGTGGGGAGAGGTCCTTCTGCAAGCGCTGGTGTGTGGAGACCCCAAGGCTGGACCCTGCAGGGACTGGAAACACTGGGCCTGTAGCACATGTGCATGTCTGGTACTTTCCACACGTGGAGGGAGAGTGTGGCTGGAATCACGGATGCTGGAGGGACCTGTGTTGCCACAACCCTCCCCGGGTTAAAGAGCAGCTTTAATACCTACGTTGGGTAAAGGTGAGGGTGAATATAAAAGGCTTCCCGGTGGAGGCTGCCCCACATTTGGGCCATGCTGGCTGTTTTCTGATGCTCTGTCTGGACCTGCAGAGACTCTGTTTCTGCCCTGCAGTCCAGTCACCCTGAGGATGGGCTGGCAGGTCACGTTGTCTTTCAGCCTCACCACTGCAAACACCTCAGTGGGTGGTGCCTCCGTGTGCATTGTTATGAGAGAGAGAAAAACTCTGGCCAGATCCTACAATCATTTTCCCCAGTATCTTCCTTCATACACAGCAATGTTAATGTTGATAGCATGGGACATGATGAAGGTAATTTTGGTGTAAGAAGAACTCTCTAATTTTGCTGCAAAAGGCAGAATCTGGTCAGTCATGTTCCCTCAAGCGTTTGCATGGCCGGTGATCCCTTTTATTCCTAATTTTGCTTCCTGCCTACCAGCTGTGTGTGTGAGATGGACAAAAACCCCTGTCAGTCTAAAATTTAGTGAACAAAATACTAATCAGACCTGTCCCAAAGAGGACTTGCTGCTGACTTCAGCACAAATGCTAGTGAATGTTTCCTACCATAATTAATGTTTTCCATCTAGGGAAATTGAGTACATAAAACCCCAAATGTATGTCCAAAGGATGCTGCTGTCAGCACTGGAAATCCCTGCAGTTAAACCCAGAGCTTGTAGTTTGATTCCTTCTCTGGGAAGGGAAAACCAAGGTGGAGTTATTTCCCAGGTTAAAGTTGCAGCCTTGGTGGACATAATTTGCAAGAGGCATGATGATCATCTGTTTAAGCAACAACTTTTCCCTCAAGCAAGATCTGCTAATAACTGTCTGCTGTACTACAGGCTGAAGAAGATTTCACAGCCGAATGTATTTGATGTATTATTCACTTTTTGAAAGTAAACAGGGGACTGACAAAGGATAAAAACAACCTTGAAAAACCAGTTCTTGCTGTACACAGTAATCTTTATTTCCCTTCATATTGATGGGTGAGAAGATCCAGCTGGGATTTAGCAGCACAGGGATGCAACATCAAGGAAACACAAGAGAAGAGGACATGATGGGAGGAAACAAGAAAACCTGGAATACAGAGGCAGGGCTGCTCTTGCTGAGAACCAGGGCTGCCTGTGGCTGTTACTTCTGGTGGTTGGGGGGCCAGTGGCAGGTCTGCTTGGTCTGATGGGACTCAATGTTGGGAATGACAATGGGGCATTTCTGCTGCGTGGACTGGTAGGATCCTCCACTGCCCCCTCCAGAGCTGATGATGATTGTGTGGCCTGAGGAACCGCCACTGCCACCACTGGATCCTCCACTGCAGCATCCAGAGGAACCCCCACTGCTTCCACCTCCAATGATGATCTTGCCTCCTGAAGACCCACCACTGGATCCCCCACTACAGCAGCCAGATGAGCCACCTCCTCCACCGCCGGAGCTAATAATGATCTTCTGGCCTGATCCCCCACTGCCACCGCCGTATCCTCCTCCCGTGCCGTAACCTGAGGATCCTCCACTGCAGCATCCAGAGGAGCCTCCACTGCTTCCACCTCCGATGATGATCTTGCCTCCTGAAGACCCACCACTGGATCCCCCTCCCATGCCATAGCTGGATCCTCCACTGCAGCATCCAGAGGAACCTCCACTGCTTCCACCTCCAATTATGCTCTTCGATCCTGAAGATCCACCACTGTATCCTCCTCCCATGCCATAGCTTGAAGATCCTCCACTGCAGGATCCAGAGGATCCCCCACTACCTCCACCTCCAATGATGATCTTGCCCCCTGAAGACCCACCACTGGATCCCCCACTACAGCAGCCAGACGAGCCGCCTCCTCCACCGCCGGAGCTAATAATGATCTTCTGGCCTGATCCCCCACTGCCACCACCGTATCCTCCTCCCATGCCGTAGCCTGAGGAGCCCCCACTGCAGCATCCAGAGGAACCTCCACTGCTTCCACCTCCAATTATGCTCTTTGATCCCGAAGACCCACCACTGGATCCTCCTCCCATGCCATAGCTGGATCCTCCACTGCAGGATCCATAGGAACCTCCACTGCTTCCACCTCCAATCATACCCTTTGATCCTGAAGACCCACCACTAGATCCACCTCCCATTCCATAGCTGGATCCTCCACTGCAGGATCCAGAGGAACCTCCACTGCTTCCACCTCCAATTATGCTCTTTGATCCTGAAGACCCACCACTGGATCCCCCTCCCATGCCATAGCCTGAGGAACCTCCACTACAGCATCCAGAGGAACTTCCACTACCTCCACCTCCAATTATGATCTTTGTTCCTGAAGATCCACCACTGGATCCCCCTCCCATGCCATAGCCTGAGGAACCTCCACTGCTTCCATCTCCAATCATACCTTTTGATCCTGAAGACCCACCACTGGATCCCCCTCCCATGCCATAGCTGGATCCTCCACTACAGCATCCAGAGGAACTTCCACTACCTCCACCTCCAATTATGATCTTTGTTCCTGAAGATCCACCACTGGATCCCCCTCCCATGCCATAGCCTGAGGAACCTCCACTGCTTCCACTTCCAATCATACCCTTTGATCCTGAAGACCCACCACTAGATCCACCTCCCATTCCATAGCTGGATCCTCCACTGCAGCATCCAGAGGAACCTCCACTGCTTCCACCTCCGATGATGATCTTGCCTCCTGAAGACCCACCACTGGATCCCCCTCCCATGCCATAGCCTGAGGAACCTCCACTGCTTCCACCTCCAATCATACCCTTCGATCCTGAAGACCCACCACTGGATCCCCCTCCCATGCCATAGCTGGATCCTCCACTGCAGCATCCATAGGAACCTCCACTGCTTCCACCTCCAATTATGCTCTTCGATCCTGAAGACCCACCACTGTATCCTCCTCCCATTCCATAGCTGGATCCTCCACTGCAGCATCCAGAGGATCCCCCACTGCTTCCACCTCCAATGATGATCTTGCCTCCTGAAGACCCACCACCAGATCCCCCACCACAGCAGCCAGATGAGCCGCCTCCTCCACCGCCGGAGCTAATAATGATCTTCTGGCCTGATCCCCCACTGCCACCGCCGTATCCTCCTCCCATGCCGTAACCTGAGGAGCCCCCACTGCAGCAGGATCCACCTCCTCCACTACCAGAGCTGACAATGATCTTGCCGGAGCCCCCGCTGCCCCCGCCGTAGCTGCCCGAGCCTGAGCTCCCCCAGGAGGAGGAGCCCTGTGCCTGGTAGCCGGAGGAGCTGCCCCCGTGGCAGCAGGAGCCCCCGCTGTGGCACCCGCTGGACTGGGAGGACGTTTCATGGCAGCCTCCGGAGGTCTGTCTGGAGCACATCTTTGAGTAGTGACCCTGCAAGGAACAACATGTTTTTTACGCAAGAGCAGACTCTGACATTAAGAGAATTTCCCCCAGCCACAAGGACCCGTGTACAGCCCAACGACATTAGTAGACCTTCTCCAGAACCAATGAACTTCCTTTCTTCTAAGCACTTCGTGCTCCATAGATCCCACCACACATAGAGCCTTTTGCTAACAGGAGATTACCAGATTGCTGAACTTTATCAACCCACCATTTAAAGTTTTTTATCCCATAGCTGTTCCACCTCCATCTCTGTACTGATGAAACACAGGACTTTTAGTAGCATGGGATAATCCTGCTCCTGCTGATATCCACAGGAGATTTAAATTCATCAAACAACCTTCCTGTCTTTCAAACCACCACCCATCAGACTTCACCAAAGAATTTATGTTTTGTAAGCATGAAAGTAAGAGAAGAATCGATCCCTTTGGCAGAGAAGGACTTACCCTTCTTGGTTCTGACAACGTGTTCCACAAAGCAAAGCTGAGCGAATGAAGCACTGTGAGATCCAGCAACTTTTATACTGTTTCTAGTTCTCACTAGTGGGAAGTGAGGCATCCAAAGGAACGGTGATAGGTTTATTTACTAAGCAAACTGTTCTCCTTCAGCCCACTTGTCCTGACTCATGGAATCAGATCAATGCCTCTCTAGTGCATCACTTCCTAGGCTACCTGCAGTTCGGCTGCAGGTATCACATGTGAGCACAGCTCCCGCGGTTGACTTCCAAGGTAGGATTGTGGGACTCCAGTTAGCACCCTCCACTTGAACTGGGAGATGACGCTGGGGTTGGTGACTGACAGTAGAAGGGGCTGTGGAGACTCCTGTTGCGTGTGTGTTACAGACTATGGAGATGCCCAGGGGAACGGAGAGGGCTGCATTGGGCAGGACGGCTGCTGCCAGAGCAACGAAGGAAGCTCACGTGCCTGGACTTCCCCACTATACCGTGAAGTGTAGATCATGACTTTTGTTTGAGTGTACCACTATGGACAGTAGAGCTGTCAGGCAGGCTTTACACTCTGTCTGGGAGGGGTGGTGATACTGATTTTAGAAAGGAGTTGAAACGCTGCAGGTAGAGGGTACCAGATCCAGCATCCACCCTGTGTATCCGCATCTGGATGGGTATTAACCAAGAGCATAAATTCATCCCAGTTTGGGAGGTGGTGTTTCTGAAGCATCCACAAGATCTGAGGATGTGTTGTGTTCCTGTGGTCACCCTGAGGGCCTCTGAAACTTGGCTCCCAGCTTTCTCGGTCCTGGGCCACTTCTGGGTGAAGGGATGGTCAACAGCAGTGCTCCCACCTCCTTGAAGTGGGACCCCAAGCTTTCTGTTAACACCGTGCAGGCATCAGCAATGTTTGTGCAGTTCCCAGTCACTGCTATTCTATCATCCTATGGCTTTCCATAATTAAATCCTAGGCAAATCAGCTGGTCCAGTGGCAGCACTGGCTGGAGGAGCTTGTCTGGATGTGTTTTGAGAATTTGCATCCCTGGGTCACCAAGAGGGAGAGGACAGAGGGTAGAGGGACACATAAACGTGAAGCTCTTTTACCCGCTACAGGTGTGGGTCACTCCTGTCTCTTCTGGGACACTTCCAGGCATCTGTCATCCTCCTCATGGAGAATAGCTCAGGCAGGGAAGGTTTATTTTCCTTTCCCTGCTAATTGCCAGAATATACCACATCAAAGAATTCACTTCCCATAGGGAAACTCCCTCTGAAGACTCATACCTGGAGCTGTGTTTTATTCCTGTGGGAGTGAGGGATCCCTAGTTACTCCAGGCTTAGCATCTCAGCGCTTGGAAGAGGCTTTCTGAAGTCCTGTCCCTGCTGCTGGCTCCATCAGGGGTTCAGAGCTCAATTAAAGGTTGGAGAGACCCCTCATTTCTCTTCCCCAGCTGCTTGGTGCAACTGTGAGCACCAAGAGTCCCTGCACCATAAACGTGCAAGGGCCTCAGCTTCACACCTGTAATAGTATCTTGTAATGTTTTGTACTAGAGTTTTTGCACCCTTTCTCTCCTAACCCATTTCAAATGTCTTTGGGCATTGCATGGCATTTTGATGAGGTAGAGACTGCAGTGTTTAACTTTGTGGTACCTTATCTGATGGGCAAAAGTCTTGATTATGAGTAGCAACAGACAATAAAATATGACCTAAGAATATTTAGTGAATCCAGCTTCTCTTCTATAGGTGGGTTTTCAATGCACTTGCGCTCTGGAGCTTTATTACAACAACATCAGCTCAGAATGAAAACACAGTAATGAAAATAATGCAAACATTGTGTCATAAAGCAAAATCCAACCACTCAGACACTGAAGTTCTCTAGAACTGCAAGTTTTATTGTCTTGTGCAAGCACTAGAAAATTGAAGCAGGTAACAGACATGAAACAACCCTGGCTGGCAGTTATTGATGCACAACACCAGAGGTTCTGGGCAGCTGGAGAGGTGAACAGAAAACTCCCAAGAGGAGAAAGGAATTATGTAAATAGTCTTAATTTTAATAGAGAAAGAAATGTGAGGCATGTTTGTATCTTGACCTGAGTCCCTTCTGCAGACATTACTTGTGTTTACTCTGCGGTGGCCAGGAGATTGGCTGGGTCTGCTGTTGAATGGACAGACCTCCAGAACTGGATGAACCACCTCCACCTCCTCCAAAAGAGGATGATCCCTGGCTCTGGTGACCTGAGCCACCTCCCCCAATGATGCAGATGGATCCTTGACCTTGGTGGCCTGAACCACCACCACCACCACCTCCCCCTCCTCCTCCCATGCTGCCACCTCCAATGCAGATGGGGCCTTGGCTCTGGTGGCTGGAACCACCTCCTCCTCCTCCACCACCACCACCAATGCAGATGGGGCCTTGGCCTTGGTGACCTGACCCACCACCTCCTCCTCCTCCTCCTCCCATGCTGCCACCTCCGATACAGATGGGACCTTGGCTTTGGTGCCCTGAACCACCACCTCCTCCTCCTCCTCCTCCTCCTCCTCCTCCTCCTCCTCCCATGCTGCCACCTCCGATACAGATGGGACCTTGGCTTTGGTGCCCTGAGCCACCACCTCCTCCTCCTCCTCCTCCTCCTCCCATGCTGCCACCTCCAATACAGATGGGACCTTGGCTTTGGTGCCCTGAACCACCACCTCCTCCTCCTCCTCCTCCTCCTCCTCCCATGCTGCCACCTCCAATACAGATGGGACCTTGGCTTTGGTGCCCTGAACCACCTCCACCTCCTCCTCCTCCCATGCTGCCACCTCCAATACAGATGGGACCTTGGCTTTGGTGCCCTGAACCACCACCTCCCCCTCCACCACCACCAATGCAGATGGGGCCTTGGCCCTGGTGGCCTGAACCACCTCCACCACCACCACCACTTCCTCCACCAATACAGATGGGGCCTTGGATTTGGTGACCTGAACCACCTCCACCACTACCACCACCACCACCACCACCACTTCCTCCACCAATACAGATGGGGCCTTGGATTTGGTGACCTGAACCACCACCACCTCCTCCTCCACCACTACCACCACCAATGCAGATGGGGCCTTGGCCTTGGTGGCCTGAACCACCTCCACCACCACCACCACCACCGCTTCCTCCACCAATACAGATGGGCCCTTGGCTTTGATGACCTGAACCACCACTCCCTCCTCCTCCTCCTCCCATGCTGCCACCTCCAATGCAGATGGGCCCTTGGCCCTGCTGGCCGGAACCACCTCCTCCTCCTCCTCCACCCCCACCGATACAGATGGGGCCTTGGCCCTGATGGCCTGAACCACCACCACCACCAATACAGATGGGACCTTGGCTTTGGTACCCTGAACCACCTCCACCTCCTCCTCCCCCCATGCTACCACCTCCAATGCAGATGGGTCCTTGACTCTGGTGGCCTGAACCACCACTGCCTCCACCACCTCCTCCTCCTCCTCCTCCTCCTCCTCCTCCAATAATGCAGATGGGTCCTTGTCCCTGGTGGCCTGACCCACCACCACCTCCTCCACCTCCGCCGCCACCACTGATGGATCCTTGGTGGCCTGAACCTCCTCCTCCTCCAAAGGAGGATGACGATATGTGGGTCTGGTAAATAGCACCACCGCCGCTTCCAGAGCCACTGCTTCCTCCTCCTCCTCCATGGCAGGATGATCCTTGGGTCTGGTAGCCTAGAGATCCTCCTCCACCGCCCCCATGGCATGAGCCTCCTCCGCCACCACTGCCATGGCATCCACCAGATTGCTCAGACATCCCTTGGCCGTCGCCTTTCTGCTGATGGGAACCCATTGTCCCAGGCGTCAGGGAGTCCTCCAAGAGAAAGAAAAAACAGGCCTTAACAAACCCAAGGGGAGGAAATCTTGTGTTACTGTGTCTCCCCATCCCCTTCCAAAGGCAGATATATGAAAATGTCTTCTGTTTCCTTTTTGCCTGCCCATCCACATCTGATAGCTGATATAAAAGGTCATTGTCAGCCTCAGGAATTTATAAATTGAAACGATTACCAGGAAGGACCTGGGAAGTTTTCAGCTCATTCCATATTCCTTGATCAGGTCTTCTACAGGACCTACTCTATCCATATATAACTGATCTTTTTTTTTTTTTCTAGGACAGGTGCAACCATAATCATTCCTTAATAATTCCTTCTTGCAGTTGTTGGCAGTGGCATGCTACTGCAAGAGGTACAAAAGGCTGTGGTACACCAGAATTACCCTTATCCAAATGTGGTTTGGGAATTTTGAAAGGGCTGTAATGCTCAGGGGCAGGTATTAATATTCCATGTCATACAAGAAACAAAGAACAGGAGTCATCATATGCATAACAATAACTTCATTGCACTTTGAAATTCTTCAATCTCAGTTTAAAAAGAGCACAGTGACTGTTTTATTTCTTCTTAAAAATGAGAAGGAAGAGGAACAGCCAGTGGAAAAGAGATCAGAAATACAAAAAAGGAAAGCACCTGCACAAAGCTTCATCAGAATACTCTAGACCTTGCAAGGGCTTG